GAGAGAGAGAGAGAGAGCGAGAGGATATCTGTATTTAAGCACATAACGATCTATCTGTCTACCTATCGATCTATACTTATCTGTAGTCAATATGTGTGTGCGTGTACACCTGGCATACTCACATACTCATCTGTCAGTTTGTCCAGCAGGGGGCTGCAAGAGTCACCTGACGACCTGCTCCGTCTACGCGTCGCTACGTTTCGCAAGGATGAGTGGCACTGGGGCAGCAGCCGGCGAGGAGCTCGGAAGCCGCTCGGGGTCGTACTGGCCCCCTGGCCCCGGAATGGAAGATCATCGTGTGAAGCAAAATGAAAAACGGTCGCTCCTTCCCCGTTGCACCTGACCAAATCGTGTAGCCACCTCATCCACACCGTCAACCCGACCGCACCTTTGCGGTCTGAAGTGGGCAGCGGTGGCGGAAAGGCCGCACCTGACAAACTGCAAGTGAGACTGCAGGCCACCGCTATTGAAGTTCATGTTGCACCGGCCAAGCACGACGACAGAAGTATGGATGCTTTTTAACCACTGGGGCCAATGCCATCAGCATCCGAAGCTGGGGGCGGTTGAGTCCTCACAGGCCGATTCTGGACTCAAGGCGATGAAGGCGTCACTTGGGTCTGGAAAGGAGCAGTTGGCATTTGCATCGGCCCTGCTGAACACTGCAGTAACAGAAACTGAATCACTGAAGGGGCGCTTCCACATCCCCTGAGCCCGCCACCGCCCAGGAAGAGGGGTCACAGAGCGCGCCTGGCCGTCGAAGCTAGATCCTAAAGGAACTGGAAGTTGATAGCTGTTGCGGTACGCTGACCCTGCCCTACAATTCTGTGAACGCACACAAAGTTGACCAGATGTCTTAAGAGACCGTAAGCCCCAACAGTCCTTTGTATTGCAAACCAATGCTTCTTGACAGCGGTTTCTACCTCCACGTCATCTGGCCAACATCTGCCCGAGACAGTTTGCTTCAAACAAGACATTTCGGACAATGCCAGCCAATTCCAGGGCTTGCCCCATTGCGCATGCATCGTGAATACAACGAGTTGGCCTTCTTGCTGCCATTCTCTTGGCGCTGGCCGTCCTTTTTTCTACGATCATCTGCATCCTGGGCAGCCGAGCTGACCGGAGTCTGCTGAATGCATCACCCACTAGAGCAACTCAGAACCCGATTACCAATCGCCTGTCACTGAGGACATGGCCCTGTCGCGGTCTCTTTCTCTCTCCCTTTCCCTGGCCCGATCTTTGTCTCTTTCACGTTCTCGTTCTCTTTCTTTTGCTCGGTCTTTGTTTCTCGTGTCTCTTTCATTGTCCTGAGAAAAGCACCGGCTAGTAAGTTCAGTTTCGGAGGAAGCCCAGCATGACTCAGTCCCAGGCATGTCGATTTCTGTCGCGATCATCCCTGTCTCTTTCCCTGTCTCTTGGCCTCGAACGTTCTCGCTGCTTGGAGCGTTCTCTTTCTCTTGGCTTGGAGCGATCCCTGTCACGACCAGTGTCCTTCTCGCGGTCACGGTCCCGTTCTCGCTCTCTGTCGTCACGGTCGCGTGATCGCTCTCTTTCGCGGCCTCTGTCCTTTTCGCGGTACTTGTCCTTGTCGCGATCTTTGTCGCGATCCTTTTCATGCCTGTCTCTTTCTTCATGACGATCTCTGTCCCGTCGATGCTCGTTCTCTCGGTCCTTGTCTCGTCGGCGATCATCCTCCCTGTCCTTGTCTCGACGTCTGTCATCACGACCTGACTCACGTCTCCGTTCATCCTCGCGATCTCTGTCTCGACGCCTGTCGTCATCGCGGTCCTTCTCTCGTCTTCGCTCCTCCTCGCGATCCTTTTCGCGTCTCCTCTCCTCCTCTCGGTCCTTCTCACGTCTCCTCTCCTCCTCCCTTTCCCTTTCTCGTCTCTTCTGTTCGCGCTCCTTCTCTCGCCGCTCCTCCTCGCGGCGCTTTTCCTCTCGCTCCTGCCTTTCCTTTTCTCGTCTCCTCTCCTCCTCTCTTTCCTGTTCTCGCCTTCTCTCCCTCTCCTCTCGTTCTTCCCGCTCGGCACGTTCCTTTTCCCGTCTTTTCTCTTCCTCACGTTCGCGCCGCTCGCGCTCCCGCCTCAGCTCTTCCTCTAGTCGCTGCTTCTCACGCTGCTTCTCTTCCTCACGTTCCTTCTCAAGTCTCCTCTCTTCTTCACGTTCCCTTTGTCGCCTTCTTTCCTCTTCTTTTTCCTGTTCTCTTCGGCGCTGCTCCTCCTCCTCCTCCTCCTTGCGAGCTCTTTCGCGACGTTCCTCCTCCTCGCGCTTCTTCACCTCGTCACGCTCTTTCTCCTTCTGCTTCGCAGCCCTTGCCTCCTCTTGCTTCCTGCTCGCTTCGCGATCTGCTGCCTCCTTCTCCTCCTTTCGTCGACTCTTCTCGTCTCTGCTTGCCTTGTCTTTTCGCCTGCTCTCCCTCCGAGCTTCATCCTTTGAGGTGGAAGGCGCCTTTTCGCGCGATCGCTCCATTGCCGTTGAAGCATCTCTCCGGGAGCCCTCATGATTCTGCTCCGGTTCTCCGCCCTTCTTTTTCTTTTTGCTTTTCGCCGGCTCATGCCCCTTCTCCTTCTCCTGCATCTCCTCTCGGGCTCGGGCCTCCCTCTGCTTCTCCTTCATCCGCTCCTCCGCACGGGACCGGGAGGCCTCGCTTTGCCTGGGCTTTTCACGGCCTTCGCGATGCCGGGACTTCTCCTGAAGCTCAAACAAACAGGCCCCGGACACCCTGCAGCTCTGTGGCAAGCCTTTTGCTCTCATGAGATGCTGGCCTCGGGCTTTCGAAGCGAATCCCTCTGCTCTGACCTCGGCTCATCTGTGCTTGTGCTTGACTGCTACGGCGACTGCCAAGCGATTGCAAGCGCCTGCCGCATTGCAAGGTGCAGGCCGAGAGGCTTTCGTGTGGCTGTCTTTGACGACTTCTCCTGCCAATAGCCGGCATTGAAGACAGGGCAAGCTCTTATTGATAGTGAGCCTGGTGGGCCTGCTCCTCTCGAGACAAGGTGCGCGTAATTCTGTTTGGCTTTCAAGAACCGTCGTGGTTTCACTTTGCTTGTTTTTCAAAAATGAGAGATGGACTTCCGAATGGAAGGGCCCTGAAACAGAAATACCTCTCTTCCTGTTCCAGACACATCAGGGACAGGCTCCAAATCGATTTGGCTGCTTGGAATCAAACGGTGGAAGCGCAGGCGGCAGTGAACACGGAACCACAGGAAACCATCAGAGGCGAATGCCTTGACGTTTTAAGGCCGATTCCGTAACATCGCAAAAAGCAGACCACTCATCCGTCAACGTCTTGAAACTGGATAGTGCGCTTGCCGCTTCCCGCAAGCGCTCTTCGGATAACCCACTCATCAAGTCCACAAGTTCCACGACAGAGGATTGCTTGTCCTTCTGTGGCACCACGAGCAATGCCTTCAAGAAAGCATCGGCGAAAACCCAGTTGTGCTTCACACCAAACTGATCCATTTGCCTGCGTAGTTTCTGGAACTTGCTCACCGGTCGCCCGGCAAAAGTAGACACGAGCGCTGTGAAAACCTGCACATCGGGCGTTAATGACATGTTGAGCAAGGTGTCGAAAAGGAAAACTGCAGCATTGTGGCCACTGTTCTCCGCAGTCGCGCAGGCACGAAGCGCAGATGTAAAGTGCCCGACATCCACCACGAGATCCATCCTAACCATTTCGTCCAAGATGTCGGCTGCCGTCCGGATGTCCCCCTCATCCGCTGCTGCGACGAGACGAGCAGCGGCCATCGTCTCATCCATGCGATACGACTTCCTGGCTTCCTTCCAGACTTGCTGCACAGATGCCCACATACCAGCCTTTCCGTAAAGCTTCGTGGCGAGGTTGAACGTGAGAACTTCTTTTGGCAGCTTAAGCTTGCAGAGCTGCTCATACAATGCCGTGCCAGCTTTATACTGCCCACAAGCCAGGGCTGCATTCATCTCCACGTCGAAGAATGGTGTCTTCTGGACCTTGCTGGTCGCGCGAAGTTGCTGGATCCTTTGCCAATCACTGCGATTTGCAGCCTGTACCACCTTGGCCAAGAGCTTGGACTCTGCTTTCGTCAAGCCATAGTCCGTCGATGATTGTCCTGCTGCTGATGTATAAAACCTGCTGCCCATGCGTGGACGTCCTGGGCTGGCAGCGTTTGATTTGTTACCCGCGTCTTGTGGCAGAGCAATGCCGAACCCTATTGAGCTTGTCCCCAAGAGTTTGCAAAGCAGGGCGATAGCTCCTGCTAGGCAAAGGGTCGGCATACTGGCGCCTCCCATGGCGCGATGTCGCATCACCCACGAAAATGCCAGCCCGACACACTCAGCCTTCCTTTTGGCTGCCGAAGGAAACTACGAGAACTGCAAAAGGGGACGCAAGTCAAGAAACATGAGGTCATCAGGCTACGGTCCGTCAAGCCATAGCAAGCAAGGGCGTCTACCCACAGGCCTTCTGAGCCTTCTTGGATTCTGCTGCTTTGGCGGCCTGCACGTCATGAAGCACACATGCAGGCACTGCGTGCTCATGAACACTGAAGCAAAGCAGACCCCAAACAACATGCAAGAAAATCTCACACTAGACCAGCGCAGATGTCCGAACAGTGATAGGGTACCACAACGACCTTGACGACCAAGACTACCAGGACCATCCAGTTCAGCAAAACCACCCAGAGACCACAAACAGACCAGCAGGAAACACCGGGAAAAGACCAGGAGCCGGGAGAAGACGAGGAGCCCGCCAGGAGACCATGCGGAAGCCAGTCCGGCCAAGCTGCTTCCCCCAAGCCCACCATGCTTTCCCCGTATAATAGCGGGATTGCGAAGCACGGCACCTGTGCTTGCCATACAGCTGTACCCGGGATTCAGGAGGGCGGCCAAGATGCATTCCCTCTGGCAGGATTCCGAGTTTTCAATGCAAAATCTGGTCCACGCTTTCAAATTTGAATTGAATCTGGCTCTCAGGGACACGGCGGATCCTGTGTAAATAATAAGAGGTGAGCGCGAACGATGCACCGCACCATAGCGGAGCCGTGTCCCATGCAACGCTTTCTGGGCGGACCTCGTGCCCACACTAAGCAGTTCTCTTTACACTGAATGTTAGACTGTTAGAACCCCATTAGAGGATACTACAGCCCTTGGGTAGTGTTTAATGAAGTACGAAGCTCTGCTGTGCAGCAAGAGCGCAGCCGCGGCAGCTGCGTCCTGTCGACGGCGATGCTCTTCCTCCTGCTTGCAGGACGATGCAGGAAGTCTCTACAGATCGGCTGACATCGGCTTTTGAGATCTGGAGTACTGCCATTCAGGATTCCAGTGGGATTCCGCATGTCAACAACTCGGTCCTCCTTCTTGTCCTTTCTTCTGGAGCGTGGAGAAGGTACTTTTTCAGGGGAGCTGGACGATTCCTCTCGGACTCCGGCCGACAGCTGTAACATACGTCACTATCAGTCCTTGGAAACTCTCCGTGTCCTCGTCATCATCGTCCTCTTCCTGTTCTTCATCTTCATCATCCATGCCATCAGCATCGCCTTCCGCAGCTTCGGCTTCGACGTCGTCCTTATATGCCAAGGTCATCCAGGCTGAGGCCTGAACCACTATCCCGCGGGCACCCGATTCGCGCCAGTGCCTAAAGAAATCCATAATCCAGCGAAGCATCCTCCTCACTGTAGCTCTCCACGGCTGCATACCTGTCGACTCGGGTCGGGTAGTAAGAATGGTGAAGATTCCCTCTGTCTTTTCGTCAGAGGATTGGATTCGGCTGCATCTTCCCGCGCTATCAGCATGGCAGCCCCAGCCTAGCCGGGGCTGCCGGGCTTTCTCGCGCCTGGCATAAAAGAAATTCTCGCTCGCGCTCGAAGTCGCAACGTCTGCGGCTGTTTAACCAAAACGCATGTATCTCTATAGTAGTTGGTCCGCACAAGGAGGTCGTATCAGGCACAATTCAGGGCACTCGGCGAGCATTTCAGAAGCAGCTCACTTAAGCATTCCGACACACATCTTCATGATTCGTGATTGCATGCGGTGGTATGCCGAAGCCTGCTTTCGACCTGGGGCTCCCTTGCCTGGCTTTTCGAATCTGCTTTCGCCACGACCCTTGGAGGAGACGTCGGCCTCCCGACTCCTGCGAGCCTGCAGGCCAGGCAGATTAACCGACTGTCACGTCTGCTTCACTCGAACACCAGCTGAATCCCCTCGCAGCGGGCCGAGGCTTGGTTTTTTGGGGCGGAAGCAGGAAACTCCCAGGCCCGAAGGCCGAAGGCCGAAGGCCTGGGCCGGAATACCCGACATGGCAGGACGAGATGGCGAGGCGCCCTTTTGGCGCCACGCAGACGCTGCCAATCGCCAGGTGCGAGGTTTGGGGCCTTTGCACTCCAAACCTGCAAAAACGGGACGCCGGAGCGGGTTGCTTTTGGAACTCCCCCAGCCCGTCCCCGGGCTTTTTCATCAGTCCACGCTGTCTTTGATGCCGCGCAGCCGGTGCAAGCGCTGCTGCCACCAGGCACAGGCCCGGGCGATGAAGCGGCGTAGAACCAGCGGAGGAAGGCACCGGCAAGGACAGCCCTCGGAATGTGGCAATAACTAAGATCTACTAGATGAAGTTGTTCCGGATGCTGCATAGTCATGTGCATTTTTATCCTCAGGGGCACGAGAACCACAAGAAGCATTCTCTGGGATTCTTCCGAGAGTCAGGGAATCCAGACCTGAGCAAAGGCTGCCCGGATGCATCGATCAGGTGATGCTCGTGATGCAAGCTGAGCACATCCTGAGATGCAGCTGGGACTAGGTATGACTAGGTTCTAAGATTCTAGGGCTCGAACTTCGACGTTTTTGGCATTTTGGCTTTGTGGTTTTACGCTCTGACAACTCTCACCCTCTGAACCAGGTGAGAATCTGAGCAAACAGAGCTCTGGCGAAGATGTGGCTTTGCACTATGTGAAATTAACGGACAGGGCACAAGAAACTCCTGGAAGCTCATATTATGGCTACAACCGGTCAGGAAAGTGGCTCCATTCTCTTCGACTCTCATGTTGAACCCTGACAAAATAGAGTGAGGGTACTATCGCCAACGGAAGACCAGCACCAAGTTCAAGACAAATTTCAACCCGCATTAATCTCCTATCGTATCTTATCTTATGATCAGAAAACTACAGCTTCCACTCACGACTAATTGAATGTCAAAGTCGCCTAAAAGCCTAGAACAGCCCAGGTGTGCCACAACTATGTGATGCACGTCAAACAGGACGATAAAAGAGAACTAAGTGAATTCAAGCATTCGCTCGGCAAATCGTACTCGGCAGCTGACCTAGACACCTCGAAGCCAAGGACTTGTTTCCAATTCTACCCTCTCACACTCGGACATCGGCATAGAACATCATAGAACCAGATTTGGACATCCTTGGGCTTCGGCTTCGATGCTGGTGACTGGAGAAACACAGGGCTTGGTTGGGTTTCCAGGGAAGGTAGTCCTCTCACAAGTGTACCGAGCTATCCGCTCCGGCACAAGGAGAAAGTCTGAACTTGCCACGTCTCAAGCATCATCGTGTCGGCGCCCGTTTCCTCAGCACCGGTCGCCAACAATCTGTAGCAGACTCGAACTCGGGAATGGTCTTGACGATCTGAAACATGCCCCCGTCGTGCAATTGCAAACAAGTGTCTGAGTAGCGGATACCTTGGAGCACATGCGTGCGCATCGGAAAACTCAAAAGCAGATTCAGATTTCGCCTCACATGTTGCTAGCGATCGTTCAGATGTCAGGCAACCCTGATGCACGAACGTTCCTACTCACATCTCTGAGGTTCAAGATTGAAGGTCCGCTTTCAAGGTCGCAATGTCTCTACAAAACCAAAGGTTCCGACCAGCAGAGGCACGGCAAGATTTGGTGAAGAAGGAGGATGGGCTGCAAGTACGAGGGCTGGACTCCTGCGAAAACGCGGCACTGCGTTGTTCACCAAAAAGGAAACACTGAAAAGTCTCGGCAAGAGAACAGGACCCAAAGGACATAATCCAATTAGCTTTCGAGCAAAGAGGAAGCAACCTAGAGCATGCGAGTCCGCAGCTTGGGCTGCTTCGGGCATAGAGCCGGACGGAGATTCGTAAACGATGCACTGGTGGAAGCTTGCCTTCCAAAGGGCTTCATCCACAGACTGGTGCCAAACATGTAGAGAATTCCCGGCCCTGCGAGGTGTGGGGATGTGGCCTATAGTAGCAGCAGGGTTTCATCATCCTACACCCCACAAAGCAAAACCGACCAAGCCTGCTGCAATCAGCTTTTTCCTGCATCTTGCGATCCTATACTCAGCTAAGATTGCCACTAGCAGAAAGGAAAGCAAAAAAAAAGAAAACAGGCGCCTTGTAGAGAATGCCCCAGAAAATACCAACTCCTGAATGAGCCCTGGAAAAGCGCTTTGTCAAACTTGTGGAGAGTCACATAGATAAACAGCGAATGCCGCTTGCAAAAGGTTGACGGATTCGTTCTCCCAAAGGACCTCGAGCCATCAGTCGGCGTTGAAGACGCAGGCATCTCTAAAGTTATGCCATCACAGAAGGCTCACCCACCTACGAGTACCCTTCAAAGGCAGTGGAAATCTTTGCGTTGCATTCGGCAGGCACACACTCTCTCTTTTGCTGCAGGGTGCACAGCCAAGTCCCCCACCCAAGACTAACAAAATTCCCAACTGCAGGAGTTTCACGCGAGTGTTGGACTGGTGGCTGAGAAATTTTGATGAACAACCTCACAAGCCCTCCTGACACCTCAACCACGCACCCAGCTTACGAACAAGCATTGCTCAGCTAAAGGAAGCCCAGAAGCTACTGATACTGGCTGCTACTTCGCTTTTTACCCCCGCGTCGAGCAGGAGACACCACGATGAACAACAACACGCATGCCTCGCTTCGCCCCGCAACCTGCAATGACATGGAGGCCTTTCTGACGTAAAGTTCCACCTCCCAGGGCCCATCCGCTGAGAGGCTGCCTCGAAGGTACTGGAAGCCGAGGCTCAGGTAGGCTTTGTGGGATTTGGGATTTCCAGACTCTTCCGGCAAGCTTTCGCTCCACCTGATGCACCTGTGCGTGTCGCCACGGCTTCCTCACGTCTACCTAAAAACCCGCAACAGCCGGCTCCCAAACAAACTTAAACTTAATCAAACTGAAACTTTTCGCTGACAAGGCACGGAGCTCGAACCTTGCATGGGCAGGGGCGCAGAACGCACGTGCAACAAGCCTCCGGGAGCGCGTGTACAGGAAATAATTTTTGGGGGATTGGGGCAAGTCAATGCAGCACAGGTGCCGTACATCCTGCTCTCCACCGCTCACCTTGGCTTTCTGTCATAGACTTACTCTTCTGATATGTATGGCCAGGGAGCAGGAATAGCATGTTGAGTGCACTCGGCAATTTCGTTGCGTTGGATAGTTGGCGGAGGTTTCCGCAGTTTCTGCGTCTGTCTGTTCATGCCGCAGGCCATGGGACTGCCACTGGGTGCACAGACAGACTCTGCATCAACAGCTCAAAGAGTTGCGGCGGAGCTGCAGCCACTTGAAGCGCGGCCGAGGCAGCCTCTTTGGCAGGGGTGCAACTGACCAAGCACCTCTATATCGAGGCTATTGACCTCAACTCTTGGGCTTTCCCTGTTCTGGCCTCCAAATGGGCCAGCCCCGACTGTGACAGTGCGGAAGTCACCTGCAAGGCTTAAAGTCCAAGTGCAATCAAATATACTCTAGAAGCTTACTGAAGACAGGGCAGAGCATTGAGCGTTTCTGGCTGCTTGAAGCCCCGGCACCGCTCGCATTAGCTGCTTCCGTTGCGCGCCCAAGCAGCGCGAAATGGCTGAGACGACTCGATCCTAAGCGCAGCAGGATTTAGACTCAGCAAGATTTCCGGAGGAGCCTGAAAATGCCCCGACCACCGCTTAACGCCAAACCAGCCACCATTGTCAACCAACCTGACCGCTAGCAACCACGGGCTTGAGCTTGCAGCGAAATACATTTCCCGCTCGCTTTCACTTCGCCCGGGCTACACAGCTTGTACTGCATCCCATCACACAAATGTAAGCAGGATGTAAGTGGGACGCCCGCTGCAATGAAGTCCAGCACAGGACAGCTCACTATGAACACATGGACGCCGATTGAGCACGCCAACTCCGGACTAGCTCGTTGATAACCTGGTAAAAGAATCGAGCCAGCAAAAATGCAGCAAACGGATTGAGCTCAAGTGCTTTCTCGCCATGTCCGGCCCAACCGAACCATACCACTCGTCCGGGTTGCTTGTGCGGCTAAGTCTCACAAAAGTCCGACTTCATGAGCTCCAAATCGTTCCCTGACCACAAGGGTCGCTCTGAGCTGATCGGTGAATACTGTCGTGTACGTACCCTGGCATTCCAACACAAACAGGCACAACATGGCACAACTACAGATGGGGATGCCAGAAGCTTGGCTTCGGGCGCTTCCACGGTGTGGCCAACGGTTTTGCTCCGGATACTGAATACTTCGTATTCGCTGCACTACGATTAGCTTCAAGTCAAGGGGTGGTACTGTAAGGTAGCACAGAGAGTGGTAGCGGATGCATGCAGATCAGTGGCCGTTGACGTCCGGCTGGCCCCGCACGGTGGAGGCAAAGTCATACTCCACCCCGTCCTGAGCTGCTCTTAGCTAGATTCAACTAGATTCAGCTAGATCTGCTCAGACAGAGGAGGAGCTGAGCAGCCAGGCAACAATGACAAAAAGCTCTCGCGGGGCATCGAGCAGCAGCTGCTCGCAGACAGAGTTTTCTGGACCTGCCGGAGCCAAAAGCCCTGCTGCGACTGCTACGAGCACGGTGCTCGACACACTCCAATCCATCAGCAGGCCCTCATGTTTGCACCGCAGTCCTGTGAACCGATCCTCGCTACAGCGTGCTGCGGGATCTGCATCCAGGTCTGCAAGGTCGATCCAGAGGAAATGCCTTAATTCGGCCAAACGCAATGTCTACTTCACTACATGCAGGCTTAGAGGGCCTGAGATTCCAGAACAAAAAGGTGGAAACGGAGGTGGCCTGGGTCGGAAACCCCATTGCCCTGACTTTGCCTTAGACCCTGTGTTCCATTCAAACCGCTGAGGCACTGCATTGCCAGGAGCTCCAGCCTCGGAAGAGGAATGTCGCATCGTGGTGCCGGGAGGCCGAGGCTTCCAAAGGTTGGGTCAGTGTCCATGCTTCCACAGTTTCGTTTCGTGCACTGACCAGGCTTGACGCCTCTCACTTGCTAAGTCTGCGACAGCTCCTCCTGCTGCAGGCGCTGGTGGCCTGAAACTAGCTGCGGGTGCCGCAGCAGATGCTGTCGACCTGGGGCGTGCGTGGGCCGACTGCATGTCCAAAATGCAAGGAGGAGATAGCTGTCTGGACCCTGTCTCCGGCATCACAAGCTAGCTGGCGTTTTGTCATCTATCTTTCTGGCGTTGTTACATAGCCTCTTGAAACGTAGGATCATGTTCCACCATTCTGCCGACGGTAATGGGGCAGAACTAGGCTCGGAAACTTTTATGACGACAGCAAGAAAGATCTCTGTATCCATGTGCACATGTACAATATATATATATATATATATATATGCTTATTATTATCTTTACATTATGTAGCTTCATATATACACATATCAGATGTTTCTGATGGGTAGGCAACAAGGCTGGATGAGCAGTGTCGGATCGTCGTGCATAGAACTTAAGGCAGCTTCGGCTGCACCTGCAGCGAAGAAGCTCAGAAGATTGTTGGTATGTGCAGTTTCACTACGACGGCCACATACACGATCATGTTTGTGGCGGCAGAGGGGACGGACGGTGACAATACCATCGCCTGGCCGTACGTCAGTACACGTGGCCACAGTGCTCATGTCAATGAAGTGGTTGGGAGTTGGATGTTTTCCTGGGCTATTTCCACTCGAAGCTGAAGCCCACAACACCCACCCTTGGCTCGGTTTGGATCGGTCTCACTTTGAGGACGAAGTCCGCATCAAGCCAGCGCTCTCATAAGGAAGGCGGGCTGCTGGCATCTTTCGCCGAGGCTAGACGCTCCGAGTTCAAGTACAACTCCTCGCCAAGAAGCATCAAAACAAAGCAAAACAAACAGCATTCCACTCCATATATCCTGAATGTTCGCATGATAGCTCGCGGCTCACCGGCACCAGCCAACCGACGCAGTGATGTGGAGCCGCCTGTCCCTCCTTCTGTTCCTTCCTGCTAATGGCCCATGCCGCTAGTACTGGTAGTGGCAGACTTAGGGGGACAAGTCTCAACAAGACAAAGGCCTGTGATTAGAAGCTCCAGGCATCTATTAACTTCTTGCAAGCACGTGTGCAAGGTCGTGAGAGGCGTGCAGCAACTGCACCGGCTCTCTTTCTTCTCGTGTGGCTAAGTGGGAGATGAGACAGAACTTCGTTTGGCAGATCATAGCACCTGCTGGTAGCCAGGTCGGGGCAAGCATGCATGACAATTCCCAACTCGCTACTGCGTCTATGTCTCTCTCGATCCGTCCTGCCTCACACCCCAACCTGTAACCCGTGGGTCCTGCTTGTTCCATCGTGCCGACGGCTTTTTCAGGCAGCCAACACGCTGCAACCGTTCCCGCTCGCGCAGGTACTTCGTACACTGGGCCTGCGAGCAGCCGCAGACTGCTCCCAGCTTAAGCTGATCCGATTAAATGCACAACATCTCTTAAGGCCTACGCTCTGCAACTAGTCTGCAACTGACCGAGGCAGCTATTCTCAAGCCTGAAACATCCTGAAACTCGCATCTCAGAGCCTCGTAGAACCGGTTGATGGCACGTTCCGCCTGCGGGGGAAGCTCCTGCGCAGCAGGGGCTGTAGATGCTTCTAGCGCGGACACAAAAACTCCTGCAGTGTGCGGCCGTATATGGTCGTCAGCTCCAGTTCTTGCGGAGCTGTCCCGACACCCATGGCTTTCAAAGATCTTCAAAAGGGTCAGCCGGGGCTCACAAACTCAGGGCATGCGCAGGTGGGTATTCTATCGCGGCCTAGCTGGTCGGCGCTGAATTGCATAGGTGGGCAAGGCATCACGACCATGCTCGATGTGCCTAGTACTGTAGTGCACACTATATACTCTTCGAATCAAGCCAGAATGTCCGAACATCGCGGCAAATACTCTCAGATCCAGGGGCACGGACTCAACACATCACAGGATGTTGCGAAGACTTTGCAGGACAGCCAGCCGCCTGGAAAGCTCCGCAACGCCTGGCTGATGCCTGGCAAGAGACAAGACCTGTATCAACGATGAGCTGCGAAGGAGAGATTCATTCATGTCATCAGTCATTGGCAGAGGTCAGCGGTCATTAGTCGTCACGGAAGCCGCTAGCGTTCATGGGTAGTTGTTTTCGCGTAACCACTTTTCTCGGCTGGTGGCCTTCGTCTCTCCTGATCCGGGTCATGGGCCCTATCCATCTCCTCTTCCGAGTCCTGGCAGGTTCAGCCGTGCTTGTGCAAGACTGGCTTCATGACAAAAACCGTAAGCTCCATGCTGTGCCGGAAGGCGACAAGCGATCTTTTGCTACACCAGTCGCGGACGAACAGATAAGAGCTTACGAAGCCTCGTCATCATCCTTGTCGACGTCTACGGGTCCGTCCACATCGATTTCTTCCTCGCAGAGGATCGGAAAGACTTCACAGGCAACTGAGGGAAAGTCTCGAAGGCCTCGCCTGCTGCGTTTTGCTAAAGGGAGCCCCCTAAGACTTTTCTCGCTCTGCTCTAATACTAACGTCGTCTCCTCTGACTCCTCTGACTCTGACTCGATGTCGATGTCCCGATCCCGCTCTTCCTGGCCGAAACATGCTCTCTAGACAGCAAGGAGAGATCATGGTGGGGAGGGGAGGGGAAGGGAGGGCAGGGGAGAGGGAGGAGGGCAGAAACTAATGGGGCAAGCCAAACAAACAGGAATGCGAGAGTGTGAGCGAGCTCGAGCTTGGGAGCGAGAGTGACAGATAGAGGGAGAGAGAGATGGAGTTCGAAACAGTGAAAGGGAGAGGAGAGGAGAGAGAGAGAGAGAGAGACAGAAAGAGAAAGAGAGAGGGAGAGAGAGAGAGAGAGAGCGAGAGAGAGAGAGAGAGAGAGTGAGTTAGTGTGAGAGTGCGACGGAGACTTGCGTGCGTGCACACATACACAAAAAGGCTCACACGTGCACTTGCACTCCCTGGTGTATTGATCGTTGCTTACGCTGGCAACATGCCATTCATTAAATTACGACATTTAAGTTGACATTCCTGCACGGTTGAGTTCATGCCGATGCTGGATGATGCGGCTGATTCTAGACTCAGCAACCTACCATACCCGGCAGTCATCATTCCTGCAGCCGCACCTGCAGAACTCCTCGCCACTAGCCACTTAGTACAATGCTCGCCACACCCCAAATACCAATCCTAGCCACAGCTTGCCCCTTAACCTAAAGGGCACAGGCCCTCCTGCAAATCCGAACTCCGAACCGAGAAGCCGAGAGCCTCTGCTTCCTCCGACTCGGACTCTGAGTCGCTGCACTCCTCTGCAGCATGGAAAGTCTTTGTCAGCGAGGGGGTTTTCAGGACAAACAATGGTACGACGCTGAGGCAAGCGGCGGTCTTCCGATACACACTGTGCACAGGCTTCAAATCCCAGTGAAAAACAGAAGCGGCCCAGACCGTAGCTAGCAGCTAGCGTTCATGAAATCAGGGTGCCTGGATCACCCTCCGATGCCCCCTGTCATCCCAAGCTTGCAGGCGCCTCGGGCAGCCAAGCAGGTATACAGCTGTCTCTTACCAACGAGCGTAGGCGGCACCGGAAGCGTTGCTTCGGAGTCCAAACGTTGCTCCCTGAAGCTGGACTTAGCCAACCAAGGATGGCCGAAAGGTGCCTCGAATTGCTACAGTAGCTGAAAAGCCAAAAGCCCACAAGCAAGTCCCCTTCTCAGGAAACGGCGCAACGGGCCGCTCTCGCCGAGACAGCCGAGCTCGTACCGGAGCCTGTTCACAGCGAGGGAGGACCGGGCAAAAGACCGGGCTGAAGATACGTATACATACATACATGCATACATACATACATACATACATACATACATACATACATACACAAATACATGTGTGTGTGTTTGTTCATACCTATATTTGTTCTTGTTAATATCTATGTATTTATGTGTCTTCATATATCTATATCTGTGTATATATACGTACAGCAAACAATCCAGCACACACACACACACACGCATAATCACGTTTAAAGATAAGTTGGTGGGATAATGCACTGCAGCGAGTTCGGTGTGATGCAACAGACTGTTGCTTTGATGTTGCTCTCCTGTACACAAACAGTTTGAGCATGCGTCTGTGTTTTGTACGTATGTTCGTTTGCGCCTGACGTGCGTGCGCTACATCCTAGCACTTTACTCTTCGAGCGAGCTGAAATTAAAAAAAAAAACAGTTGCTTTAATTAGTGGCCAGATACACTTGGATCCAACATCATCGTTCACATGCATACTGCCCACAAGTATCCACCAGCACATTGATGCATAGTTGTTCATTGTTGCCACTGCGCACTACTTGCACTGTTCCAGCTTCCTGCAATCTCCTTTGGTGATCGGCCTTGAGGCTCGTAGCGGACGACTGTGGCGCATCCTCCCTGCATGAACACAGGGCACATGAGCACACGCTTGCAAATGTCTTCTTCTGCCGCGGGTCGGTTTCGACTGCCGCGCGGACACCCTTCGATGACGACATCCAAGCCTGGAGTCGCGCCGCCGCAGCATAATGGCGGATGAGGCCTCCGCCTAAGCCACTACGGCCGGTGAATTCAAAGGCCTGACTTGTCACTGCACAAAGAAACTGACGAAGTGTAGCTGCAACCTTGCTGGTGTCATCAAGCCGTGGAAACTGTGACGAGCCGCCACGGCTGGCTGCCCAGCAGAATGCCCCAGCACAACATCAAGATGCTCGAATCGTTCCTCTGGAAATTCAAGCTTGCAACCCCAGTTTGTTGCAACCCTCTGTAACACCGGCACCTGGCAGGCCCCTATAAGACCTCTAAATCGAAGACGAGATGGCCTCAGCACAGGCAAGCCAAAGGACCCTTCGAGGCGCGCACATTGGCGCGGGGCGCTAGCGTCACCTGCTTCTGTTTGGGGTCAGAAAACACACAAATGTACACATGCACACAAGCACTGACACAGACGCACCCACACTCACACGTGCACACGCGCACACACACACACACATAGAGATCCCGGTCTGTGCCGGCTGCCAACGTTCACACTGTCTTGAATCTTGTCGATGTCGTCGTCTTGATGTCGTCGTGTACATGTATGTATGTATATATATATATATATATATACATGCATGCTTGCTTGCTAGGGGTTTAGATAGATGTGTATATGTATATTGTATTTTCTATCTCTCCCTCTCTCTCAGCGAGTGAAACTTTTGCAGGTACAGAGCTATACGCCCATAGCTCCTTCCACCTATTCCGCTAGCTTCGTTGGTTGGCATCACAGAATTGGCTGCCAGCCAGCCCCCTGCAGTCTTCTATGAATGAAGAATATTTTTCTTTGCCTTCTTCTATGGATGAAGAATCTTTTCTTCAACCTTGCTAATCTCCATGGTACCAAAGAAGATCAACGAAACCCTTAGAAACAGGAGTTTCACACACACACACACACAGCCCAGGTAACCAGGTAGTCCCAAAGACAAAAGCATGCAGGCAACTGCACACCGTTGCAAGCAACCGAGGGACTCAGATTCTAGACATGTAAGGTTTTATCGATACATATCATAAACCCTGCGTGGGCCTTGACGCCCTCCCGGCTTTCGGACGAGCGGTCTGCAAAGAGCGTGGCCAAAGCAATTCTTGAGCATGGATTCTCGATGGAATGTTCAGCCGCGGCAGGCACCACCGACTAGCACGAGGCATGTATGCTGTGCTGCTCACCGAAAAACCTTCGCTTTTGTGCAGACCGGATCCAGACCGGAACCGGCTGCAGCGCCTTCGGCTCCAGGGCCCGGCCGTAGGATGAGGCCACCGTTCGCCCCCTCCCAGTCCGGGGACGGCGAGGCACGGCCTGAGGCTTTGAGGTCAGGCTCAGAAAACTGGTCCTAAGTCTCCAAGTTCTCAAGGTTTCTTTCTCTTTCGGTGGCGATCTCTTGATGTGTCCAGTCAAGATCAGTCAAGCGAGGACCAGCTGAGGCCGCCCGCGCCGCCTCTCCTATGCAACGAGCTCACAAGCTTGGAGGACTGGACTTCGGTGCAGAACCCTTCCGACAGTGCAGTGGCAGTGGTCCTCGCCATCCCTGCGAAGGGCCGCGGGAAGGGCCTCTCCAGTGAGTACTGCACAGAGACCGAATGTGGCACGACTTGTTAGGTTCTACCGTGTCGAGGTCATCTTCCGGCCTCTTTGCCCTTTGAGTTTTGAGAAGACAGATTTCGATCAAAGTACGGCTAATGCAGAGAGGTCCTGGCGGGTCCCGGTTCTTGTATCATGCAAGCGAAGCTGCGTCATCGCAAGCTACTTGTTGCTGGCGCTTCTTAGCTTTACAGCGACTATGATATGGCATGTTCCAGCGCGGCAAACTGTCAGAGCAAGTCGCGGCAATGACATGCAAGCACAAACCGGCAGCTCGCCGCGGTCCCTGCCTGCGCAAGCCTCAGTCAGGCAAAACTCTTCAGGCCTGCCTACGAATCAACTTCTCCACAACCAGGAGCCTTTATTGTGTATCTAGCTGGCCTTGAAACCTCTGCCTCTTGAGCGCGAGCAGCGGGGGAAACCAGTAAGCACAACTCCCCTGGCTCTTTAGATTCTGCCCCTGGAAGTGTCCACTCTCTCCTTCTCGACTGAGATTGCCCACGACTTGCCCATGCCTCCATATCAGGTTATCCACCCTCACCCTTTGTTGAGAACACCTGCTTGAGCCAGCTAGGTCCGACATATCTTCGGAAGCCGTCTAGACGTCCGAGCACCCGCGCAGGCGCCGAGCCGCCATGCACCGGCGCCCTACTTCCGGCCCCTAATCCGCGTGGAGGACTTGAGGTTTTCTTGCTGACCGTTTTTGGTGCTTGCAGCGGACGCTTTCTTACTGACCAACTGTCCAAGGACAAAGTGGCTACCCCTGGCATAGCGATGTTGACAGCACTGTGTGCTGGCACATGCTGGCAGAGTAGGGCTAGGCTGGGGTTAATCCATGTCATACGGTGGAGTGACCTTTAGGCGTGTACCGGCCTGTTGACATCGAGGCAGAGTTTTGGGTTGGGCTTTGGCTTGAAGTTCAACGTGGGGTTTTTGTGATTGCTTGCAAGCTGGCTTTCGGCTTCCGAGACCTGAGAAATAACGAAGAAAAGTTTGATGCAAATCTTCCGGCTGCTACATCAGCATGCTGCCAACTGGGAGTACAGCTTGACTCGGACTTTCGCATGTCCGACCGGAAGCACTTCAAAACAAAACCAGATCCCATACCCTTTCGACATCGACTTGCAACCGCAGCAGTCCTTTTTCGCTCTGACGAAACCATGCTTAGCGACGTCCCAGACAAACTTCAAATTGGTGACCACTCGAGCGGCACTTCCAGAAGATGTCCAACTTGCGCTCTCCAAATGCTCGCACCTCACGCTCCCCGTGGGTCTCGAAGATCGCCACGGTGCGCATTGAAGCGCTTGCGGCCGGACCGACGCACGGTCCTGCACCTCGTCTTTCGTTCTCATCTCCCTCGAAAAGAACAGTTTGCTTATGTCGTGAGACAGTGACAAGCAAACACATTATAAAGCGTACTGCAGAACCAACCATCCAATTACCACCCTCCGCCTTCTCCGGCACCATCTGCTTGACCCGCTGCTGCCATCGCTGCTGCCTGCACAGTGGTGTTGTCTGCCGGAGGCCACGGGCGTTCCCCCTTACCCCCGACCATGGCCGAGCTCGGAGCGCTAGAGGCTAAATTCAGACTTCCATGGCGACATCTCTGACAAGTATTGCATCAGTTGCAGCCTAGTTGCCGAAGCTGCCGTCTGAGCGCACGACGGCGCCAAGGTGCATGTTGAAAACCTTCACGTTCTCGCGGTCGGACCGACACACGGTCTTGCGCGGCTGAGGAGCTTGTACCGGAAGGGATGGGGACAGCAGCGTCGGAAACATTCAAGCCCGTCTCCGTCATCTTGACCTCCTTCAAACAGGGTGCCTCAACAATGCAGAACAACCCATCCAGTCACAACCCTTCTCCTTCTCCGGCACGACCTCTTCCTTGACCTGCCGTTGCCTTTGCACTGTTGCGTTTGAGACTTCAACGGGACCAGAAGACATCGAACCACTTGCAGCCGAGTTGCCGAGGCTGCCCTCCAATTGTCCTTTGCCCCAAGGGTTTCGGAAGCTGACGGCGCCAAGGTGCACGTAGAAACTCTTCGCTTTGTGGTCGGTGCTCTTCGAAGGGGCTTGTGGAGGAAGGGGTGGGATCAGCGGCAGCGGCCATGTTCGAGTCAACATTTGACATCCTGACCTCCTTCAAAGAGTGCCGGTCAGCTGAGCTTATAGTCTTATAGCATCGACTGTCCCCAACAAATGCCTGCAAAGCTTACATCTGCCACGGTCCTTGGCCTCCTCCTTCGGGGCGACCTCTTCCTTGACCCCTCCTCCACCAACAGCGGCAGTGGCAACTTTCGAGTCTGCACCTGTCGTTCTGACATCCTTCTCTGGTTCCGGGGCGACCTCGTCCTTAGCCGCCTTAGCCCCTCTGGGTAGCCAATCTCCACTCTCAGCAGCAGTGCCAACTTTCGAGTTTGCATCTGTCGTCTTGACCTCCTCCCAAAAGGGCTAGTCAGCTGTGCTTAATGCCTGAAATGCATGGTGCACAAGCATCTGCCACGGTCCTCAGCCTCCTCCTTGGGATTGGCACCCGCTCTGTCTGGAGCGAGCTCTTCCTTGACCGGTGGCCAATCTCCACGCATCCACTGCTCTTGCCTATCCGCGGCAAATTGCCCAGGTTAGGACCGTTAGGACTTCGGTGCAGCATATCTGCTGGTGGTTTGAAGCGAATACCTGCAACCTGGCTGCCTGAGTGGCCGCCTGAGCATCCTCTGCCCCTTCGGGTTCGGAAGATGATGCCGCGCGGGCATAGATTCCGAATCTGTCTGCCAGAACTCCAACTGCTTCTGCGTCGGCACCTTGAAAGCCTTCAATGCAAACGCACCGAGTTTCGGACCTCAGGTGCACTAAATGTGAGATAGCACGCGAAGGCTGCACTGCATCGCGTGTCAAACAAGCGTCCCTGAATGCTGAGCAAGCCGCCCACAACATCAGTGCCAGTAGAAACGTTAGGCTGAACCGGCTCGTCCCAGCTGTCAGAATTCATCGGGCAGTCTGTGTTCAGCCATGGACCCGCCTTTCGCTTGCCACTCTTGCTTTTGCCTGGGTGGTCCAGACTTCTTTGTTGCGGAGATTTGGCTGGTGCAGTCTACGGCTTCTGCGATACTTCTCGATCTGACCTAAGGCATTTGCTACAGCAGCAAACCATCTCGACGGCCAAAGTCGCAAGCGAGCCACGCTTGCTGACCGGAAGCGGGTCTTCAGGCGGGTCTGGTCGAGCTCTGCGCATGAACGTGTCAGCTGCGAGCTTCTCACCTTTCGGCACGCGATTCCACAAGAATGACGTGGAGAAACAAATTTTTCCATGGAAAATTCAGACTTTCGACAAGCCACATTTCGGGCCATGATCGGCAACTCCCCACCCGCTTCTCCACGATAAGTGACATCCTTACAGACATGCGACTTGCTCGTCCAACAAAGATCTATATCGATAAACGAAATTCACTTCGAAATCTGTAACACCGATGACAAGGATCTCTTGCAGCAGAAGCCACCAAAGCATTGTGTCTGGCTGGCCTGCACTGCAAAGGTCATTAATTACAACTTTCTTCACAGCTTGAACCAGACCTGTTGCAGACCAAAGATTCAGCACAACTTTCACTACCAGCCCTGCAGAACGCCCCAAAGCGAAACTACACATCGAAGCCCTCCACCTGGTAGGGGCACAAGGTATTGGCGCAGGCGAGCGGCTGCATGCCTCTTCAGCATGCACTAAGGAGATCACCCCAGACTCAGTCTTTCTATCAGGTTGTCTAGTCGTATTAAAAGTGCTGCGCACATGATGCTTCTTGAAGTTGGGCAGCTGCTCGCGGACTATGCTAGTCCTACAGGGCATGCTCTACAGTCTACAGCAAGTGGATCGCCACGAACACCCCACATCCAGCTGCTTTGTGATGCTCCTATCATGCTCAGAGCTCCCGCGTGCCCTTCGAGCGACAGAAGCGGCTCGCCTCTGGCAGTGGCCGCAGGAGCCCGAGGACTTTGACATCGTAGGGCTGAAAAAGTATGAAGTAGTAACGCTAGTAACGGTGTGTTGAGTTGTCAGGCCATCGGCACCAGTCGAGAAAGGCTGCGAAGATGTAACAGCTTCCAGGGCTGCAACTTCCCTGCTTCAGATACATGCTTACACATCGTTCCACGACGGAGGACACCAGACCGCCACACAAAGCCCACACTTCTCCTGGATTTTGGTCTGTCATTGAGCAGGTGTAGTGGGCAATGCAGAGTTCGAATCTCTGGATCGCAGGAGAGGAGAGGATTCTGCGGGCGATCACAAGGCAGCCCCCGGTGTGCTGGGCCCGAGCCAAACTTGCGCAGTGCTGGCGACTCTGAAGCGACGCTTTGCAGGAAGCTCTTCCTTGCTTGCTTTGCTTGCTTCTCCCTCTCTCTCCCTGCCGCTTGGGCAACGCCACTCCAGAACCTAAGAGACGGTCTTGGGAGGCTGGGGAAGGGAGCATGAGGCCCATGCACTGCACGCTTGTTTCCATGACGAGACAGATCACTCGGCACGAGGCGCTCAGCAGCAACGACGTTTGGCTATACTTTGTGGGAAACACGAAGCGTCTACCATGCACTACCTTGAAGTCTCTATCCTAGCAGTTCACGAGTTCGGATCTCCTTGTGCGCCATGCTTTCCTAGATACGTTAGGGTATGAGTAGCTCGAAGGGGTGAGAGCAGACGACGGATTGACATCAGCAGGTGCCGGCCACGTCTCTCCAAGGCTCAAACCAAACATTATAATATATTGCTAGCTATGTAGTCTCGGAACACACCACTGGTCGAAAGCTACGACTGGCCGCCCTTAGACGCTGGCAGTGAAATCGCATGCAAGCGAACCACAACTGCCACTAGAGAGAGGACGATCCTTGCTACAAGTTGAAAAATGCTGGGCACTCGTTTGGGGAGGCTTCACCATGATGAAGGCAAGCTGAGGGAAGTTTCTTGCACACAACCTCATCTTCATGAACTTCACGGCCAAAGAGACGACGGCCTCGCTACATGGCTCTCGCGGTGGAACCGCTTTCTGAAAGTCCAAAGGCTGCAATACTTCCAATTCAGGAACGACAGCAGAAGACAGGCGCTTTCTAGTGTGGCCCACGAGACCATGCAAGATCTGCGCTTTCGTTACGTCAAGAACCCTCCGAGATGTCACCGAACAGCTTCCGCCGCGAGATACATGGAACGTCGAGGAGGGCCCCAAACAGCAGGAACCTGACCCTCTTCTAAGGGGCCACCGAGCCATGCTCGCTAGAGAGCTTGAGGATGCTTGAGGGGACCTCCCGTAAGGGCTCACTACACGTTGATAATGGTCTTGCCCTTCTGGAGGAACTGAAACACCTCCTTGGCCACCTGCACGCAAGCGCCGCGTGGCACAGCAGGCTAGAAGTTCCAGCCTGCTACCTGTATCAGCCTGTAGCTGTGGAGATCTCAGGAAAACCACAGCCTCGATGTTGTCCGGATTCTTGTCCGGATGCCAATCTCTCAACCTCAGGAGACGGAATCTGCTTGCGATGCTCAGCTCTTTAGAAGGCTTTCGAAGCAGAAACCTGAAGCATCCGCGCGACGGTGTACGGAAAGGCCCCACAGAGCCCAAACCCAAAGCCCTGCATGCCGAAGGCTCTGATCTTCCCCGCCATGAAACCTCGCTACCAGTACCAGTCTTTACCCCTGAGCCTGCACAAATAAAACGAGCCAACGAGAACCCATGGGACTGGGATGCAGTTGCGGAGCAGCGCTCTCCACTCCTTCGCTCTCGCTTCTTTGGGCTCGACGGACTGCGGCGCAGTGCAGCTTTGCTTCACGGGCTTGGGCCATGTGGGTCAGTAGGATCCATGGACCCCACAAGCCTGAAGCTGAAAAGTCCACGCAATCTGACACTCCCGAGGCCCAAAAGTTCGCTGCCTGGAGCTTTCTGAGCTTTTCCAAGGCCTCGAGCTTGGCCTGCGGTGCCATGATGTGCCATGCTTACATGAATGCAGAGGAGCTCGAGCACCGGGGATCGTCAGAGCCTTAAGTTGGCGCCTTGCGCCCAGTCTGCGAGTTCTAAGTCTCTAAGTCCCGACATGGAAGCGGGTCAAATCCTTTTCTACAGCACGCCTGCTCGATGGCCGGCGATGTTGTCTTGCCCTTAGCGCCGGCGTGTTCGCCCACCTTCCTCGGGCTCCGGCTCCTGGCAGAAACCCCGGGATGCGTGACTCCACAGCACAAGTACCAGCCCCATCACTTCTTGGATTGAAAAGGCGGGTGGCTGGTGAACGATGGTGAACGAAGCACAAAACATGACGACATCTAACAACTCAACCGCGAAGGGCGCCAGTTGCAAGAGTCCCGACCCCTGCAGGAAGTTTGAAGCTCCACGGGCGCTGTGCCTTGAACTGCTGCGCACCTCCTCGGCTTCGAGGACACTGCTGCTGGAGCCTCAGTGATTCAGGTCCGCTCTCTGGTCCTGGACGGTCACAGCAAAGAGAACTGCACACTGCCCCTTGCACTACTCAAGGTCGCACAGGGTTAACACAGTGGATAAGACTCGCTTTTCGGCTGCCTGTACTTTGCAGCAACAGCGGGTGGTGAAACTCTGCTGTCTCAAGGAGTTGTCTACCCGGCCAGCGCAACGGGCTGCGTGGGTTTGTCTCTGCCTTGCCATCCTCGAGTGGCTTTGCTGGCTGAAACTGATGCAAACTCCTCATGGGTAAGGTGGCTCAACAAGCTCATAAAGTCGTAAATAGACCGAAGGACAAGGAGGGTCGTTCATACCTCCTCCGGCACTATGAGCCGCCAGACTGGTGAACTCGAGGATCGCAAGGCAGACCGGAGCGCTAAGAGAATACGAAACGATGCAAACACCTTGCATCGTGCACGCAGCTTCGCAAGAGGTTCTCTCAGATCCTGTCTACGGAGATTCTTAGTATCTTCCGTGGGCTTTCGATTGCTGAGAGTACCATCCAGTGTAACTTACTCTTCGCGCAACTTACTGCTTTTGCTATTTGCCACGGGCCGCTACAAATACCAACAACCTGTCTACCCAGCCAAAACCAGTGATGCACTCAAAGGAAAACCGTCCTCTCAGAGCACAGCATCCGCAGTTCAGCGCAGAGAACTTCGCGAGCCTCCCAAGCACTATGTCATGTCTCGGTTAGTATGGCACCTGCAGCGCATGATCGTCGTAGATGTTCATAGATGAAGTCGCTAGGAGTATCATGTTGATTGCATCCTCTCAAACTCGAAAAGCGTATCGCCAGTGAGAGTCGCACCTGTACAGTACACCCTTCGAATGAACACCTGGACTCTGTCTACCAGCTACCGCCTTCGGCGATGTAAATTGATATACCTATATCCCCTTGTCCAAGCAATCGATGGTCACCACCTTGTCGGGGAAGCTTGGAAGCTTAGCCTCATTGCTCCAAGAGTTTGGCTTTTGGGTGCGTGTCTTCATTTCGAGCCGGGTTGGGTGTGAGGAGTTCCTTGTACGAGCATTCCTGTTCAATGGGGTTATGTGATTCCTAAAGTCACCGAGCCGCAGCTGCTGCACGGGTTTAGCTGCCCCACTGCATGCATTGCGCAAAATTGGCTTCGGATGTTAAAGACGTACTCGGGACACCAGTGCGAGCAAAGATCGTGAGGCTGGCTCCCATTGCCTGCCTGTAGTTGCTCTATATTCCCACTATGCAACTTCCTGCTTCTTGTTGCCGCTGTTCCTGCACATCCATACTGGCGTTACCTGCGCAAATCCAGTGAGGTCTCTGACACCCGGAAGACCCCCAAGTTGCCCCAAGTCTTGCTTGCCGTCCTGGTGGCAGTTGCTGCAGGCTCGCGCTCCCCTTGCATCATCCGACGCAGCGCGGCAAGGGTGGGAAGGTGGCCTTGGTGGCTGCTGACTCCGTGATTCCACACGCAACGCCAAAAGATTCTTTCTCAGGGGGTGGCGAAAAGCTCTGCCGCTTCGCTGGCAAGCTGGGCTGTCAGTTTCCGAAGTCCCCAGATTCTCCCGTGCACAGAAACTACGACGAGTTTTACCGGCACCGAGTCGGGGACCCGTGTTAACATCTATACATCCCTCCACTGTTGGAAAGGAAATTAAGCAAAAGCCTTAGCGGCAATCCGTTGATCGCCACGGCTTCTCACTGAATTCGCCACTGCTGGCATCCAGACTCCGACTTGTATCGGAGCCAGGCATTTGCAACTCTGCCTGCCGCGCCGAAGCGAGACAAGCAGAGTCAAAATCGAATTGGAAAACAGTCAGGAATTCGCGTCAAACGCACGTGGTTGTCCGCCGCAGACTTAGCATTCGAAGGGTCCCTCATGACCCCTGCAGAAGAGGTCGTGAGTGCTGTCCACCAAAATACCTGCAAGAACAGCACCGATGATGGGCTCATTGCATTCACGATAAAACGGGCATGCAGTAACTTTGCTTGGCATTTGCGGCAATAGTTGCACCCTGTCTACGAGCTGTACTGATGCCTCAATGTGAATGCGCGTCGTGGCATGCACACAGTATACGGGTGACCATGTGCACAGCGCATAAAAAGTACATGCAGGTATGCAATCGTATGTGTACGGGCACATACATGCACGCACACATGCACGCGCGCATGCATGTATGCATGCATGCATTCATAGATACACATAAATCATATACGTAACTGGGCAACTACTGCATGTGCGAAGCCCCTGCGCTCTGATTCACGATTCGCTCTGCCTCACATGGCATCTCCTAGGGTTTGCGGGACTCACCGTGAACGCGCTGGACAGTCAGCGGCATCTGTTGCGAGCCGTTGTCCGAGCTGAAAGCGACAGAAGAGCGAGCTCAAAACAGACTCGCAGCAGTGTTTCACTTTGGATTCTGATGCCATCATGGCACGGCACCGCATGTGTGCTTCGAATGTCTGGGGCCCAGGCCCCCAAGAACTGCACCGAGATCTCCGACAAAGCACCAGAAAGAGTAGGATGCCAGATTGTGTTCGCTCGGCACGTGCTTGTCAACATGGTGGGCCGTCAAGCCGTAGATCGTGCCATTCCCCCAGAAGACCAGGAAGATAGCAATCGGGATGATGATGGCAATCGCAAGCGATTCCAGATACAGTCCGAGAGCAATGCACGCCATGGCCAGGCCGAGAAAGACCAAACGTCGGTACAGGCTGGGCGTGGAAAGGTAGATCGCAATGCGGCGGCTGATGGAGTCCCCGAGGAAGATGAAGAAATAGGTAACAGCAAAGAACTGGCCCCACTTCATGAGGTGTTGGTCACTCTTGGGGTTGAAGAGGGGCACATAGGGAGGATGGAACATGTAGAAGATGGCCGGCCAGTTCTCCATTGCGAAGTGACTCAAGAACTGTGCCACAAAGAAGGGCACCATTCCCGGCATCCAGTGCCGGGCTTGGAGCAGCGAGGCCGCGAAGTTCGCCGTCTTCAGCTCCGTGTTGCCTCTGGGGGCCAAGCGCGTGAACAAGAAGAGCCCGAGGGGAAGGCAAAAGAGGATGTACCAATAGATGTACACCATCTCCAAACCGAAGGAGGAAGCTGTGAGGCCCAGGATGTTAATGGTTGCGAAGCCTGCAGGAGCTCCCACAATGGCCCAGGCCTTCGTGGCCCTCCCCATGGGCGTGATGACGCTCAGGAAGGTGACTTCGAAAATCCCCAGACCCAGGCCCGAAAGCATGTAGGCGATGAAAACCGACCCTACCCAGCTCCAGCCCAGCGTGAAAACCAGCAAGGTCGGGATTGTAATCCCCACAAACATGAAGCACATCGCGATGACAACTCGGGTCCAGGGGCTGAGGCGCGCGAAGACGACGTTGTGCCCCAAGCGAGCAATCAGTTTTCCATAGTGGACTGCAACGGCCGCTTGTGTGAAGGCATGTGCGGCTGAAGTGCCGTCCGTGCTGATGCCCAGCCGGTGCTTGTAGGCCGATTGGAGAGGGCCCACCATTGAAGCATAGCCCTGAAACATGCTGAGCATGACGAGCAGCATGAGCCGGACTGGTGGCTGCTCCTCCGAAGGCTTCTCCAGATCCTCTGTGACATCGCTTTGCGACATCTCCAGGTCCACCTCAGCCTTCCCTGCCACCGCCTGGCCGTCCTGGGCGACCTGGCCATTCTGCACTTCCTGCGCATCCGCCGCATCCATCTTTGCTGCGACTTCCGCCATCCGAACTGTCTGTCAAAAGTCGATAGGCAGGCGACTGGTAACTAGTCCTGCCCTTGAGCCTTGTGGCTTTCAAAACCAAACAAAACTGGCAAAGGTCGCTCACACAAAGCGTGAATTGCCAGAGTGGAAAGACAACTTCGACACAGCACCTCCCTTCATCGATGCCAGGCCGCGCCATTTCGCGCTGCCCTCGCTGCGAAGACATCGCGCGAGGCCGGCGGCCAAACCTGTCCAACTAGGCCAAAGACGGGCCGAAAGTGGCCCGAGCATCGAAGAAGCAGAAATTTCGTTCCTTTAAGGGAACGACTCGGGAAATGCTGGCTGGTGTCATGAGAGCCAGGCACCTTCCACGTAGGCCAAAGGGATATGAGCAGCGACGTCGGGCCAAGCAGGCATCGAGTGCCGATAGTCCGCGGCAGATGCTTTCAACAAGGACTGGTCCTGCAAAGTGCCGGTGCTGCGGCCCACGCTGCCACAAGTGCGAGCTTGCGGTTCCCAACCCCTCCTGGCCCGGCACGATTTGCAGCATCACGCCAGGTGGAAGCTGCTCGAGCTGCAATGGGCGATGGTTTGGGCGGCCACCAAAACGGGAGTTTTCAGACGTGCCTGCTCAGGCTCGGGGCGCCGCGGCTCTTGCCCAGCACCTGTGGCCATGCCTTGGCAGGCCGACTCAGATTGAGTTGAAAGGACATAAGGAGTCACGGAATACTCCAACGACACATCCTGGGGCAAACCCTCCATAGGCAGAGGCTCATCATAAGCTTTATGCTGGAGATTTTGCAAGGCAACGAACGGAACGAGACACTACCATCAACAGTCGGCCACCACTCAAAAGCACTCTTACATACTGTACAGGGAACGGAGAACGACGGCATGGCGACACCCAGCACCCGCGCCAAGTCGCGCATCATTGTGCGCGCGAGGCTGAGCTCCACCAAGTCGTCAAGGAGCTCGGAAACGCTCCTCAAGGCCACTGCAGACGCACTCGCTGGTCAAGGTTCCAAGTTTCCGTGTGCCACCATTCCATTTTTCGTGGCGGTAAAATCGTGGCAATCTTAGTCCAATCCGGGTGTTCTCTTTTTTCGCAGCTACAAGTATGGGGAACAACTTCACTCCAGCCGCTTGAGGCAGACATCTCTGAAAGCAGCCATGCAGCGACACGGACGCACGTGGAGACCAATCCTGCGCACGCTTTCAGGCCGACTCCGTCTCTGTGGCACAGCAATGCACAGCATATGATTTCAATTAAAAACAGCCCCTTTTTACAGCAGGCCTCGTACACAGCAGCCCGGTCCCCAGCACACTCGCTCACTGTAATACTGAGATCTCTCTAGACACTATCTGGAAAGTCAGGATCTTATTATATTCAACAGCCCCTAAACCCTAATCCCTAATCGTCAAAAGCTCCTGCGCATTCACAGCCACGAAAGCCGCGCGGCTTTGGGCGAGACGTTCGCAAATGTTTCGAGACAGCACCGCAGGGGTGCCAATGCCGTAAGCACAGCCTGCATATGGGACAACACGCAACGCACACATGTCATTAACTAGCAGCTAGCTGAGGGGCACTGTGATGCCCAATTTCCATAGCGCGCCACATCTTTGGCTGCCTTTCATCTGCACTTCAGGGACATCGCATGCAGCCTCCGACATCGTACGAAGCCGCCGCCGCCGCCTTATCCCGCAGCATGGCCACGCACATGGCCGAGACGGCTCCACCCATGCTGTGCCCACAAAACACGAGCCTGTAGCCCTCGCAATGGGCCAGGTGCTGCAGTTCGCTCATGAAGCTTCCTAAAAAGACTTTGCCGTCCTGGTGGGCTTGCATCTCCTTCCGCAGCAGCTCCTCGATCTCCTGAGCGAGAGGTGAAGCCACAGATAGGCTGCACGGGCCCAGCCCGGCCTCGAGCAGCTTCTGCGAGGTCTTCACGAAGCCTTCGTGAGCTGTGCCTGCAATCGTCACTCCATACCATGCCGGTAGGCCCACAAGTCTGCCCATACTGCAAGTGACCACGGCCTTCCAGAAAAGGCACCGAGTTTACGGCGCAGTCCGTGAGGATGTCCTTCAGCGACAAAGTCCCGCGGACCGCGACCACGATCCACTTAAGGGTATGATCCCGTGCGACTGCGAAGGCTGGCCTGGACGACAGCACGGACGGGTCTGCTTTGGGTTTCCATGAGTGCATGCTTCAGGAGTACAGACAGGTGGGCAAGTGGCTGCAGCGGCCCCAAGCTGCGCCATTGTGCGCACAGCAGGTCTTCCGGTGCCAGGCACATCATGTCGAGGAAGGCTGCCTCCTTGGATCTTCCCTGACTGCGCTGATGGCCACAGTTGAAACAGCTTGGGCCAGGCTCGTTGGATGCGTCGTCGACATGCTCTGCATAGTCGAAGGCCGCACGGTGGAGCGAGAAAACCATGGCTCCTGTCCAGCGAGCGTTGGACCAAAAAGGGTATACGGCATAAGAGGGCTTTCCGGTTGGCGAGACAGCTTCTGCTGGATACAGAAAGAAACTCGTGCGTGAGCAGGGCTGAGATGCAGCAAGCAAGCTGTGCCAAGAAAGCTCCTTGTGTCACGGAATCGAACAAACCGCGCCGTCCGGTGTAGGCGTATGCAGCCCGGCTGTACACTGCCGCCAGCACCATGTCCTCGTATGTCATGTTGGGAAATACTGGAAAGCAGCAAGCAGCTTGACCCTTCTCGACATGTGTCAAGAATCTGTCAGTGTTGGCAAATCATCCCATGGCGATAGCCTCTGGCAGAGATTCTGGTACTTCTCCTGCGCGGGACAAGCATCTAGTGAATCCAGTCTTGAGGCTCAAGCCCTTGATCAGACTCAGCCGCTCTCAAGGATAAGTTTCTGGTACCAAGCACAAAGTAGCGAACTCATACATGACAGGATCAAAACACGGAAGACCTCTGAATTTTGCCAAGGGGCCACGTCGCTGTGCGAACGTCGGATGACTGCGGTAGGATCGATAGGCACTTGCGACATGCTGCGTCCTGGGCTGCTACAAAGGGGTGCACCACCCGATGCAGGTCGCCATGCCTGGAGAATCAAAAAAATGAGGGGCTGGCTACCAGCAAGGTCACCGACGGCATTCCAAAGGCTCTGCATGGCACTCGAGCTGTTGTCGCACCAGAAGATGCGGGCGGCACTTTCCTCGCGTCTGGAAAATGTAGCAGCTGATGAAACAGGTAATGCTGTGTCTGTTCCACCACGGACCTGGTGTCAACTGCTGGGAGTTACACAGCTAAACTCCCTACTGCTGGCATTCTGCACAGCTGCGCAGACCACGGAGCACTAGGACACCAGGAATCGTAACAGGGTCCAACACAACATGCAAAGCCGAAACGCTAGGAATCGCGGCAACACAAGAACGCTGCAAAATCACACCGCGAGCGGTGCTGAGCACAGTTCGGCTCTTAACTCCAAGTGGCGGAACGAAGTGGTTCACCTCGGCGCCAGCGCCGGCGCCGCACCCGATCCCCGAAGCCTGGGAAGTCGGATACTGTATGTTGCAGGTATCGTGCGGGATAAGAGGCCTCGAGACCAGGGGCTGAGCATCCAGCCGTCAAACAGACTTTGAGAAGGGTTTGAAAGACCGCAGGAGGGGCGGGGAGTTGGGCATGGTCGGACAAAGTCCAACTAAGCTTCGAACACCATGTTGTTGTGGAACTTGAAATTTCACCAACCCTCAACGTCTCTGTCTGACCAGGCGGCGAGGTGTGGCACGGCCACCCAGGCGTTGGGAGTCTAGCCTATCTGCAGTGAGAAGTGGCCGGACAGCAGACTTAGACCGCGTTCCGGACGGAACCGGTTGAGAAGTAAGTTCCTTTGACTGAGACCGGACATGGCTCGGCCCTTGCACCTGTTTGGCTTGGTTGCGTAGATCCAGCCATCGCAGTCGGTGGTCGAATCCACCTGTCAGGCCACGTGCGAGTCTTTGCCTCGGAAGTAAATTCGCAAATATGAAGTCCTCGCATGCGCTGCATTTAGGAAGAAGCCGACATCCCATCGTACTAGTCCGATCCTTCAATCTGAAGAGCTTACCCGAACAGAGTCGGCTCCAGCTAATTGGAAGATGAGCCTTCGGGCCATAGAGGCAGGATATTTCCTCGCCGTCGGGGTAGACCAGGACCTTCAGATCTGCCCTTGGCCGAGAGATCTTCCAGCGTTCCAGTTGCCGCGTGTTGCGAGCTGCAAGGGCTATGCGGCTCTGCTGACCAGGCGGCGAGGTAAAGTGAACGTCTTTCAACTTCGTCGCCTTGGAGGCGATGCAGCACATGCGGGAACGAGCAAAGGGGCCCGTGCTGGGGCTTCAGCCCGATTTAAACTGATTCCCTAGTTCCGTGGTCGCACTGCACCGGTGCAGATGAGGCACGCCATCATCGGCCCTAGCTGAGAAGCACACAAGCAGAACACTAGATAGTTTGCAAGTTGCAGTGATCTTCCGGCACTTTTGCTGCCCAAGCTGCAGGACCTCGTAAGGTGGTGCCCGCTCCTTCAGAACTTGAGGGCGCAGTGGAAGAGGCGGAAAATAGAAAGATGGCAGACACCAGGCCTCGATCAGGCTGTCGGCCCAGCTCCGGGTTTCCGACGTAGGGGTCTCTTCCCAGGCACCAGACCAACCAATCCTGGCGCTCTACCACTTCCAGGGCTTTCTTTTTCCCGCTACTGCCGACGTGGTGCTGCTGGTTCTCGAGGATCCAGAGAGGCAGACCTTCGAGCAGCTCGGGCACCTCGTCCTCGGCTCGCGGGGCCGCGAAGTTTTTGCTCATCCCAGCAAAAACTATCGGCAACCCGGTCTCTGTCGCCAGAAAGGCTGCTGCCATGGCTGACTGGCACACATGGCATCTGCTGTGCCTCCTTTGTCACTCTTGTCGTTGCAATGTAAGCTACAAAAACTGTCCTCAAAATACATCCTGCTTCTTTGGAAGCTTTGGGTGGGTTGTATCTCACCAGGCCGCACGCAACACACACTGCCCTTCAGATCTTACATGCAGCAGGGTTCGTCCAACAAGTTGTCCGAGAAGGCTGCATGCACTTGGCACATCAGATGCCGGAGACGCTCAATCTCACAGCCAATCCCTGCTGACAAATGCTGCAACTTTACGATTATAGTGCTATGCAGCTGAGGAGACAACCGCTTTTCTTAGACCTGCGAAGAGCGGCAGCTCTCTCATTGCCTGCTGTGAGGAATGCTTTTGCTAAGGAGGGGGCTTCTTTTTCTTCTTTTTTTTCTTCTTCTTATCCTCAGTGAACGCAGGGAGAGCCGCAGTGGCTCCGCGCCCCCGGAGAAAAGCGATGGAACGTGAAGCGTATTCCACGCGGGTCGCCGTGTTCCAGCCCAGCGGCCTTCTTCTTCTTTTTCCGCTTCCTCTCCGAGGAGCTTTCCGAGGTCTCCTGGAAGACGAAAACAGAACTTGCTGCGACCCAGGTGCAGCAGGCGGATACGAGTAGCATGGAAGATCGCAAGCGCCCAGAAAGCAAGTATTACGAGTACATTTCATCTCGAGGATGTTCTGCGATTCCTCGCTTGTTCTTCGTGAGGACGGGCTCTTCTCCTCGCACAAAAAGCGGTCTCGACACTAAGAAGCTGCGTCGTCGCGGAGGGGATACATGACACAGGCAGCGGCAGTGAGTACGAATGAATCGCAGACGCGGCAACAGAGCGCCGAATGGCTGGCAGGGTGAAGGTCGCATCGCGCATGCCCGATTTTCCATCCAAGTGATTCTGTTTAGGCTTGCCTAGAAGCAAGCAGGAACTGGTCATGTTACTGCAGTTTGCCAAATAGGGGGTGCAAAAAGTCATTGAATAGATGCACCTCAAGAATGGGCTTGCGCAATCGCTCTTCACAGCTCGTGCTGCTGGAGCCGCCTCGGACGCGGAGGGCGGAGCCTTCTCCTCAACGACAGGTCCAGGTGGCGGGACGCCTGCCTGTCCATGAACCGTGCTTCACATTCTTGCTTCATGGGGTGCGCAAACAGCAACAGGTCACACCAAGCTTCGGCCTGACGTTCTAACAGCCTAGCTAGCAGTCGGGGGAACTAATGCAAGCGATGAAAAGCAGAAGAAAACGAACATGGAGATGGAGATCGGCATTTGCACTTGTCTAGTTCGTGTGCCTCGCACCCGATGCTAAAGGATTTAGTTGAGAGACTTGTCACGATATGCGGCTCAGATGAGAAAAAAAACATGCAGAGGCGGCGACTCCAGCAACTCACACCCTCGCACCCTGCGCACTTTCGCGGTCCATAAATGCCAGCGCTCCGAGCTCCGGGAGATGGTGATGCTGCCATCACACGCAGCGTAGCATCTGCACACCTTGTAAATCCCTGCGCCAATACCACAACTCAATTCGCATCATGGCCAGCGCAGATGCACCCTGCAGTGTGGGAGACCGGACACCACTACAGGCTGGCGTTGTGCAGTACGCTCATTACGCTCATGCTATTTTCTGGAGTAGGGTGTAAGAGAAAAGGTGCAACATGGCAACTCTATGCCTATGAACCAGATGAATCAGGTCTGATTGACGAGTCCGCTAGGGGATTGTAATCTAAACGCGAGTCTAGCTAACCTCCTACACATGTCACATCCCCACACTTGTCCCGGCACGGATGTTAGATGACACCAGGGCATGCAGTCAGATCACTGGCAGCTGGACAGCCTGGCAACACAGCGTCAATGCTTCGGACAAACTTCAGGGCCGATGTCGGCACTACGCATGCAGCGCTGGGCGATACCCCGTGCCTTCCACACTTCATTGTGGCGTGGCGGCATCTGCGGGTGGGGGCGGTGGTGGGCTGCCGACCACAGCGGCAAGTTGCGCTGCCACGCTCGCATCGCCAGGCGCTTCTTGTGGTGCGGGTGCTGGCGGGAGGGCAGGCTCACCTGGTTGCACCGCCTGCTCCGCATGCTCTGGTGCGGGTGCTGGTGGTGCCGCTGGCAGTGCCTCCTGCGGCACTCCCCCGAGCGGCGGTTCAGGCGGCGGTGGCACTGGTGGAGGCTGGGCCTCGATAGTCGCCTCGATCGCCCCGGCCACCGCCCCTGCCCCCGGCATGGCCTGCGCCATTCCGATCTGCAACGCAGCTTGTGAAGGATCGGCCATCACCTTCGGCTCGGGCATTGCGAATTCTTTGTTGCTTGATCTGCGATCTGAGGGCCCGTCAGGTAGGCCAGCGGCGGCAGCGTCCTGGGGACAAGAACCCAACACGCACTTGCAGCACAGTGTAGCTGCACTCAGCATGAGGGCCTGGAGGCCCACCGGTTGCTGAAGAAGCGTCTGTTGCTGCATCAGCGGCTGTTGCATCAGGTACTGCTGCATGCCAGGTTGCAGCAGTTGCTGCACGCCCGGCTGCTGCACAGCGAACTGCTGCATGCCAGGCTGCACTGCGAACTGCTGCAGGCCCGGCTGGACTGCGAATTGCTGCAGCTGCTGCATTCCCGGCTGTTGAATGGCGTATTGCTGCATGCCAGCCACGCCATACAAGCCCTGCTGCAGTCCCTGTTGGGGCACTGCCTGTACAGGCAAAGACTGCTGCAGGACGTATCCGCCACCGGGCCTGAGCTTCAGGTTGCTTCTCTTCCCTTTCTCGTACCGCCTATACCACTATACCATCCGTTGCCCTGCGCTGAATCGGAGGCGCTCCAAGCCGAGCCTCTGGCAACGCCGTCAGGGCTGGTTGCTGAACTTGTACGGCATAGCCTGCGACACCTTGCAAGGCACCTTCAGGGGCAGTACCAAACTCAAAGCACTCTTCTGGTTGGGTGTGCAGGGTGCAATCACATGTTCGATCTAGTCGACTGCTTCCCAGCTGTGGTCATCTCGCCTGCCGTCAGGCCAGTAACACCATAGGGGCTGTACCCAGCTGCAGCAACTGTGCCTGCTCCTGCACGCAGGAAATTCGACATGGCTTGGGGGCATAGGCTTATGAGACAGTTGCTCGAGTGTTGCAGCTCGTGTGAGACTCCAAGAGCTGGCGGGCTCGGGCAACCTTGAACCCCCCAATCTGAGCCGAGGCGCCTCCGTTTGACACAGGGCCGTAGCCACGTTGGCCCAGGGGCTGGCTTCCGCCGGTGACATTCTTAGCGACCTGCCAAGACGCTCCGAGCTCTCCTACAGTCGGAGCATAGGACAGCGAGGCTGCTACAAGTTGCTAATGCGGATCTGAAGAAGTGCTTTCGCAAGCGGAGATCCCCCCAAGGCCCCAGGGCACCATCTGTCCCGGCTTGGTCTCACTGGGCTGCACGTCAAAGCGGACCCAATCGCCTGCACAACTCGAAGGCCGGAGTTTCAACATGGCCCTGAACACTCTGTACTAAGTCTTCAGCGGAACCTTGCTGTGGCTGGGTGTTGATGCACTCCTTGACGTGCAGCCAAACATTCCTCAGCAAATCGGACATCAGCACAAATCTCAGCACGGCCCGCATGAAAGTCGATCTTTGATGGTACCGCAAAGCCACGGCTGTCCGGGCAGATCAATGAAGCCGTAGCCCTTGGTGTCGTTCCAGGTCCGCCTAGGCTTTCGGTTTCGACAGCAAATACAGACCTGAGTGGAGAGAGAAGAGCTCTCGGGCCAAGCGGCACTTTGCCTACATTCGCACCCGAGCCAGCAATCTCCGGGGCAGGCTCTGCTGGGAACTGTGGCATCTCCTCCGGCTCTTTTAACAGGTGGATCAAAAAAGGACCAGCCCTACTTGCTGAGACTAGAACTGCAAGACAACATCTGCACTAAGAATATATTAAGAATCATGTCGATCACTTGCAGGGCTTAGCAGGCGTGCCTTGACGCCGGTGCTGCCTTCTACATTCTTGGCAACCTCTGGCAAACAAAAACGTGCCGGAGACCTCCCGCACCAGCCCAAGGCTACTTGCAACGGTGCGGCCATCTGCCCCGGCTTGGATTGGCTCGGCTCCAGCGAGAAGGTGAGAACATCTCCCGGAACGGGCTGCTTGTCATCTATGCCTGCTGGTTGTAGCCGCATGGCAGCTTCAGGCAGCAGTCGTTAAAGCATTTACATGATTGCTGTGATTGTCGTCAGGTCCATGGTCGCGATAGCAGCACTGAACGACCGCCTCGCTTACGCGCGGCATGGAAAGCCACCACCACCACCACCACCACCGTCAACACCAACACCAACACCAGCACCAGCACCAGCACCAGCACGAACAGCACCACCAGCACCAGCAGCAGTATCACAAAAGAACATAGCAGCTCGACAGTTGTTGTGTCCGTAACTTCAACTAAGTGTACAACAGGCCTGAGTAAAGAGTTGTCTAGTGAATGTCGGGGGAGCCCTCCTTGCACGAAACGCTGTGGACTCCACCTAGTTCATTCCAAGCGTCAGTCTTTGATGTGAATGAAGACATCGGTACCTGTGCCAATGTCCTGAGCAAGTGCCACGGCGGAAATGCCGTATCGGGGCCTCGTTGCCTTCACATCGCTTGGAAGCCTTGTGTAGCATCAATTTCAGACTGTGGCCCTCCCTTCCGCCCTTCTAGCGACAGGGTCAGGCAGGCGGCAATGAAACCGAAGCCCTTGGCTCCGTTGAAGCTTTTCACTCTTCCCTGTGTTCGAGCCATGGCTCTACTACGAAATGAGGTAAGCTTTGGATGCGCTGCTGAAGTGCATCTGTATGTGCCTCCATGGAAGTAAGATCATGACCACGAGGCTGCTGGCCTCTGCCTCTGTACTCGCCGGATGTCTGGTTTGTGTCTGCGACTTTTGTGTGGAGCACACGGGTTAGACGCTTAGACTTCTTGTGTTACGAAGCTAGGAATGCTAAGAACATGCAATGTGCAATCTTGTCTCAATCAACATGCCATTCAGCTACAACCTTCTTCATGGATACGAAGCAAGAAGATGCAAGAAGTCAGGGCCAGCAACAAGAGCCAGCTTTCGAAGCACCAACTCTTTCCGCACACTTTTCCAGCAGCAGCCGCCCCGTCAACCAAGGACCTCGACTCACCTGTCTCCCTGTTTCGGAGAGAGGTACCACCAACATCATCGCACATGTCTGCCGAAGTCTGCTCACGTCCTGCTCCTTGCTGCGTTGCTCTACCTGGGAACATGTCGAAGGCGTCCGTGGCCTGTGACCAAGAAGAGCCCAACAAGGGCCAGTCGATTTTGCTCCGTCGAGGTGATGTTGGACCGTTGGACGTGGCACGGCAAGATCTTTGCGTACATGGAAGCTTTGCGTACATGGAAGCTGTCAGGTCAAGGTTTGGTCATGGTCATCGCCACTCCCAGACAAGGACTCCTCGTCCTCGCTTGAACCGCCTGGGCGCAAAACCAGATGTCAGATCAGGGATACAATGAAGCGCACCGACTACAGGCACCTCTCCGAAACTTGCTGCTGACCATCAAGAAACACAAGCTAGGGCTCGCACCTTTGAGCTGCGTGAAGGCAGCACTTGAAGTTCGGTCGCCGATTCTGGCGCAGAGGCCCTGACTCGCAAGACTTCCGCAAACACAGCCAGCTCAAGGACGGTCTCGCGCCTTGACCCGCAGCTTGAGGGGTACCTGAGAGCACTGGTGAGGCCCGCGGGCTCACACACCCTCTTGCTGCAAAAAGTTGAAGCCATAAACCGATGTTGCAGACGTGCGTCCCCGGCTCCGTCCTGAGCAAACCAAGCTGGGCGGTCTGCAAACCGAACGGACAGCACCCGGCGGGGCGTTGAAAGACCAAGGTGGCGACGCTTCCGCATTTGCGCTGATGACGGGTTTTAAGACTAGCGGACTAGTGGAGGGCAGTAAAGACCCTCGATTCGGGCTTCGATGGAGTTTGCTTGGCTCATGACGGTGGCACATGCAAAAGCCAGTTCCTGAAAGCCCTGATTTCGCAAACTGTACCAGCATCTAGGTTAAGCAGCAAAGCCGTCTCTTGCACGACTTTGCTGCTTGGAGGCCTTGACCTCCGAGGCCGAGTCGCCTGCAAGATCCATCTTCGGCCCCATGGACTTTCCTGCAAGGACTGCATCTAGCCCGGGTTCGAGCAGGAGCCATCTCGGCAACCGCTGTCGAAAGCCAGGCCTGCATCTCGGCGCCCGCGGCACTGAGCGCTGGCCGCAGCTCGCTTGTCGTCCACGCCAGCGAGCAGTGCCTCTAGAGCAAGATAACAAGCAAAACGAAATGCGACAACTTCCACTCCCTGCACATTCTCGTCTTGTCTGCTTGCAGAAACTGTGCTGCCGCAGCACAGCTGGAGCAGATCTGCACTGTGAGTCGCCACAGAGACCCCAAGATCGCGCCTCAGTGACCCTTAAAAATCTGCTATGCCTCGGCTAACGACCTAGCATCGCAAGCGTTCCCTGCATATTGGCACGTGCTTCCCTGACTTCGGAGGCAAAGCTCAGTGTTGGAGACCCTCTCTCTGTTGCAAATCCGGCTAAACAAAACAGCTGCACGACGGAGCCCGTCTTTCTTCAAAAAATTAAACCCCTTGCAATCTGAAATCTGGGACTTCGAAGCCCTGGACCATGCCTTATCCCAGTCTCGGGCATGTCACTCGGGATGGGGTTGGGGGTCGAGGACCTGAGGACCCGACGCTGCGGAGGTCACTGCAGCTGCTAGCGGCCGCAACCATCGTTGCGAGGTGGAGACAGCAGAGACCTTGTAACATCAAAACGGCCATGTCAGCCGACAAATTCTGAGAGGGCAGATGCACGTCCTTGCCCCTGCATCATGAGTCCTGCCTGTCTTCTCCTCTGTCGTTTTTGAATGCCAAGGGCCAAGGGCCAAACAGCTAGCAGCTTACACTGATTCTCGCAAGGGGCAACGAAGGATCTTGAGACCTGAACCCTTGGCCTCCGTGCCGCTTCGCTCCTACCAGGTCCTACCATCAACTCCAGAGCTACAATTCGCATTGCAGTCCAGGACGCACCGGCAAAATATCCTTAGCTGCTTGATGCTGACCTGCAGACGCACCACGGCCGAGGCAAGCTGACGAGCCAGGTTTCTGTCGCCCTCAGCCGAAGAGAAAACCTCCAAGGTCTCGTTGAACCAGATGTCCTCCTCTTGGCCGTGGCTCAGAAGCACAAAATGCAACCCCGAGGAACAATCACACGGAGGACAGGGGAGTGGATGCTTCAAACCGACCGGCACCTGCACCCCGTCCGGCATGCTGAGGCCCTCTGCCAGCTTGCGCAGCCTGGTTGGAACACTTGCGACAATTAGGCTCACCAGAATCGGAAACAATATGGCATTTTGTGCCTTGTCTCTTAGAGGTGCTCCAACTACAGCTCTTCAACTTGAATTCACCAGGGAGTGCGATTCTTGGGACAGTCGGAACTCACGGTATCGAGCTTTCCGAGTGAAGCAAAAGCCCGCACTGCGCCTCTCCTCGAAAGGCTGGATGGATTGGCGCCGCAGCATCATCAAAGGGGCCAAGCTGACATGCCATCCTCACGGGATGAGCTAGGAACGAACCAACAGAGGGCAGAAGGCACGGGCAGGTAAGCCCACAGGCATCTGTGAATGTAAATTGTGAGCGACAGAAGCTACGCATACAGGAGCAGATGTGTCCGTGTAATTATGCGTCTGGACAAGAAGGCGACACCACGGTGTACATGCGCAGATATAGGCCTTGATTTCTGTCTGAATGCCGCTCGAACTCATTGGGCCTGAATTGGCAACATGCTCACTTGCTGCGTACACCCGTGCCAGCATCGTAGAAATTCCCCGCCGGGCAAATCATGTTCATGGATGTTGATGGTACGGTGTGCAAAGCGAAATTCAGCGGGCAGGGCTTGTGTCGGCCCGAGATCCTACAAGTCGAACTGATGATATCAAGGTCAACAAGCAAGGGCAGGTCCTGCGCCGACCTGATCAAAAGGCTGCGCATTGGGTCTGTGAAGCTTCAGGCTCAACTCGCAGAAGGGGCTCAATTCTTGGTATTCGTTCGGAAAGCAATGACTATCCAGAACCCTTGTCTCGAGATTCTATCCCGTCCTTCCGAGCACATTCAGACCATGTCAGAAGTCGAGTTGCGGGGAGCTTTTTGAAGTGTTGGGAATGCTTCGGAAAGATTTGGCATGCTATGGAATTGCGCACTACAGAGAATGATGCTGAATTACCAAGGAACCATCCAGTAGCCAGAAATGCCAGAAGATACCTTCCCAAGACTCCTCATTCGCCGAGAAGACATGAACTCGTAAACGGAGGGCCTCCGGATCTGTGCTGAGGACATCTGCCTGGGGTGCCAGCCGAGACAGCAGCGCCTTGTGTTCGTTGCTGGCGGCATCCACTATCATCGATTCACTCTGGGTGCCATCGTATAAACTGCCCATACATCATTCTTGCGACCGGCCCGGTTCAGTACTCTGGCCCCCGTCAGCACACACACCCACCGAAAAATCCTTGTTCCCTGGCGTGCGAGCGTGCCGACGGCTGGTTGCTCTGAAGTCGCAGCATTGTGAGAATTGAGTTGAGCCATTCCCTTAACAGCCGCGCATGCAGAGCGAAGCCAGGCTTACAACCGTTCTCCCTGGCGCCTTGCAGCGGTCACCAGTCCGTCGCCACGCTCGCCTGACGCAGCAATAAGTGAAGCACGAATTGCAGCACGCGCCTTAGAGCAGATAAGTCTGCCTCCTTGTTGGCGGGGCCCTTCTTTAAGCTTCCCCTGACGCTACTTGCGTGCCAAGTCACGTCATTGTCACGGGAATAAACACCTTGGTAACAACGAGGGGCCCTCGAAGCGCTCGAACGGATGAGTTAGGGTAGGCTTGCGGTAAGCCTGCCGAGCGGCTAAGGTCGGGTAGTTCCCTTCGACATGTGGCACGCGGCGCTTTCGGCCACCATGGTCCTCCGGCTCCTCGGCACGTTCGAAGAGGCCCTGTAGCGACGAAGGCACCTCAGAGAACGCCAAAGGGGGAAGCCCATGACTCGAGGCCCGGCCCCACTCTTTGCTTCTGGGTGGCACTGAGCCGCCGCCGCTTCTGGCTCGGCCCATCCGACGAGTCCTCGCTTCCGGAGTCCATGAGCGTCAGGCAGCGGCGTGCGGTGCAGCGGTGGCAGAAGCTTCAAGCGCTTTCTACTTACGAAGTCGCCTTGTAGTTTTGCCACAACAGTTCTGCAGCTGCTTGCTCTGCCAACGTTGACACAGGTTCCGAGCTTGGAGCACAAAAGAGCATTGAACGTACCCATTCGCAAGGAGCTTGATTCTCCCAGGCCCCCGTCCCTCGGCTGATTCGCGCCTGCCCCTCTTCCAAAGAGGCTGTAGCTATGGCTCGAGAACCGGCCTGGCATCAGCACAGAAGGCTACAATGACAATATCTCTACCTTCCAGACCTGGCGTGGGGGCTCTCTTTCTTTCACCAGGAAGGATATGTCATGGCGACGTGTCTTTCCAAAACAATCCATGGCAGATTCGCCAGGAAGATATGCCAACAAATGATGACCCACAAGGGAGATTCCGGCAAGAGAAACAATACACAAGTGAACAGTCAGAGAAGAAATGCATGTTGCCGGTCGTCGTGTATGCTTGTGGGGGCTCTCTCTCTCTGTCACTATCTCCCTCTTCTCCCTCCACGGAGTCAACTGGCGGACTCAGACACAACTTTCCCCCTTCTCGCCTGAAGCACATCGCCCCCGCCTCCGAATGCCCCNNCCCCCCCCCCCCCCCTCCCTGCCCCCAGACTTTTGTGGACCGCAGCACGGGCCGGCCCACCGCTCGAGGCACACAGGCACACACACTAACGAGCGCGCAGAAACAATGCCGGGGCGGGGGGGTCACGTGGCGAAGGGGGCTGGCATACCGCCACGGCGAGAAAGCACTGCAACATAGAAGTTGACTTCGCACATCTTCGCGGAGTCCAGACTGCAGGGAGAAAGCGCTGCCGAAATGAGGCCTCGGATCCCACTGAGCGAAAGCACGCAGACACGAAGAAGCTGACATGGTGGAGATGTCCCACGGGAAGTTGTTGAGCACAACCCGAGAATGCCACCGCGCACAAGTGCTGGCGATGCCACAACAGCGAGAGCCGGCATAAGGCCGTGGAAGGTGCGATAGGGTCCTGCTTCCGACTTGGAGGGTCGGTCCTCCGCTTTTGCAGAACGCAGACACTACAGAACACCCCCCAAAAAAAGAGAGGACGGCCGAACCCCGCCATAGGGCAGCACAGAATCACCTTTGTTGGTTCCCTCCTCTCTGTAGAGTTTGACTTGCCAGGTGTAGCAGTGTAGCTGTCAGCCCCTGTCCCGTGGCCGGGGCCCGGACATGAGGCGACCAAGCCCGTCGTTTGGGCTGGCCACAGCCACCGAGCGGAACTCCAACTCCAACACCCACTGCGCGGCAGGAGGAGCTTTGTTGTGAGTCCAAAAGGCCGGGCCGGGAGATGCCCGGAGGGCTGTTCTCAGCAGGATCAGGGTCCAGCTACGTCCGGGTCAACTCCTTTTGCATCCAGATTTCACCGACAGCCGTGCTGACTCCACCGGTAAATACTCACAATTATCCACAGGCAGAAGCTAGAAGCCATCCCGTGTCCGGAGTAAAGACACCCAGAAGTTTCCATTCCTGCAGAGCCGCGCAGCCCTGCCCGAGTGCTAGAAACCCAAGACCTCTAAGCTCACGAAAGCCTCGAAACGTCGCAAATAAGTCTCAAAGCACGTTGAAGCATGGCCGGGCGCCGCACTGGCTCCTAAAGGACGAACTGCGCCAGGGAAGCCAGGCCGGACGAGGCCCGGGCATCCGGCAAGGCCGGGAAGGCCAGGCATTCCCGGCCGGAAGCCCTGTAGAGGAGTTAGTGAAAGTTAGTGGCTTATTGAAGCTTACTGGCTCATGGAGCCAAAAGTACCATCTTCTTGGGGTGCTTACATCTCAGGTGTCTCGGGGAGCAGTGAATGGGATTTGTGCACGACCCCTCAATCTCCAAAGTCGTGACCTTTCGACTCCTTCCTTTACGTGGTTCGTTGTAAATCATAGAGAGGAAGTGCCTTGCAATGTCGGCTCTCTTCCTTTCCCAAATCATGACACCCTTCCTTTGGCAAGCGTCTGCAAGGCTTGGCCGTGGATCCCTGCCTTCCTTTCGAAGGCTCGACCCAAGGAGCAAAGTAAAACCCACACCAAACAGACCTCGAGCAAATGGAATGCCAAACAGCAGGGCTCCCTCTGCGTCCCGGGCCGGCATTGCATGCGGGTGGTGATTGGGGTTCACCGGGGGTGGGGGCATCCCGGCACCAGCCTGGCAGTCAAGAGAGGAAACACTCCAGAGTCTGAGATGCGTGTGCAAGGCTCCCCGAGAGATCCTACGCACCTGGACCGCAGCCCGAGCCCACTAAAAGTGAGCCTTGCCTAGGATCATGGAAACATGTTCCAGGCCTTGAACCAGGATACTCCAAATCGTTCGTGCCCCCTGCAAAACCCTAGTTTCCTGCCAGAAGCCGACAAACTGTCCGACTTAAACAGGGGCCGAGAATACAGCTCAGACAAACATTGTCACAGATAGAGAAGGAGAGAGAGCGAGAGAGAGAGAGAGAGACAGAGAGAGTGTGTGTGTGTGTGTGACCAAGAGAGAAGGGGAGGAGTCAGAAGAAGAGAGAGAACACTGGGACAAAGGGAGAAGGAAGGGAGGGACTTGGAGTGACGTGGAGTGACGGAGTTGAGGCCATGGCCGGGGCGGGTCGCAGATTGCGAGCCTGGCAGCGGAACTGCGGCGCGCCACCGGTCATGACTTCTATGACTATGACAACATCCCACAACGAGCTTGTAATGGAAGAACGCAGCCTCTTGTCCCTCTTGTCTCCCAACTCTTCTTGCCACCCTAGCCCGCCCCCAACATCTTATTGTGGCGAACCTGAGGCTTGCCATCCGGGGCCCTCATGAGCTCGAAAGCCATGGCAGTCCCTGCTAGGTCGGAGGTCCTGCAGGTTGCCGGTTGCGGGAGGCTCCACACAGCAGGGATGCGTCAGTTTCCCAGTCCTGAGCTCCGCAGCCACGGTTTCCTTCGCAAACCATATGTCCTGCCAGCGCTCTGTTCGGTGGAAGGCCACGCCTCCTTTTCCAAAGCACGCCGTGCAGGGAAAAGCCAACCGCTGGCATCCTGCGGAATGTCAGGGTGAATGAGGAACCTCGGCGAAACATCATCATGGCTCCAAGAAGCTCAAGACTCAAGAATTACCCTCTGCGTCTCCAGTCGACGAATGCGCAGATCGGTGTGGTGTTGTGGCTGGGCACAACCAGGGCAACGAAGATCGGATCACGATGCTGGGCTCGTGGCCCAAAGCCTTTGACGGCAGAGTAACTCTTTACCGTGCCAATCAGCACGGTCCTGGCGGCTGCGGTACTGCGTTTGGACAGTCTGGAGGCCGGCAACGCCACGACGGAACTGCGGCGGGAAGGCCCGAACATGGGAGGGCCGCCAAACGCACCTGTCCAACAGGAGGAATCGAGAGGCCAGCATCTGACAGCGACTCAGGAGCACACCGCACCTGCGCCGCCTCCTCCCTTGCCCCAGGCACCCTGCCCCCAGCCTAGCAGTGAAGGAGCGCTTGAGAGGATCTGCAAAATTCGGTGCATGCTGCCAACCTGCCCAGCCATCGCCTGGGCCCCAACCACCTGCCCAAGCATCGCCTGCAAGTGGGACTTGCAAGCGCAGCGATCCCAGCGCTGTGGATCTCATGACATCAAGACTGCCCTGCTTCCCAGCCAACGACAAGGAGCATTTCAAGCTGCCGTCTGCCGAGCTTCTCGTGGCAGCGAGGTCGTCTCTCAATGGGGGCTTCCGCTGTACGGCAATTCGTTTACTGGCTGTCGGCCACGGTACCCAGTGACTTCAGCATCGCCACGTCGATCTGGCACGTGCGGATATCGGGCGCTTCCCTCCTTCCGTCCTTCCTTCCAACGCGTCGGACCTGTTATCCTGTGCTCGCACGCTAAGCGGTTGTCTGTCGAGCTTGGTCGGCGCGAGACGTGTAGTACGAGATGCAACTATTGCTGTCTTGCTTGCTTGCATAGAAATTCATGGCACGGGGCTCCCCCTCCCCCTCTCTCTACCATAAGCGGATAAGGCGAGTGCCTGCGTGCCCCAACCCCTACTCAGCTGACAAACGTCCAGTTTGTACCCGTGTTGGGGCAGCACTCCCACCTGCCAACATACCCCCACCTGCGCCATGATGCTGCTGTGTGCACACTCCGAAGCTCGCCAGAAACCCCCTCACTGAAATACAGCTAAGACCAGGCTAGTCATCGCTGGACTGCAGCTTTCCAAGGCTATTCATCGCAACGGTCCGATGTTCTTCGAGTTTTGCGCTCCCGAATTAAGGACGGGCTAGAGACCCAGCCCTCGCCCTTGTAGGGCCCTGGTTCTCTCTCGCTTCTCTCGCTGGCGCTGCATGATGTTGAATGGCGTTGACCTACTGGGAGTCATGATTTGCGTTGGCCTTCGTGGGCTCGAGCCTTTTCGGACAAGCTTGCGAGATTTGCGGCAGATGTGCGTGAATCCGAGGGCTCAGTGCCTCCCCAGCCATCACCTGCACCTCGGAAGAGACAAGACGAAAGGCACATGCCGAAAGTCCGAAACTGGTGGCCGAGTGCCGGGCCGGCGAGGCCAGCACCAGCACCAGCGCCCCAACCGGCAGCAGGGGCAGTTCCCCAGTTCCTAAACGTACACGGGCCGGAGTTCGTTTCTTGTGCATTCTTCTCGAGACGATCTCAGCTGCCACTCCTATCTCGGCCTCCGGCTGCTGGGGCCAACCAGCCGGTGGATGTACTGCCGGTGCCCTGAGTGAAGGCATGTGAGAAAAAAATATATATCGTGATCCCAATTGTGTAATCCTTCCATTCTGCCTTGTCTCTACAAACTGGGGCAGCAGCGGTCTTGGTTGCTGGCTGAAGCCCCCGTAGGAAGGCGGCGGGGTGGCCGCTGAAAAGCCTCTCCACACATCGCGCGGTCCACAGAATGTTGGACAGAGCTGCCTACGAGGATTCGGTGGCTACCTGCTGCTGCGCCATGCAAAAATACAAACGAAGTTAAGTCGTCTCTGGCTGCTCTCGGCAACAGAATTCGCAGCTGCAGGCAAAGAGCTGACAGAGCCGCTGATTGAGCGACCCACCGGCGGGCTAAAGCTAGGGCACGGTGAAGATGTGGGTGCGATTGTAATCGATTGTAGACTTGTGTCTCCATGCTACAGGCGATCTACTTTCTCCTTCCACGGGAGAGCATTGCGGGGTCGTGGCACATCAATGTGCCTTTTGAGACCGTGCCACTGCCCCGTCAGGTGTAGGGCTAGGGCTTGGAGTTCGAGGGTTTGGGTTTTTTCGAGCGCGCCGCTGGCCCGCAAGGCAACTTCACGGCAACTGTGTACCCTTTGGAGCCGACCTTCTCACAATCCGTCATGGTCTCGAGTCAGCACGACGAGGTGCTCTGCTGCGCAGCCCAACGCCAGGACCAGCGACACATATATATATATATATATATACACACACTCACACACATACCTACAAGTCCAAGTCAAATGAATGTGAATGCAAGAGCACCAGTTGCGCCCCTTTTTGAATCACGTCCGTCCAGCCTTGCCTCACCTGGTCACGCGTGGGATTCCGAGACATGTGCTCAGCCCCAAACCAGCCCAAGAAAAAAACCACGTGTGGGACCCTGGGCCTCAGGAAAGCCTGCCGGCTGCCGGAAACAAAAAACACCTCAAACCACCACCAACCCCTGAAAAGAAGCCCGACAAGCAGCACCGAAACCACAAGCGCAACCCAGGAACAAACCGAAACCGCCGAACCAAACGGCTAAGTACATGGCGAAGCAAATTGCTCACAAAGCTCGGCCCATTTTGTCTTCGTGCTTCTTCTCTCTGTGGAAGCGGCCATCTCTGTGCTTGCCATCAATGCCGTCGCAGTAGCAAATCCTTTGATCCGCCCATTTGCGGGTGGTGAACTCGCAGTAGCCTTCGGTGTGGCCGTAGGACCTCGAAGACCAATAAAGAACACAGTGCCCGTAACCGTATTCGAAGTAGTGCACGTATGGAGCCATGAGAGAGTCCGTCTCCTTGACGATGAGGCAATGGATATCTATTGCATGGAGGACTTGCTGGAGCTCCGATGATGAGGTCAAAGATGTCTTCATTGGGTTGCATGTGCCACCGAAAGCATCGCAAGTCTCCGAGCAGGATTCACCTCAGGGAGATATAAGGTCATGGATTCACGGTCATGAAGAGCCGACGTTCTTGAAGCAACATGGCGCAGTCACGTACGCCAACAAATCTGTGATATATATATATATATATATTGTGTGCGTGTGCGCGTATATATTTATATATACACACATATTGCGATAAGTCCTTGTATATGGATACCGTTTTGAGGCCCGCAATGCTGCTTCAGTTCCAAGTATCGCTTTTCCTTAAGCACGAAGTGTCAAGCGCTTACTGACCAGATCCAATGAATATTGGCAACTGCTGATGCAGCTTTTCGGCGACGTGACATCAACCCCCGCCTCTGCCAAAAGCCCAGTTTGCGTTTGGATCGAAACGCTCCAGTTGGAGCATGCCTGACGTCTCAGTCTCATTGCACGTGGCCATTTCTGAAGCCAATGACAGACTCAACCAGCCAGTGAGGAGAAACTGCACGACCATGGCCATGATCAAAGACTGATCCTGAAAGCTCTCACTTGGAACGCGATATGTGCTTTTCAGTTTCGACTTGAGCAAAGTTGCCGCGAGATTGACATGTCTAGCCAACGTATGGCTCACCAAGATGGCGAGTCATCTTTGGCTGCACACACAGCGACGCAACAAAAACCAGTTGACAATCCATGGCAACTGCAACGATCGCAGCGAACGGCTCTGCATCCGAGCGAATTACGACCGGCCCCATTACAGTTCAGGGCCCCGAGGTGGCTCTGCCTTGCCGCGGAGGGATGGCAGTCGACGAGGCGCTTGGCGCCGGTGCAGACTGCGGGGCAGGGGCTTCGTCGGAGAACCTGAGCTGCGCAGCACAACGCTGCCGATGCACCTCTGCGTGACAAACCTTCCTCTAACTTCTTCGGCTGCGCACGTGAAGCGCCGGGGTCTTCTAGACCCTTCCGCAGTTCCTGAACGGCTTCCGGCAACATGGCGGTGTTGACACACAGCAGAAGACTTCCACAAAGACAAGGGCTCTCGGCAACTCTATTCCCTCCATTGGTAAACCGGAGCCCACCTGTCTCCGCAGCCATGACCTGCATCTTGCGGCTCAGGTGAAGCAAAAGCAGATGCTGCAACAAACTTACTTCCCCTCGCCACGCCTGCGAAGTGGGGGCTAATCCCCCCTCCGCCGGCCCAGTTGGTCACTGGAAATTCATCAGCACACGGTGCCAGAGGCTTCCCAAGTCCAAAATGGAGTGTATGTTCTCACACCATGCCCTCCAATTTCATCTTCTGTGGTGCATGTCAAGTCAGGTGCAATCTTCCCCGAATGTGAAGCGGAAGTGTGTGCCTCCCGCAGTACTTAGGCCTTAGGCAGCGAGGCCTTTCTTTCCGGACGCACGAGAGAGCTGCAATTGCAGTATTGTAGGTCCTGTTGGGGGTTGTCGTGCTGTCCAGAGTAGCATCGCCTCGGTATATTGCAACAGGTCCTTCTCATGGTGACCACCGCAATACTTCAAGAGGCAGAAGCTCTGGAAATTTAAGACGACCTCTACAAATAAAAACCTCTGGACCTTTAGAGCTCTGGGCCCTGGCACTGGGCCCAAGTCTGCTCCTCCAAATCTACATGGGCCAATCCCCCAGGTTCCAGCTGTCTCAGCAGCGACGTGTGGCTCGCAAAGCATGTCGGAACTTGAAAGGATTCTTTTCTCTGTACAGGACGCATGAGAGCTTGGTCTCACAATACTCGCATGTGAACTCGGTAAAAATCTTGACAATCAGCTACGAGTATGCAAGAGACGGAATTCCGGATCACCCAGGATGCTCCTTGCATCACCCAGACGCCCAAATTCTCAAACGTTAAATCGAAAGGAACAATTGCAAAGCATGATCGATGGGCCACTGCCGTGAGGTTGCACCTGCGCCTTTGGTGCACTAGTTCGGCCGACCGTACCTTGTCATCCCCACCAAGCCCAATGCTCTGTTAAGGTCAAAATGAAAAGAAGACATGACACCAATGAGGCGAATAGCGAGCGCATTCCTTGCCAGCAGTATGTTGCGTGCAAAAGCTGGCCCTTCGAAAAGCTGGTCACTTGTCAGAAACCAGTGGCTGGCAGTTGACGCCCCATGCATAGACCATAAGCAAAAGATCACTCGACAGTAAGTTCTAGGGCGCTATAAATTCATGCGGGCTCTGGCTGTCAACCACTTGTGGTCACTCACTGCGCAGACGGGTCCATCACAAGCTGCCTCGCTTTATCGGCAAACAAAGGGTGGCTCAGCACCCTCCTTGCGGATAGCCGACGCTCATTAGGCCTCGGAAAGAGACATACATCTTGCCCTAATGCGCTGCAGTGTCAAATCTGTCAGGAGAAACACTGCCGGATGCAAGCTCCCTTTTTTAGCTCCGTGCACTTCGTGTTTGGGAGGCAAGAACAGATTATCACAGATTATACAGTGAAGCTCTCCCTCCTTAGATGCCGTCAGGGTATTGAAAACCTGAAACACGCAAACTGGGACCGTGCGATTTCATCTACAGCCCGTGGAGCCGAAGGTCGAGCCCTGCGGTTGGCAAGTCCTTGCTCGCAAAGCTCTTCAGGGCCTCGAGAGCCTTGTCTCTGCTCGCTTGGGACACGAAGGGCAGGGCATGCAGCACCACAGCAAACTGCTTCGCAATGTCTACCAGCTTGAACCTCTTCTCTGCGGACTGGGAAGGCCCGAAGCCCATTTGTGCACCCATCTCCAGGCTGTTGCCGTTCAAGAGGGCCGTGAGCTTGAAACTCATCAAATCTCCAGGGTGCTCAAAATTGAAGAGCTGGAAGACCTCAACGGCAAGCTCATGGCTCAGAATACTATTTCAAGTACAAAGAAGTTGTGCAAGACGAGACGAAGCCCCTGTGCTGCTCTGTGCTGCTGTGGGGCTCCCTGGGACTGTGCAGCGGTCAGGCTCAAGCGACGTGCAGCCGCTGTTCCACGCAGTTCCTTCACTTGGATCAAACAACACAAACGAGTCTAGCTGAGTCCGGTTGAGCCTTAGCTTCGCACGTTCATGCACTGCTAGGTTTCATGGAACGGAGCAAGCCTTTCTAAGCACGACCCAGCTTCTGAGGTCAAGTTGACACCAAGGTCTTGGGAATAGTTGGCGGAAGCCAGGTACAGGTCCTCCTCCTCTTCCATCCAATCAAGCACCTTCTGGCGGGCCTGGGCGTTGGACTGGTTCTGGCCCTGGCCATTCTCGGCATTCTCCTGGAGCTCCAGGAGCTTCGTGCGGGAAATGGACTTTCTTGGAATGCTCGGGTGGCTCCAGGTTGCGGTGCTCTGATGCACATGGTCTTCCGTGAAGTCGCTGGGCTCACCGTACCTTTTGGTCAGCCGGATGGACCTGGTCAAGAGAGGTACGCCGCTGGACTTGATCTTCAAGCGCAGCAAGCTCAAGTCCTGGCCGTCAGGCCGCCCTGTGGGCCAACACACGGTCGTGTCTACTGATGCCAGCGGCTTGGGCATCAGTTCGAACTGCACGCCGCCCACAAAGGCCGCCACGGGCTGTATGCTGATGCTAAAAGACACCGTCACACACTTCTCAATTGCCGCCTCTGCCGTGTAGAACGAGTAGCCTGGCTCGAGGAGACGACGCACTTCTACAGTCTTGCTAGACCTCTCCAAAAAACAACAGCATTGCACTCATGTACGGGCCACGCACCTTGCCACTTGTCCCAGTTCTTCTTCATCCACGTGGACCCACAAGGCACAGCCCAAGAATCCAGTGCCACAAAGTCATTCTCGTTCTGGACCTCTGCGTACCCTCAAAATCCACACTTTTGCAATGAACTCCTGAAGTCCCCACTGCGCAAATGGTTTTGTCAATCTGTGTTTGTGCCCTGGCGCTGTGCTCAGACATTCCATATCTCATGACGGCATCTGTCCGTTCTACTCATCCAGGCTCTAGTTGCTAGTTAGTTATGGTTGGAGGGTCTGCTTTTGTGCATCCTGTCTGCAGTATATCGCTTTGCTGGTTAATGTGGAATGCGCACCTTGGGCTTAAACACGCCCTGCAGCCGTCCCTTCAGTTCAGCAGCCCGCCTGCCAGTCCGCTTCGGTCGCCTGCCCGTTGGCCCCGTGCTTGCTCTTCGGGGCGAATGCCAGGCAGGAGCTCGTGTCCCTTTCGTCGCCATCGAACCTCGCAACGAAGCAGGCTTCTTCACAATTGGTTTGGTGGATATGAATCGCCCGTGCAAGCTAGGCACTGCGTGACCAATCTGGACTGGTAGTGGCCGCCTTCTTTGTGCAGCTTAAAACCGATTCCTTCAATCTTGGGAGATGCCCCATCGGCTTCCTCCATTTGTAGGGCTGACATCTTCGGCCGATGCTCTTGCGCATGGGTGGTGATCACGAGGCTTGACCCGGAGTGATGCACCACGGGTGCGGCCCCGGCGGCCGGGAACCTCACAGGTGCAGGAACCTAGTGGAGTTCTTGCCCTTGCAACCTCAAAATCAATCCCATCCGGAAACCAGCCGGCAAGCCAAAGCTTCCAATGCAGGCATCTCCTACCCCGGCCCCTGCTTGCAGAACTCGCCTCGAAAGGACGGCCTCTTGGATGAGGGAGCTGCCGCCCGACAGGACCTGGCCTGCGACCGAGGCCGCCACCTTCCCGAAGCCCTCGAGGACATCGGCGAGGATGTCGCCCAGACGGTTCAGGTGGCTTAACGGCGGCACACCCCTCTTTGGGTCGATGACCCAATTGCCGATCTTCCCCACTGAGCCCCAGGACATCACGTCGGTGGTCTTGCCGCTGAGGCAACGCATAATATCGGGCCCAGTTTGTGTGCAGCTCGCGAGCTCACTGCCCAGTTTGGCCACGGTCGCCAAGGAGGGCACGCCATGGGCGGGGTTGATGATCCAATCGCCGATCGTGTTTACGGAGCCCCAGGACATTACGTCGGTGGTCTTGCCGCTGAGGCAACGCATAATACCGGGCCCAGTTTGTGTGCAGCTCGCGAGCTCACCACCCAGCGTGGCCACGGTCGCCAAGGAAGGGAAGCCGTGGGACGGGTTAACGATCCATCCGCCGATCGTCTTGACGGAGCCCCAGGACATCACGTTGGTGGTCTTGTCGCTGAGGCAACGCATAATGCCGGGCCCAGTTTGTGTGCAGCTCGCGAGCTCACCACCCAGCTTGGCCACGGTCGCCAAGGACGGGAAGCCCTCAACGGGGTTAAGGATCCATCCGCCGATCGTCCTTACGGACGCCCAGGACATGACGTCGGTGGTCTTGTCGCTGAGGCAACGCATAGCAGTTCTCCCATGACTTGTCATGCAACTTGTGACCTCACCACCAATGGTGGCTGCTGTCTTTAGCGCAGAAGGCAGCGCTATGGATTTTGATCCGAAGTTGAATCCGAACAAGCCTGTGCTCTGCCCTAGCAGCGAGATTCGGCAATCAAGCCTTCCAAAGTTGATGTGCAGCCCAGAAGAAGTAAAGCTTGTGATACTCGGATATGTTGCGTGTGGACAGGAGGCACCAAAATCTGAGAAGCCTTGGGTGAGAACTTTGACGGCTTTCTCCACTGTATTGATGGTGTTCTCGCGTACCCACTTTGCCTCGCCGGGCTCTAGCATCTCTACACAAGGATGTGCAAGGAGAGTCCACGAAGGTCTAGAGTCCTTAGTCCTACACATCTACACCCTAAACGACCCATAGCTAGTACACGGAAGCTTCTCCATGTGCAGCCCCACCTTGTCCTTTGCAGCAGCATAGCCGTCAGCCATCGTTTCGGCTACGCTTTTGGCAACATCCACTGGGTTCCATCTTCTTCTGCGATGTTGCCAAGGCCAACTTGCCTCATCTGTGGCCGTCACTTGCGAAACTTCAAGAAACTGGGACTAAGTAACTAGATCAAGTGGTAGCACAGTGCATGTTTGTGGCAGGACCAGCTGCAGACTCTTCCTGAGAGGACGACGCGCTCTCAGCCGCCAAGTTTACCTCCGGTTCCTCATCTGATGCGTGCGGCTCGTCCGCGGGGAGACCTTCGTGGAAATCACCTCAGGTGTCCCCACGGTGTTTGACCAGGTGCTGTGTCGAGAATTTGCAGAGCCAAAGGCAGCCAAGTCTCGCGTCTGTCGTTGGCGCGTCTGCTTCAACATCACTCTCTTCGCCAGGGCCTGGGCCTCATTCAATCGTGTCTGGGCGTCCTTGTGCTCCATTTCCAGCAAGACGGCTCCATCTTTTTGACTTTCGCCCTTCAAGGTATTGATTTCGTGTTGTTGTGCTTGGATCACCTTGGCTTGCTCTTGGATCGCTGCCTCATGCATCTCGGCCACCGTCTCGAGCTGCGCGACCTTCAAGAGCAAGAACTCCAAGTTTTTTGCAAGCTCGCCCATGCCCGCATTGCTCTCGCTCTCATTGTCCTTTTCAGGGTTCGGAATCCCGTTGATGTCGTGCATGTCCCTCTGCATGTTTTCGGACACCACCTCCTCAATCATCCTTTTGGCGGTTTCGTTCTCGGAGTCGGTAAACTGGATGGGACTCTCGGTCAACTTGAAGCTCCACGAGGCGGCGCAACAGGCAGCCAAAATCAGCACGCGAGCGTGCGGCTTCATTGCTGGCAACTTCGCCGGCAAATGCCGACGAACCGGAGTATCTTCGGAAAGATCTACTCCGAGGCGGGTATGAGGAATCTTTCTGTGCTTCGTTTGAGCGAGCTGCAGCCAGCGGCAGAAGGCAAAAACATACAGGTTGCCAGACAACACTGTGCAGATAGCTTGAAGTCATGAACTCACAGCAGCATAAGAAAGACGTGAGCCGTGAGCCCATCGCAGGGGCAGCCACCAGCACCTGGCTTCTCGCTTCTTGGCTTCTCGTGCGCTTCCAGACCCAGTGCAAGTGCATTCAGCCACCAATGGTTTTACTTGGTTTACGGGATGCGACAACGCCGTTTTGCAGCCTTCTCACTAGCTGCATATCTCGGCAACCCCTGTACACTCTAAAACAAAAGCAGCAAGTCAACGCTGGGCTCCGAACAGTTTCAAGAGCTCTTGAAAACCTTGATTAAAAACCTGCTTAGAATGCAGCTCTTCCTGCGAGATTTCAGGATAAAAGCGAGGACTGTACAGTAAAATTGTGGACTTCATCGGCGCCTTCTAACGATGCCAGTAGCGCCGGTAGTGCCACCACTTCTTCATACGGTTCTTTCTGTGCCACCACTTCTTCAGGCGTCGGTTTCTGTGCAACCACTTCTTCAGGCCGCGGTTTCTGCGGCTGCGGATGTTGTTACTGTGAGACCTTTTGTGGTAGCCATGGCCAACACACTCCACAAAACGACGAAGCTCTAGAGTGGTGCTGCCCGCGGCGTCGACTGCCTTGCAGGTCACTTCTGTCTCGCCGACGGGGAACTCGGAGCCCGATGACGGACTGCCAGCAGCTGTCACAGCCCCGCAGTTGTCAGCTGCTGCAGGAGAAAATGTAACCACAGTCGGGCTGCAGGAGTTCACACTGATATCCTCCACCTCAAAGGCTGGACGATCCTTGTCATTGACCGTAACATTGAAGTTACCGCTTTGCAGTGTTGCCAGCTGCATCGGTCGCAGTGGAAGTCTCTGTAGTGGCAGGGCCCACTCAGAGAACAGCGCCGGAGCCGGATCCGCTGGTCAGTGCAATCGTTGCTCCACAGTTGCCCATTACATCCGCACGATAGGTCAATTATTGGCCCCACACAATCCAGGGCCGCCGCTCACCACGATGTCGCAGGCAAGACCGGCACTGGGTCCTCGTTGTCAGCCACCGCAACAGTGAAGCTGCCGGTGGCAGTGTTGCCAGCCGCATCGGTCGCAGTGTAGTCCTGAAACGTGAGTTCTAACTCAAAGTTTGAGCCAGATGCCTTGCCCGAGGTCATTGAAGTCATTTCGCCGGGACAGTTGTCATATGCCGTAGCTGCAACAAAGGTCACAACAGCGTCACACTGACCAGGAGCGGTGTCCACTGTGATGTCTGCAGGCACAGACCGCAACTTCGGGTCCTGGTTGTCATTCACCGCAACAGTGAAGCTACCGTCTGCAGTGTTGCCAGAAGCATCGGTCGCAGTGAAGGTCTGCGTCGTGATGCCCACTGGGAAGTCTCCGCCGGAGCCCAGGCCCCCGGTTTGCTCAGCCAATGGGTCCGGGTCGCAGTCGTCCGTCACATCGCCCTCACACTTGTCAAGGTCATTGGAAAATGTGATGTCAGCAGGCACGACCAGCACGGGCGGCGTTTCGTCAGGGCTACAAACATCGACGGTAACACCTGTAACATTTATAATTTTCACTCGTGCTTATAAGAGGGCCTGATCTTCGTCGTTGACACAGCTTCCACTTCGCGGGTGCTTCCCATTCGACACATTCGCAAGCACAACCGAGGCTGCTAGCAGCACTTTGCCTATAAATGCACAGCAGCTTTGATCCTGCGCTACATGCTAAACTCGAGCCGGCTGCAAGCAACCCGTCTGCGGTATGAAGTCGGAGTATAGTCCTTCGCAGGGAGGGCGAGCGTGTGTTGACCACTGACGCAAGTGAAGTGTGAACTTGTCGGCACTGCACTGCGCCACCGCTCACCAGCAAGCATCTTTGCACCCTGAACAATTAAGCACGTGAGTCACGTGAAGCCAGCTGTTGGTGTGGACTGTGTGGTTGCCGACTTGAGCAACTAAAACTGCTTTCTATCGCTGACCTCACAGCTTGATCCATCGCCAACATTAATTAACCGTTGGCTTGGAGTATCTTGGACTCAACAACACTAACACTGCAAGACCCTACTTCCCAGACAAGCCGGTGAAAGTAATGAAGGACAAAACTTCCACTGTCCACCAAGCCACCGCCGAAATTAACCCTGCATCTTTTAATCACGTTCCCACTTGCATTCAAGCTGCCGTTCCGCAGGCAGCTCGGCCAAGCACAACAGGAAAGGCTAATCTGCATCGAGCCGGAAGATCCGTCGTAGACAGTCCAGCTTTGCGCAAGCAGCTTCTGAGAGAGCCAGACTCTATGAGGTCGTGCTTCCTCGCTCGTTCCATGCTTTTTAAAACGTGACCCCGCAGGCCGTCATTCTGAACGCGCAACCTTCAGCCCCCTGCCAGGCGCAGCTTCTTCACGCTTGAAGTACCGCAAGGTTGCCCTCGAACCTCAAGACATACTGAGGTCAAGACTGCCCAGATGAGCTGGAGGACATGGATTCCTCATGCCACGATTCTTGCGGCCATTGCATCGACGTGCATTCTCCGTCTCCTCTCGAGCATAAGGCCTAGCCAAGACACCACTTCGGCATCCGCAGCTGTTTCGGGTGCAGCGGACGCGAGCTTGGATGGGTCTGACTGCTCTTGAACCTCAACAGGTTCGTGCACCATCTCAGTCCAGCATGCCAGCGCTGTCTGTCCGGGGCATGCGCTGGGGATAGTGGGACCTGGCCATTGCAAATGTTGACCAACAGTGTCGTCAAGGGTGTCAAGCCCCTTGCAACATCCGGCAATTCCAATACGGTCGGGCTCGCTAGCTGGCGCACGAGATTGCCAACATCCCTGCCGAACAACCCGTACTCCTCCCTCCTTCAGCAGGCGCACGGAAAAATTGGAAGGTCTGCAAGCGGAGCAGAAGCAGGAAAAGGCGCAGAAGCAAAAAGCTTCCCCTGCCCCGCAGAAAAGCAGGAAAGCTCAGCACTAGCTGAACTTCTCAAACAAACCGAGGACGGACCAGCTTTGCTGTCAGTCCTGAAAGAGGCGATGGCAGTGTTCACCCAATGGAAGATGGACACCTTGTCGATTGACAACGCCTTCCAGTGCAAAGCATTCAACGGGCCAAGTCTTCGTCGCCGGACTCTTCCGAACTATAACTACAAAGGCATTGGCCTGACCGGGCTGGTAGAACCTCAGTCGTGCCGGAGCAGCGTGTAGCTACAACTCGAAAGCTCATGGACTGGTTCTGTCAGTAACTCGTGTTCGGATTCACTGGAAGCCTGCCAGATGAAGTGCTAGAAACCGCTGTATGGACAATCCCAATTTTTGCCTGCCAGGTGCATAACACCATTGCGGAGGCGCAGCAGGGCTGCAACAAACCTCGGGCTTCATAGCGGAACTTGGCTGCGGAATCATTAGCCACCAGGGTGTTCAACACGTTGAGTGCGTGAAGGTGTTCTGAGTTCTGTGGTCTGGGAGCAAGCCGCCAAGCAGATTCGGGCACCGCTGGCTTGCCAAGCTTGAGGGGCAGGCCCCATAACAGAAGCTGCAGGAACCGGATGCCGGTTCATTACGCAAGCCCGGAAGCCTGTGACACCACAGGAACCTGAGTTCGAAGCTGTTGGTGCGAGGTGGAGGCGCCACAGTCCTCCGGGGAGCAACATCAGTCCAGATAGTGGACAGTGACCGGGCCCCCGCAATGCAGACATGGAGATCTACTCGCGATGGCATCTTGCAACTCTCACACTGCCTGCAGTGTCAGAGCAACAGGCTCCAGCCAGTCTGACAACAGGCTCAACGCCTCCTCGGAGCAAACCGCTGAGACCAATGTCCAATGCGCAGGTCAGGCGGAACTGCAATGGCCTTCATGGAAGCATCGTTGCGCTTCATCATCGAATCCTCAGCCCAAGATTCGAGCTGCGCTGCCAAGAACATCTGGCAAAGCCCGGGTTAACAATTGGCACACCCCCACTTCTCAAAACGTGATCCCAGGAAGTCTGAGAGTATGCACCAAGGCATTCTTCCAGCCATCGAGTGCCAAGGAACGCTGGCCTCCCGAAGACACTTGTTGGCCGCAAATGGTTTCGAGTGCCAAATCGCGCCTGCACCACATTCTGCCCGATTCACAATGGAAAAGCCTGGCAAGCTGCAGGAGAAGTCAGCTTCGTCCGGGCCACATCAAGGCTGCAAACTTGTACGTTCAGGCTCGTTCCCTCCAGAACTCGACCAGGCCTTGCAAGACTCCCAAGAGGACCTTGCTCGAGAACCCGTCTTGCTCCTTCCGAAAGCGAGGCACTGGACTGCCATCCACGGATCTGGTAAAGCGCACTACCTTGTCACCCAAGATGTCATGAATCAACAGGAGCTCAAAGAAAACCACGCCACATGGCACACGATGCTGTCTTCCTCTCCAAACAACCTCACAGCCGTCAGCCGGGTGTTCTCCCCTGCCTCAAAACACAAGCAGATTTGTTTCATGTCTTTTTGCAGCAATCGGGGTGTCCGGCCTCGTTTGCCGCTGTGACTCCGAGGTGAGTTGCTGTCTCTGGCACGGAAATGCCTGTGGGAATTGCCACCTGCAAAGAAAGCAGATTAAATTCGTGCGGTCTGCAAAGTGCTGCCGCCAACTGCCTGCAAAGGCATGCCACGGACGCTGCAGGCCTTCATCGAGACTGCACGACTAAGAGCTGGCCAAGCGTGAGCTCGGGCCGCAGCCTTAAAGGGATTAGCCGCCATTTTGCAGCGCCAGATCTTTGCGACTGGCCGAATCCTGAGAAGACGAAGGTAAGTCCAAATGGTGGATCCGGGATCGTCTGAGGGCCTGGCACCTCTGGACTGTACCACCAAGCCTCATTCGTGGTCGAGCTCTCGGTTACTGCGTCGTCCTGCACAGCATGACTTCTGGAGGTGCGGAAACAACATAACCACTAACCACAAAAGCTTAGGCGCTGCATAGCCCAAAGCCCGCAGACTGCCAAACCGCAACTGGACATGTCTGACATCGAAAGCTAATTAACTTGAGAAGAGGCCCGCGAAAACTAGGGCCGCCAAGCGAATCTCTTGCAGCATAGCACTGCGAATCACTCGAGCGTGGCAGAGGCATGGGATAAGCATGTACAAATGAACATGTCGGGTGTATTGGCATTTTCGTGTCGGCACATGCCACCGGCTATGTCCCTGCCCCGCGGGAAGTAATGGCAGGTGCCGGTCCGAAAATGCCAATACACCCCACACGACCCTAAACGGGAGCCCCAAAGGCCGCAACACGCAGCTGCCAGTGCAACTGCTAGGTTTGCTACTAGTATGGCTCGCCGTGCAGAGACATACCTTGTCAGAAAAGAGCGAACAGCGAGGCAGCTAGGCAGATGTGTGCTAATGAAACAATATGTTCGAAGTCACTCTACACAGAAGTCGCATGTTGATAATTGCCGTGGAAATTGCTACTAGAAACTAGTACAGATCTTTCCTGCGAACCGACGGTCCCGCACGCAGCCGTGCCCTACAACTAAATCGAGTTGGTAAACGACATCTCCGGCAAGCTCGACAGAGCAGCCTTTCGTGATTTGCACAACATTGCACAACATCGTCTGCCCGGATGCTATTTTCCCCGGTAGAATTGCGTGCTCCCGGCTCCTCAGAAGAGAAGCCTGAGTCCACACCTGGTCGAAGCATGTCGAAACTGGAACATGCCGTAATGCTGCAACCTCCAGACAGTCAGGGCGCTCGAAGCTCACCGGAGCTTTTTGGTGACGCTCCCCAAAGCGGTTCATGGTGAGACTGCCAGGCCACAGCCATGCTCTGTGCACCCGCTAGAAGCCTGCATCATCTTCCACAGGCAACTTGCGATATCCGCTTGGTGCGCTGTGCTTGAACGCGCTGAAGTCGGCCAATGCCATGTTACCGGGGTCCTCGTTGGGCTCTGCCCGGCGCTGGCGCCCTGATGGCGTAAGGCGAAAAGCGAGTAAGCCGCAGCAGAAGATCAGGGTCGCGATGGTTGCGAGGGCGATGGACAGTGCTCGCTCGCTGTGCTGCCAGAAGGGCCTGGTGTGTGGCACGCACCTGCCCTCGCTGTTCAGCTTGTACTGCTCCTCTGTCGTCGGCTTTGGGCAGAGGACGCATTTTTGTGCAGAGACGCAGCTGACACAGAGGTCCGGGCAGCGCTTGCAGCGGTGGGCCTGGTAGTCCGGCCAATACCCCACGTCGCAGAAGCGCACACAGCTGCGAGTGCGAACGTCAAAGAGTGGCAGACCCTCAACGCACCCCTGTCGCGCCAAGTCTATCGAGTAATAGCCTCGGTGGTTGCCGTCAGAAGAGAGCACCATAAGTCTGATCTTGCGCTTCATCCCCATAGGCACAGGAAACTGAAGATACTTGTTCGGATACTGGAACTCCCCATATGCCTCCTCTCTGAGCCTGCGGAGCCTGCGGATTGGAGTCGATCTCAGGGGTTCTGGTTTGCTGTTGTCCCGCCACTTGTCCAGCCCGGTGATGTTGTCTGGCACCGGAGGCTCCGCTTCTGCCACAACTGTTTGGCCTTGATCCTGAAGGTGCAACTCCAGCATCGCTAGCTCTGTAGATACATCTAGAAAGCAGCGGTACATTCCATGATGGTTGGGGCTGAACTTGGGGTGGACGGTGTGTCCCGCCACGATTAGGTGTCTCAAGTTCGTTTCTGTTCCATGAAGCCTATTGACGTTTATGGTGTACGTTCTGGATCTGCCGTGGAGCTCCACATCGAATTTGTACAGCGTTTTCTCCCCCCTGTCCAACACCACCTTCTCTGAGAAGTCGATAATGGCGCGCGGGGTTTGGTAATGCAGGCAGTCCAGGTTTGGACACAAGTATATGTTGGTGATGATAGCCTCACCCAGGGGTGTAGCCTGCACAGCAAAGAAATGCATCTTATAGTCCAAGGTCGCATTGTACATCACGTCGTTAGGGTTGAAGACCGGCGTGGTGTCAATAGGCTGCTCCTTGTACTTCAGGTACATAACATCCAGCTCAGGCTCTGGATTTCCAGCATTGCCCACAAATTGCTCGAGGCAGGCTACGGCTAAAAGCCATCGTGGCCAACAGCAGTGCGGCTTCATCCATTTCAGTTTGGCTATGTGCCGCGCTCACTGGCTCAGGCTCCCCTAAGGACTCCATTTACCCTTGGCCGGCTTTGCGGGGGTAGCCATAGAGGGCCTGAGCCCAAAGGTTGAGAACCGGAAGTCGTTCGTTCCATCGTAGTACATGGACGAGTTTGAGGCATCCGGATGCAAACCAAACAGCTCGAACTCAAGCACGAGGCTCCGGCGCTGAATCAGCAGCTCATCTGACCAAGAAATCTCCTGCCAGTCGCCCGAGCTGGTCGGGACAAGCCTTCATCGAAACTCGACTGCCAGACGGAGGACCCGAGCAGGGACCTGGCCTGCTTGGCCCAGTACATGACGTACTCCACGATCTCCGCAACACGCATTGGCGCAGGTTGCTGAGTCACAGCTGAGGAAGCTGTGAGCGTTGGAGCGCCTGCTCCTCGTCCAGCTCCGGGGGGAAGATTGTCACCCTCCCAGCAGTGACCTGACGCCGTCAATTTGGCCAAGCCTCTGCTGCTCTGCTAATGCTTCGATGCTTCCCAAGCCTTCCGGTCCGCGGACATCTCGAAGCCCTCAAGGACCACGGCCTTGGCCTCGACTGCTAAGGGAAGAGGACGGAGAGGGCTGTTTGGGGCCCCTTTTTTTTGAGGGGAATGGAGGGGGGCAGGCAGGGGTTGGAGGTTGGAGGGGTGGGGGTAGGGAGTTCCCTTTATTAAAAGGGGAGGGGGAGAGGGCATACTGCGAATGCTGTCGGTGCTCATAGCCGTAACAGTCACAATAGCAACAAGTAAGGAAAATTATGATAACACTTGGTGATACAATAAGAATGATTACAACATTGCTACAAAATAAAGACAAAAATACTAATAACAACAAGTAGCAAGTAGTAGTAAGTATACATACAGCAGTCAACCATAGTAATAGTAGTAAATGATGTTTTCGTAGAAGTAATAATATTGTTGGTAAGAAACATGAAAGCAGCATTGTGGAGGCAGTCTCAAACTGGATCGGCTTGGCTTAGCTTGGGAGGTTGGGGGTAGGAGGGGACTTGTCCCCTCCGCCCAAAGCACACCTGCGTATGCAGGACTTGCATAAATCGATACTTCAGATCAACAAAGAGACACCTTGAATACGTAGCCTTGCTCTCGGCATCATCGCTGTGGGATGCAGCCTGTGTGAGTTTGATGTACCATGTTGCAGTATAGTATGGCGCATACATAATGCAGTGAACTAATGCAGAATGTAACTTACTATGACCCAATGTGTATCACGAAGTAACATACTCCGGCCTGCTATAATTTGAGTCAATGCAATACGATCATATCAAGCCGTATTCTGCGCTGTGCTGTCCCACATATGTTTTAATGCTACATCTATGTATTGGTACACTTCACAATTTGTGCGTGTCATCCTTGCGAATCTTCTCCGTATCTTTCCAATTTTATCGGATGATCCCTCATACTGCCGTGCTGTCTTCTGCAACAACATAGTCTAATGTAAGGTTTCATTTTGGATTAGTATGTGCAACCTTCCTGCTCTCATATCACCGTTCCTCATGGACTTTTGGGCATACTTCTCGATTTGTGCGTGTCATCCTTGCAGGGGCCATGCTAATCTTCTCTGTATCGCTCCAATTTTGTCGGATGATCCCTGCAGGGAATTCTCCTATATCCTCATGGAATTAGGCGTGTTCGTCTCATGCATCTGACCTAACTGTCTGATCCGGAAAGCAAAACGCAGCGGTAGTCTGTGGAGCGCCGTCTTAAAAAGGGCTTGGCTTAGTTTGGCTCGGATTAGCTCCATGCGCACCTGCCCATGCGGACGATTTGCCAAACAAGTAACAGACATTTTGCACGCACAGTCTCCCTGCCTTCACCAGCTTTCGGGGTAAACTGCCTCTGGGAGTTAAGACTATTCTAAATCGTCTGAGGCTGGGCGTGTTGAAGCCTTATCCACTGTACTACATCTGTAGATATGTGCGGGTAGTGCTGTAATGGTATACGTACAAACAAATTGAAAGCTGATCAGATTAGATCAGGAACATAACAAACGACATCAGTTCTTTCAGTTGTTCAATAGATAGAACGAAAAGCCCTTCACGAGTAATAAACCTAACAATAACAAAAGAGTAATGGCAACAGTAACAATAGCAAGCATAATGATCATAGTTATAACCATAATGCTAACGGCAGTTCTTGCAAAATACAGAAGAATAACGAGAATGATGCTAGTATTTCAGCGAAGACGTTTCGTCAACTATGGGGTTCAGCGTTTGAGGTTGCTTTTGAAACGAGATCAATGAACAGTGAACCTGGAACCAGTTTGCTCAAGGCTCTGCCTCACTCCCAACCCCTTTTTGCATCTTTTCACCAAAGCCGTCTCCCTGACGGACGCTCGTGGACCTGGTAACCCCATCTGCCCAGCAAAGTTGTTATTCGCCGTGTGTGGAAGGCGAGTTTGAGATATCTTACGTGGGTTGGTCTCGGGGCAACATTTGTGGAGCATCTGCGGTCTAAGTTTGTGTTTCAGGTGCTGCGGAGGATCTATATGCTTCATGTATCAAGTTCTGAGGAAGCTGCTGCTCAAGATTCCAACAGGCTGTGGCGAACACCCAGGTGGCCTCCTAAGACCCTCATTCTGAAGCTCCGCAGCCCTGCAGCTTCAGCCGTGATGCTGCTGTAGAAATCATTCGAGAACACTGAGACAGCCTCTATAGCAATTCTGAGGAGAATCTTGCTCGGAATTGTTAAGATTTCTGACCCCAAGCGCCTGTTGTACGTTGTCGTTCCTTGTTTCGCTCTGCCCTTCTTTCCTTCGTTAGTATTGGTGTTCGTTATTGGCTGTTTCCTGTTATTTATTGCTCTGCTCCGTGGTTATCTCCATAGTGATGTCTTTCTCTATCTTGTTTCTTTGTGTACGTCCTTCCTTCGTTCTGTCTTGCTTCCGTTAGTATCGTTTGCTTCATTTGTTAGTTTGCCGTGCACTCTTTCATTGTTTTTCCTCTCGCTCTGTCGTTCGTTCGTGTATGTTATTCTTGCATGTCGTTCATTATGGCGTCATTTGTTTATGTTGAGAAGTGTTATGTTTTTCTGATGTGTCATCTCTTCGCTTTCTGTTGTTCGTTCTCTCTGGATTCTGTGTGTCCTTCTTTCTTTCTGTCTCTTTGTTTCGTTCCGGTGTCCTTCGTTCTCGCTGCACACCACGCCCTCAAACGCAACGAAAAAAACAAACGCTAGCAAATTGAAATACTAACACCTACAATAACAGAAATAATAATATCATACATAGATCAAAATACCAAAACAAACAGGGTCCTGGCATCGAGAGAGTATAAATCGAACATCCAAGGGCTGGACCGAGTAGTGAGGCGGATCCTGAACGACAACGCACCATACAACGCAATTCATAGAGACCTTCGACTCTTGCCAAGCACGAAACAGGACAAGAAAAGAAATTGGCGCCTGATCTGCCCGGATTTGTATATCACCTCAAGACCCGAGTGGCGGTGGCCCAGCAGTGACTGCATGTGTGCGGTCTTGCTCGGCTGAAGAGGCCCAAAGCTTGAAACCGAAGACTACGCAACCACAAAAGTTCCATAGGTCATGGACTAGCTGCCAACATCAGCAGGAACCTTCCGTCGCCAACACCCCGCCCTGCACTCCGCCACGTAAAGCCTTATAAGTCATGAATCTGACGGTGAAGCTCAGGGCGCCCCACCCGTCTTGAAGCTAACGCTGGCTCGCTCTAGAAGGCGGAACCTGAGGCCACATTCACCAGCGTGAAGATGCTTGCCTTGTAACCATCCCGACCACGCGGAATCGTGAAGACGAAGATGGAGATGGTGAGCTTGCAGGAAGATGAAACCGCTGACAAAAACAATCAAGACGATCGCACCTGTAATGCTAGAGAAAGATTCGGTTGGTCATGCGAAGAACAGCAGCACCCGTTGTTGTAGAAGTCAAACGGTTGATGTCATCTGTTCCCAGTACTCACAGCAGCCGGAGGAAGTTTTTCTTGCATTGCAAAGACGTACTTTACACGCTGGTGGACAGATGCGCTACACCGCATGTGCTAAGGCACGACGGGCCCACACTTTGTGAACCTGTTCATCTTGACACCCTAGGATCTCATGAGGACTCACCGTGGCATGGCATCGAAAATCCAGCTTCTACGCAGGACCTGCCGTGATAGGGCTGAAACCTTTCCGGGTCGAGGTCCAGACCCGGCATGCAAATTCTGACGGGCGTCCCGCAACATGAGCATGTTCTGAGACCAGACCTCACCAATGTTCGCCAGTCTCGATCTCAGCTGTTTTTTTCGACTGCCAACACCCGAGACACCGGCCCTTGCTTCTTCGAGGGTTGGATACTTCTCCGCCAGCTCCCTGGCCTGGAGTTCGCATCTTCGCTTCGGATGCTAAGTGCCGCCACACATCCCCACCTGATGGTCGGGGACGCGCCAGGAGGGCCCATACCTGGCCTCCACGTAGATGTCCTCCGAATGCACAGAGAGCTGTGGAATAGAAGCCACCCATCAATCCCATTCACAAGACATTGCAGCAGGACAAGCTGCTGACTTTGGCTCGTCGGCCAAGATGCACATTGACACGTGCCTTCTCCCGTGGTGCCGGAAAGGTGTGATTGCGGATCTTCACCTCTGCAGCCACTGGGCACGGCTCACTTCAAAGAGTCGATGCCTTGTGCAGCGCAAGATAGGGTGCTTGCGGCAGATGGTGGGTAGATGAGGTGCTTGGTGGCAATGGCGAAGTCCATGTCTGCATCATGCCGAAGCACGAGCATGCAACAGAAGAAGCGTTCTTCCACGACTCCTTCCTCTCATTACATGCTTCAGCTTTGCAGCGTGATCCAGATAAGGGGTGCATACTGACATGGGATACCACTATGACGGCCCAGATAGCTGCAGAAAAGGGCCTTCATCGTAGATGTCCATGTAATAGGCCAGGTCGTTGCCTTGTGGGGAACTCTGAAACAAACTTCAGATCACATTGACCATGCTAGCACGAGCAGCCCTGAGCCGAGGTTCGCACCGACTTTCTCGGTGTCCCACTCAAAGTGCTCATTGAAGGGCGCCTCGATCGCCAAGAGTGCGACTTCTCCATGTGCCCCGGCCAAGCAGACGACGGAAATGGGCTCAGCACTCGATTTACAGGATAGCCCTCCCACCTGCAGCGAATTCAATTTACTCTGCTGTTTATCAGGAGCCGATATACACATAATTTTTCCGAGCAGCACAGCACACAGCCGGGCACAGTGCGGCTGGTCTGGATCCTCGGACGCTATGCACGTTTTGGAAAAAACATAAGCCCTGTTCTGGGCATCCACACAACCATGAAGTGGTAGGACTTCGGGCCCATCTGCTCCTCGCAGCTTAGCCGCAGCTGCCGGACGAAGACACAGCGGCCGGACATGTCCGTGTGAGGAGCCATGCATGTCTGATACAGCTGTCCGGTCCTCGTTGATGAGCATTGCCCGTTCCCAGCCTCAGCACGTATGAAGCAAAGCCGCGTCTTGTGGGACATGTGTGTGTATGTATGTATGTATGTATGTATGTATGTATGTAAGTATGTATGTATGTCATGCATGTCTGCATGTGTGCATGCATGCATGTATGCATCTGCATGTATGCATGCATGCAAGCATGCACATGCTGTATGCGTGTATGCATGGATGCCTGCATGTATAGTGCACATAAACACATGTATGTGTATGTCATGTCCCACTAGCAATGATGTTCATGAACAACATGTTATGCCCCCATTCAACTACCTACTCCCGACGGTTTCCAGAGCAGCTCCATCTTCCAACTTCCGAGACAGTTCACAGCATGCTGCCAAGACGCCTTCTCGTGGTACGAATATGTCCAGGTCTGCCGTGTACGGAATTATATCCTGCAGCATTGTAGCGGCGTGCGCAAGGTAGATGCCAACACCTTCATCTGTGGTGAAAGTGCTGCAGCTCAAGATGTCTGAAACCTGTTGGATTCCGACTGAAGTTTGTCTTCTGCCTAAGCAGCATGGACTCATCGAGTCGGGATAAGTTGGGGGCAGCATCACTCAGCATGTGAAAGCTAGGCCACAGCAGGCCAATAGAGAAGACCGCACCAACGAAATTAACCACCAATACAACAACACAACAAATGGCCCCACTACCCGTCGCTCAAACTGACACTTTTCTTCTTGCTGGGATATGCCTAGTTCCAAACAGGGGTCCTCATCTCGAACTGCGCCAAGAAGCGTACCCTCGGACACCATAAAGGTCACGTTCAGCCTCCAAGGAGGATTGACGCGAGATCCACGCTGTCTCTAATGTCGAGGCACGAAAGCATTTCTCAGGCCTAGTGAGGTAGTTGCTGAAGTCCACCAGCATCTCGAACATAAGGTCCGAGCAGCCTTGGTGGCCACGAAGGCTGTGGAGGCCCCGCAGCTACAGCTACGGAGTCACTGATTTGCTCAGACCGTTCGGGCTCCAGCAGTTGCCGTTCACACGGCAGGAGCTCTGGTCACGCGAGCCTGGGCTTAAAGAAGAGGCACTCAACCACTGTTTGAGAGATCGCCAGCACATTCGAGGCGTGCCCTTGAGCTGACTTGTAACGACATGTCAAGGAGCTCGAAATTTTGGAGACCCTAGAGCCCTGGGCCCCCTCAGCGCTCGGCAGGGAGGACTCCTACAAGCCTCGGCACAAGAACTCGGCATGCACTCAACTTCGAAACCAAACGTTTCCTGGGCTTTGCCGGTCCTAGGCATAAGGGCAGCGGACCAAGAGCACAAGAGCAGACTGCAATGCAGGGCTCAGGATGTGAGGAATAAACCCGGCACGAACAAGAGTCATGCAACCGCCATGGACCTCCGCGCCATGGGCCTCCACAAATACGTAATGCTTAACCCGGGCTTAATGAGCCTCAGGGCCTTTGCGAACAAATCTTGCAAAGCTGCAGCCTGAGCCCGGGAAGAGACGTCTGCCAGATCTGCCCTTGCGTCGCGACAAACAAACTGCCCACACAAGGGCCTGCAAAAGCCTTGCAAAAGCTTACAAGGACTTATGAGGCTTTACCAGGCTTGCCAAGGCCTAACAAGGCCCAAGAAGCCTGAATTGACTCTCAAACAAGGGACAAGTCCTGGTGCAGCGTCTGAGCTAGCAAGTTACTGCATGCGTCAACGTATCCACCCAAAGGTTTGCATTTCGTATGCTATTATATACTGTATACCTGCGACTACCACAGTGCACGTGCTGAAAGCATAACGGCCCAAACGATGCCTCATCCAAATCCTTGAGCTCGAAAGCCTGGCTATTCCTTGAAAACTGCTCTCGGGGCTCGGCATGGCCCTCTGTCCTTTCTTTGTGACCTGGCAGTTTCAGTCTTTTTAAGCGCGGTCAAAGCTTGGCACAAAGAAGCATCCACTTGCATGACAACTGCGACCCGCAGGTTCCGGGCTGACTTCCTGATGAAAGCCGAAAGGCACTAACTGAGAAAGGCCCGGAGCGTTCCAGATCCATTTGGCTCACAAGCTGCTCGCTCTTGTCTAATCTGGTGAGACAGTCAACACAGGGCCCGTGAAGAGCTCCATGCTGCAGATCTTGCGTTTGAGACTCTCAAGCGCCAGTCTCGATCGCTTCTTCAGCCGTCCCTCGCTCCAGCGTGAAGCCCTTGAAGGGCTCCAGCGGCTGAGGCCTGCATCGGCACGTGCATCCGGGCTTCTTGGGTTTGGAAAGATGTGCTGCATCTTGGAAAGTAATAGAATAGGAAGTGCCGCGTTTTCGACGTGCCGAATCCTTTCCAAAAGCCTTTACACTGGCCTTCTTCTCATGGCCTCACGCCGCGCGTGGTTCATTTTCGCCACCTCCGACAGGCTGCCACTGCTTTCCTATTGCTTGGTCAAGAAGTTGTGCTCCGACGTTGCAAACTGACAAGCTCGTGGGGCTCTTGCAGTGTGGATCATGACCTTCCTCTCAGTCCTGGGAGATTCCGTGCTTTGGAGCTTGATGTTTTTCCACTTTCCTTTACCTCTCTGAGGGCCCATCGAAGTCATCTCGGGCCAACCCTCGAGCCTGGGCAGATGCATTCGCTCCGACATGCTCCGTCGTTGAAGCAACCTCTCTACACCTCGCAGACCTCGCATTTCGGTTTTCTTCCGCGTGAGCTAGAAGCCACAGCGCGGCATCCCGATACCAGCGGAGGCCGGACTGGAGGGCCCGCCGGTTGTGGTGCCTCATGAATGTTTCGGCCCAAGGTTTCGCAGGACAGCCTCGAAAGTTCAAAGCCAGCATCACTTCCGGCAAATGCCAATGAAACCAAAGGTGCCGCATCCCGCGCCGCGCGCTGCGGAGGCGCTGTGAGTCCAGGAGAAGCCGGAACAGTTCCGGGAAGGACTCGAAACGCAGGAGATGCCTCGGGCTTGAGACATGGGACAAAATTGTTCCTGTGCGAGTATTTGTTCGTTCCGCCAGAGTACTAACTGGTGCTTCGCAATGCTTCAGCTGAGCACGCACTGTCCTACATTGCCCCCCTCCCTCGTGCAGGACCGCCTAAAACGGGCAAACTCGTTTGCGCAATAAAACAGAACAGCTAAGAGCAACTTCTACCACTCTGGTGATGGAAGGACGGGAGAAATGAAGTGGACAAAAATGAAAGCAAGTGTGGACCAATATTTGCCTTTTTCGGGTGGCCAAAAACAGGACTAATGTTAAGGTAGGTTTTCCTGCCCTCAGCCCTGCATCAGCAACATACGAGCACGCTTAAATGTCTTCGGGTTTGCCACTGGCAGCTCCGGCGGCATTCTAGTACGTGCAGACCATACTCATCATGCGGCTTCGGGAAGTTGGTGGTGAGTCTGTCAATCTGTCGGGTAGCTGAGAATCACCGTGAGAAGGGAAGCGTTCATAAGGGAGCCCCATCACTCCAGGGCACGCACCAATGGAGGTTGGACGCTGCATGTTCTCCAGGCAGCACGAACTAAGCGGCAGAGGATGGAAGATGCGGCCGTAGTGGAGCTGGCCCCCAAACTCCAGAGATATCCAAGGAGGAGGTTACATGCCAGCCAGGCTGTACAATTGGAGTGTGCAGTCCACTAAATGCCAGTCGTCATTACTTCGCTCAGCCGCTCATGTGGGGATCGGAGCCACAAAAGAGCCGTGGTCTGCCGTCGGCAGACAGAGCCCAAATCAATGCTAACCTGTCTGCTCTGCAGGAGTGCAGCAAATTCAGGCCAGGCACGGAAGGCGGCTGCAGTCAGAGTAGGCATACCTGCTACCGTGCGCATGTTGGATTGCAGGCTGCCGCGTCAGTAACTTCCCAGCAGATCACTCCCTAGTAGTCTGGTAGCCACCTGAAAGACTCCTTCCTCAGCCATCAGCGCTCCTGAGATTTAGAATTTAGAAGCCTTCACGCGGAAGTCACACGTCAGAGGCCCTGTCGTTGGCCGAGGCACCAATGCAGCACGGTCTCTGGGACCGAGGTCTCTGGCCGCCAAAAGGGCCGTGGATCGGCACGGAGTCCTTCACTGAGCTTCGTCCGGTCGCTCAACTCAACGCACACCGCACAGAAACTCTCAGAAGTCTCACCGCACAGCTGAGCCGTTGAAGTAAAGGTCCGGCCCTGCCTTCCGGAAGGTGCGGAAACTCAACGGCCCCGAGCTCCTTTTTGGGCATACACAGTGGCTTGCAGAGGTTCGAAAATTCCCATGCCGGCTCATGCTGAAACGGTAGAGACACAGCCGCAGCCTGAAATGTGGTCCATCCACTGAAATGCTGGATTTTGTAAATCCAGGCGCTCCTGGTGGAGATGTACCGGGTTCACGACTTCTACTTGGAATGCCCGCTTCACGATTGAATCTGAGGTGGGGAAATCACTGCGACAGGGTTGAACAACGACAGCAGACTGTTGCTGGCAGCTTTCTGCTGCGTAGGGCGTGTGACATCAATGGAACGCACTAGTTCTCAGGTGCAACGTCATGACCTTCACTTGGTCCGACTCAGACTGAGCCCTCGTTCTTTCCTTGGGAGGAGCAGCGCCGGCCCTAAGCTGTAGAGCTCGTAGAAAGCCATCAAAGCAGGGTCCCACGGGAAAAGCACCGCCGCCCGGAAGCGGCCCATCTGTCCTCGAGAGGCTTGAGAGGCGTTAGGATGCCTATGCGGCAGACTTCCGTTGGACCCTAGACCCGAAGTCTCCCAGGAGTTCGCTGTGCCTTTCCATTGCATCCGGCGGTCTGTCGCTCAAAGCTGAGCCATGGTACGCACACTCTTATAGAGACTGCGACCTCATCGTAGAACGAGGAAAACTGCACAGCACAAAAAAAACCCTCGCTTCACGGGACCGGCGAAAAGCTTCAAACATGCCAACCTTGAAGAGAAAGCGAGAGACGATGACTCGATGACCGTCTCCCAAGGGTTGGAAACAAACTAAGTCACACTTTATACTTCGTGACTTATGATGGAACTGAAAGGGTCTGTACACAAGCCCAACACGACACGCATTTCCTCCACGTGCTTGCCGAAGGCCCTGTAAGCCATGGGCACGAGGAGCGTCGAGCACTCGCCCGGGGGCCTTCTGCGTCTCCAGCATGTCTTCAGCATGTCTTCAGCATGTCCCTGTGAGTTCAGACTTCAGCGTATCGGGTTCCCCTCCACTGCCTCGCCTGCTGGCTGTCTGGCTGGCTGTCTGGCTGGCTGTCTGGCTGGCTGTCTGGCGCTGCTTCACTGGTGTCCATCCGTCAAGATCTCCTGATGTCACAGGAACAGTCCTCCGTTTCTGATCTACTGGACTGGTCCAGGTCAGCAAGTCTCCTGATGTTATCGGCACAGTTCGCCTCCTGCTTGGGGAACGCTGTGGGCAAGCATTCTCCGCGGCTTCGGCTTGTGCAGGTAGAATGCTTCTCCCGTGCACAGGCTCGTTGCCGGCGATCCTGTCAAACCGAACAGTCTTTATCTCCGCCCCAGCTCCAGCACTGGCTCCACACCCCATCGCCAAGCAGCTACGACAGAGAGCTGGTCTCTCGCTTGGGCTGCGAATCACGACACGGAAGAGCCCTCACGATGTCTTTGCCAAAGCGCATCAAACTGCACAGCACACAAATGTTCACGGCCACATCCGCATGCTAGGATTGCTAAGGCTGGTAAGGGTCTGAACGGAACAAAATCGTCCCCGCTTCGCACCACGCGCAGCGCTAGAGGCAGCTGCGACCCGCATGCATCAACGTGCGCCTCAATGACGGATCGGTACTCGGTCTGCACATAAAAGGCTCCCACATTGTATCTAATCAGCCTGTGAAAAACCCCTAGCTCCACACGCCTCCAGGACGGGAAGGAACAGTGAAAGACGGAAGTAGCCTTGGTTGAGGACACGGGGCCTAACATCTAGGACTAGCCGGCAGGCTTGGTGACTTCGCGATGCGTATGTGTGCATGAATCGTAAGGATCGTGAGGAGAATGACTCAGACACGGACGAAGCCCGAGCTAGAACTGACCAGCTGAGATGCTGCTGCGGAAAAACAGCACCTGGCGCCGGAATGCTTTGCCCGGCGAGGTGCCATACAGCTTGGAAGATCTCTGCCTCGTTTGGCATTCATATTCATGAGGGTAGAATCGGACAGAGTGAATTTCGAGAGAATCCCTGTGTTGAACCTCAGCCCTTGCTTTTGACCACAATCGAGGTTCGAAAACCCCTAAATGGCTGAGGCAGGTCCTGCCAACCCAAGGAAGCAAGGACCCCGAACATCTCTGAACCACTTCCGCGGCAAGACATGCCATCTGTAGGTCAACACAAGGCATCCCGCAAATGGGTAAATCTCAGGCGAGGCTCACGTACAGAGCCCTTGGTCGCACCACTTCGAGCTGCATTCCAGTGGCATACCTGCGCAGTGCATTTGGCCACAGGGTTTTAATGCAAAGTGTTGTTGAACTGACGAGTAACAATGGTCCCGGCACTGTGAACGGCAATACAGGACCGAAGACTAATCAGTTGGCGCACCGGATCTGCTCTCTCAGCGCAAAGTTGTGGGCGGCCCAAACATTGCTTTGTTGGTCTCCTGGCAGAGCAGCAACTGGACCTTCTTCCGAAAATCGCTTCAAGCTATGCCCTGATCCCTGGAGATTTTGCTGCAGCCCGACCCAGTAATTGCACGGGAACAATGACTGCTGCGAGAACAATGGCCGATGCTCGGTTGTGCACTGCTTACATGGCCGTTCTGTACTCCCTTGCGTTTCATGTCGCTTCTCTTGCCGACGGTTGGGGAGATGCTGCCAAGAGACTGACCATGGCCTGAAAGTGCATCAGCCACAGCTGGTCTGTCTGCCTGCCAGCAAGATTCGGAACAGCTGTTTTCTTCCTCCCTTGCAAGCTGTTTGAGTTTCTTGTTCTTCGTGAAGGGGAAAGACATCGACACTAGCAAGCGCCGCTGCAAAAAGACTTTGACGACGTGGGATAGAAAGTGCGTCTTGATGTTGTCTTCTGCGTTTCCTTATGTTTCCTTTGTGCAGAGTATAGCCATATACTGAGCGACAGCAGGCAGAAGAGCCGGGGGCAGGGTAGCCTTGCTCCATCCCGGCAAATTTTGGCAAATTTGTGGAGCTGCGAACCTGCCGGCCTGTCCACGTTAACGTGCAGCTGCATCCCCAGATATGCCAGCAGAGGTTTCTCCACAACTGCACGTAGCAAGCTGCACCTACGCTTGGCACGAAACACACGCAGGCCGCAAGCCTCAATCCCTGTAGAATCGGAACAAGAAACACAAAGCCTTTCTGTTATGAGAGCAAGCTGCACCAATGGTGCTGTGCAGACATACATCTCTGCTGCACGCAGATCCGGGTCTAGCCGATGCATCTCCACTAAGACAGTGAGGTAATCAGCGACCTGCATGTCATCTTTTCAACTTCCACCCCTGCCCCTCCTGTGCAGAGCTGGTGGTTGACAGCAAATCGTGGCGAATGTGCAGTCGGGACATGTCCTGATGACCCAGCGCAGGCCTGGTAGTATCTCCGCCGTTCGTGGATAGCCTCCTCGAACATGTGCACCAGGTCCACCCACAGCCGGCTGCTACCTTTTGACAAAGTTGCAGGTGGGCTTGGTGGGGGTGGGGTCAGAGCCAGCACTTGAGACCTGCAGCAAGTTTCGCCCCGCAATTGAGGAGTTAGTAAGAGCAAGCTCCAGCAGAAAACCACCGGATGGCACCAGCATGCAGGCGTGATAAGAATCTGCAGACAGTGTAATACAAAGAGCAATTCGTACCTCCAAGTGTCTAGTCAGTTACTCGTGCGCACGCCCAAGGCCCAAGGCCTGCGGCTTCAGAGTTAGAGCGCCCTGCTCTGCATCGCTGTGCCTTCCGATCCGGGCTCGCAGCTGCCCAGCGCTTGGCACTGCAAGGCACAATGGTGGGACCAGGCCTCAGAGCTTCGACAGGGCCACAAACAACATCTCACACCATCGCGGTCCAAGGGCGGCATTCCCCCGCGGGCAATCTCGCATGAAGATCCTCAGAATCTCATGGAAGGTGCGTGGAACACGTGCATGCTGACACGATACGGCACAGCAACATGCAGACATCGTGCTGCAACAACCCGCCTTGTCGTGATGAAAGTTAACAAGGGCTACAAACACTCAAGAAACGAATCGGAACACTCTGACTCTAGCAGCAAAATCCTGAACCCTAAACCCAACACCCTGGATGTCCTTGCCGCGAACCGGTTTTCTAAATCACTCGGCTGCCGCTTCTGGGAACTCGTATTCTTGAATCTCCGGATTGGTTTTGGAACCACGCTGCTCTCCGAGCCAAGAAGCTGCACTCGGGTGTCCCAGGAGCGCAGCGCCGCTTTTAGCATGGTCGCTGGCTCGAGAACCTCGTTTGGCAAACTTGCTGCTAGACTTCGGAGCAACACCTGGAAACCGCCCCCGGATGGTCGCTGATCCTCCGCTAGCTTTTGCTCGTTCAAAAATGCTTCCAACTTGCCTCAGCTTCTGCTTAGGCTTCCAGGCTCCAGGCAAGATGCCAAAGTGGAGTGCACGCCGAAGACAGCAAGCCCAAGCCGACGCTGCCTCCAGCCTCGCTTGCAGCTTTCGGGTTGGCTGGCTATTGGCTCCAAGCAGAACCTGGAATGTCTCCGAAAAAACGAAACCCCAGCCTCGACTGGACTCCAGGCGGCGCCAAAACGCCTGCATAGGAAAGTCTGCGGCTGTGAGCCAGAGCTGGGCATCCGAAGAAGGAGCAGAAAAGGAAAAGTCGTCGTCCGTCGTCGTTCGCCTCCGCAGGAGTGTCGTCCCCTTCCTTCGTCCTCGCCGTGTAGTTGTCGTAGCGACCGTGCGCTGGTAGTGGTTGTGATTATCCTGGTGGTGCCGGCGCTGGTGGTGGCACCATGTCGTCGTCGTCGTCGTCAGGCGATGGTAGGAGCAGGAGGGGGAGTGAGGAGGAGCAATCTGTCTCAGGCCTCGTAGGCCATCAACTCCATCCCTCAACAACCGCCACGCTTCACTACTGTAAGCACAAGCTCCAGAGTCCTCAACCTCAGCCCCTGAGCGTGAGGGCATGTCCCTGAACGCCTGCCTTCGTGCGGGCCACTGGTCTGGGCTTCATCTCCTGGGCTTTCGCTTCTGGAGGACGTGTCGACGAGATGCCGTTGAGGCGAATAACCGAGGCCAGGGAAGGAAGACGAGTCTGGGCAGGGAATGTTGCTTTTGCAGACTGCTCCGCTGGGTTCAGGGGCAACCATTCATCGGTTGCTTCAATCGAATGCTTCGTGATACATCCTTCGGGCTTTCGGAATCTCTAAGTCGCAGGTCAACAAATCAGAGTAAGCTCCGGCTTCCAAATTTGCCCTGCCTGGAGGCCGGTGAAGGGCGACGTGCGGAAGGGCGCAGGCCGAACACTCTGAGTGCCTGAATCCCGTTGCTGAGCCCATTCTCGGGCTTGTCTTTGTCACGCACCGTCTGCGCAAACCCAACCTGAAACTCGAAACCTGGGATCTCCAACTTTTACGCGGACGAGCCGCCCACATCCAAGTCAAGCCAACTCTGCAGCGCGTCCCGGTTGACACGCAAGTCCTAGGAGGAAGGACGGCTCGTAGGATCTCAGAGGGGGATGGCACCTGACACCCCTCGTGAATCCTTCCGTGCGCCGAAACCTCCAGAGAAACCCCAAGCTGTTCTGAGCGAAAGCGTCCAAGGCCCCGAACGGCCACGAGCTCGCCTCGCCTCGAAGCTAAGATTCGAAGTCACGGCCAATCTCTGTAAGCTTCCACTGAGAACAACTCTCGTGATTGCTCAGCCCGGTGGCGGATGAAGTCCAGGTGCAGGCGTCCTCCCAAGATCGAAAGGCCATCCTGCTTTCAAGGCAAACAAGGCAAGAAGACATGCATGAAACGCACTCACAAACCCTTCTTGGAAAGCGAGTGCTGCCTGCAGTCCGGTCAAAGCCTCTGCGTGATTCCCCAAGCGCTCGGAGAGAAACCTAAGCAAAGCATGCTTGGTCAGGTGGTTTTTAAAAATAGCAGAACCACCCGGGCTGAAGCTACAATCCCTCAGGACAGAATCTCCACACCTTTGTCGCAGGAGTAAATTTGAATCAATGCTATTGCCCAGCTGGGGGCATTCTTCAACTCAACACATCCGAAAGACTTCGAGGTCATCCACAAACATAGCTGTAAGGTCTGAAAACTTCCCAGGATGCCAGCTCCAAACCCCAAGAAACTGTCCAAAACACCCCAACAAATCCCAGCTGTGTCGAGTGAAATCCCGAAACAGCCCAAGAACTCAACCCGACATTTGCTGCATGTTGCGTCTCACGCCGCGACCGTCGACGGAAGACACTACAAATCGTTTCAGGTAAGCCTAGTTGATGCCAAGAAAGAAGTGGTAAGGCAGCAAGCTGCTAAATTCTCAAGCCCAACCCGACGTTCCTGACATTGGACCCACATGGTCAGCCATAGACAACTCAGCTTCGAATGCTTGGGATATGCTGGGCCGCTGTGCTTTGATTCGTTGTAGAAAAATTCAAGCTCGAAAAACCGAGCTTCTAAAATCCCAAAGTTAAACGGCATATCTGCAAACGAGGTGGGCTGCCGAGCATCGAAGAACTCGGACGAAATGCAAGGGGTGATGATGATCGTTTGAACAACCAATGATGCCGCGAGACCGTACCGACACATCGGAAACGCTGAACATGGAACAAGAAGGCCGGAGAAGGGCATTGATGAAGCTGACACAAGCAGCGCAAGATTCACTGGTGCACATCCTTTCTGTTCTGGCTGGGCAGCAGTTCAAACGAGCAGCTGCGACCGAATGAAGATGGCGGTCACCAGTCCGTAGAAGCCTCAGATCAAGGCCAGCAGTTCGCAGCGGAAGCTGGCGAACGAAGACTCGAAGGCGAAAGTTCAGTTAAAACATACCTAAACAACAAACACAGGCAAGACCTTTGACGCTGCATTCAGCCACTACGAGCTTGACTGCGTCCGCCAGCCCTACCCCCGTTGCACCTGGAAAGAAGGAGACTTCCAGGCTAGTCTTGGTCGACTGGCAGCCAGGATGCATAGGCCCCTGAGGCTGGAAGGAGGCTCCAGGCGCTTCAGCACCTAAGCAACGCAGAGGTCTAAGTCTAAGCTTCCCAAGGTTCCAAGCCCGAGAACCTTTTGCCTTCCCTCTACTCGCCACAGGCACCAGGTCGAAGGTGATCGGCGCCGTAGAGAGCTCCTTCCACCAGGAGCCTACCAGGAAAGTGCTCAAGTCCTCGGTCAAGCGACAGGCCTGCCGCCTTTTTGCAACTTCAGCAGACAAGACAGAAGCGCTGGCTTCTGCAACAAGTCTCTGGGACGTTTGAGTGGCTTGGGTTTCCGGTCGAGCATTGTAAGCCGTGTAAAGTTCCTTGGAAGTTGCAGCCAACCAATGTCACCCCCAAACTGAACCCCATCTCCGTCTCTACCAAGCTAAGTGTTTTTTGCCAGTGCATCTTGAGTCTCAAAGGCCTTCTGCGCCGAGTCGCTGCCTGGACAGCGATGCGCTCACACAAGCCACAGCAACCGCGGCACCGGGCTGCCCAAACTGAGTCTTCGCAAAGGTCGATGGAAGCTGTGCTCGAAACTGGGAAGGCCACACTTCGCAGCAAGGCAGGCAGACACTCCGTTCCCCGATTTTCGACCAGTCGTCCACATAAACTGACAGCAGCCTAAAGGGGCTGCTCCAAAGTAACACAAGGCAAGAGACGCGGTCACGGGTCGTCGGGGAGTCCTGTCCCTGTGCGATCCCATGCCGCTTTCGAGGCAGACTTCCCGCACACACTGCATGGAAGCGCTGCTGCTATACAATTGAAGCATCTTGACTTACGACTCCATCCGCTGAGGCTTAGCGGCGGTCGCGCTACTCACTCCGAGCTCAGAAGCTCTCTCACATCCGGGAGTAGCTTGCCAGAGGTCTTCTCCGCATAAGCACCTCAAACAATAAGATACATGCAAAAAACTGCAAAAAGGAGTCCGCATGCTGCTCAGACGCCGTAGCTTGGGTCGCTTTCCTTCAGGTTGTCCTCCTCCACTGTGGCCTTTTGGTCGAGAACGAAGTACAGGGCCGCTGTGAGAATCAGGCGGTTGGCACCTGAACGGCACACCACCTCACCACGACACATCAGCAACTGCTCCTTATACTTCATGTCTTCAACTTGCTGCGCAGGGCACTGTTGGTGACAACCGCAATCCCAAGGCAGAGTAAAACCAATCCTCCATAGATTGGATGCCGCACATACTCATAGATGCCATCCGTCCTCAGTGTCGACCTCGGGCACTGGCAGGAAGTAACCGCTTCTTCCAGCACATCATCTACTCGTGCATGAAACGAACAGACGAACTCACATACGCCAACACAACGACAAGCATTTATGCTAGTAGCTGTCAATACACATGCATGCAGGCATGCAGGCATGCAGACATGCAGGCATGCAGGCATGCAGGCAGGCAAGCAGGCAAGCAGGCAAGCAGGCAAGCAGGCAAGCAGACAGTGCAAAAATGCAACGAGACATCCCGAAGCGGCAGAGAGACAGAGAGAAAGAGCGAAACAGCACAAGCAACAAGCAACATAAATCTACACACACACACACACACACGTGCACAGATGGTGGCAGGAAGAAGAAGTTGAGGCACCCTGACGGCTTGTAGTATGCCTGCAGTAGCTTATGGTGCTAGTAGATAGGTAAGTAATTTGGTCTGCAATCAGGAGCACAGCATAGGTACACAGCCACCAGGCAGAACACAATACTATGCTGAGTGCGATCATCTCCAAACCGTTCTACCACTGCACATATTCAGCGCCCAGGCCCCTGGCCCTGCGGGCTTCACTATCCACGGAGAAAGGTCGCCTCGGAAGTCTTGATGTGATGACAAGGAGAGTACCGCCGTCGCACTGGATGCAGGCCACCGAAATCCCCGTCTTGCATCGCACAAAGGCAAGGCCAAAACCTCCGACCCCAAGACAGAGAGTCAGAAGCAACAAGGTCCTCTGTCGAGGTAGCCCAAGCCCAAACCCTGAACCAACAGAGTCGCCCTGGAGCTGGTAGACGGAGGCCACGATCATACCGCCTCCCGAATATCTTTGATGAACGGCAGGATGCCATCAAAGACGCCCTACGAGTAGCTGCCCTAACTCATGCCACCTCCCACGGCCATGGACAGGGGCCCGGCCAAAAAGTAGAGCGAGGAGCTGATCAATGGCACCTTGACAGACGGCTTCATACTTTTCGATGCATGGGTATGGAGACTCAGGTCTGCCGTTTCGAGCTCCCGATTTCCTGATCCAGCGCATGTCATGCTATCGGCTCGTGCAGTGACTTCGTACGACTCCTCCGGTGGAGCCCACTCCAGTAAGCACCCCAGTAGTGACAAGTGCTTTGCGCAATGACCACTCACCGCATCCTCCCCTCGAAAAGTCTATCCGGCAACGATTCGGAAATGGCCACACAAAGACAAAGGAGCTGTTAGCAAGAATCCATTTACCGCAGCCTGAGCCCGCAAATCGAAACTGCGAGCTTGCCGATGACTTGACCAGTGTGGTGGGTGTCTGGCTCCCACCGCTGTTCGATGTGCGCATGCAAAACGACTAGACATACTGGCCTCACTTCAACCTGGTTCATCCGAGTTCTGTTTAAAACTGTTTGCAGCCGAGCCTCTTGTTCAAAAACTAGCTTGGTAACAACTATAAGGAAAACTTATCAAGCAGCGTCAAGCATCTCTGTCTTCAATATGGTCTTAACAAGAACAGTCCAAGCTCAGGAGGAGGCTGTGCCGATCAGGATGCACAACAACAGAAAGAGCTGCGACGCCACGTAGACCTGGTGTGGGTTAACCCTGTGGGAAACACGCACTGCCCGCAGCCAGTGGAAGCTGAAAGCATCACAATAGGCCGTGGCCTCGCCGCGCTTGCCGACTTCGCCCTCCATGATGTTCTTTTTGATCTTCCTTGAAGCCGCACGGGCGAAAGAGCCGAGAAAGCCCTCTGCACTTTCCTTCTGAAGAGCCGAGAGCCGCCGCCTTGGCCTCAAGCTACGGCCTGCTACCGCCTGCTCCGCCTCCTCTCGGAAACGAGCTGCTCCAGGCTTCCTTCGAAGTCCGTGGCTCGCTGAGGAACCTTGGCTCCCGATCTAAGAAGCCTAGGCTGCCCCAGCCTATCTTAGCTCAAGTCCTCCTAAATCCTAACAACCTCAAAACCTCGAACTTCAACCCTTGTTCGCTGGCATTCGCAGAACCTAAACCCTCACCCATATCTCAACCTACAAAAACCTAACTAAGCCTTGCCTTATCCTAACCCGCAAACCCCCAAACTGCTTCACCTAAACGTCAACTGAACAGCCCCCCGACCCCGAAACTAATGCAACCCTGAAACCAAGACTAACCTGACCGGAGCCCTCAACCAGCCCTAGCCAAAGCTGATCAAATGAGCTAGGCTATCCCAAACCCGAGAGTTCCAACCTAATCAAACCACCCTGAACCCGGACCAAATCTGACCCAACCGAACCCCTACCCTAAACCCTAGCCCTTTCAACATGGGCTTGGATTGTCAGCGAACACTCCTCAACAGCAGAGCCTCCTCGCCTAGCCAAACCTAAACCCTAAACTAACTTGCCCTAAACCCTCGCCTAACCTAACTTATACTAAACCCGAATCTAACCCACCATCAACCCTAACCTGACTAACCTACCCAACGCAAACCAAAACACAATGATCTGATCACAACAACTGAGGCAAGATCGCAGTAAATTGAAAGCCGATCACAATAACTTACCCATGAGGGCAGTTGGTTTCGTCGCACAAGCATCTGATTTCAACATCGGCAAGCACAGACGGGACGTGGAGTTAGGCCTCGAACGCTAAGACAAAGACATGCCCCTGTTGCTGCAAGATGAAGCAACAGCAGCCCGCGGTCACCAAACTCCATCACGCAAACCCGAAGCTGCTATGGCCCGAGGTGATAACGGCTCTGGGCCTGAGGCCGAGCAGCCAGGGTCACCCGATTGCTTTTCTGAGCCTTGGCAAGAAAGCTTCGGTTGCTGTCAGCGAGGAAGGTTCCGAAGTCCAAGCGCAGTGGTGCACTCTACATGTACGCCTATTTTTTCTTGATAGGGTCCCTCCCGGACAGGCGAGAGGACAAGCATAGAACCACGCATATAAATGGTGGCTTGATGTCATGTATCAGTGTTGGTTCAGGAATTTGATTCCGCTGGGGACTGCTGTGGACTGCTGTGGGTAGAAAGCACCCGGAATTGTGGAAAATCTGACATGTCGCATGTAGCATGAAAGTCCTCCAGCGAGACTGCTTAGAAGCCCTTCTTCGCTTTACTCCATCTTGGCCGCGGGCTTACAAGCAGGAGCCCAAAAACCACTGGGGCCACTGGGGCACGCACACTGACCTCGGATGCTGTCAGGACCGCAGTCTGGGGCTGTGGCCGTGAGCCGCGACGACATCCTGCCTACCGGCATGCAACTACGTCAACGACAAAATACATTGAAACAGCTTACCTTCAGATCGCATGTTTATGCCGCTTCCTTGCAGGACCTCGCATCGAAGTTGGTGCCACTTGTCCGGCATGGTGCAGCTTGATTTTTTCCGGCTTTTGGCTTTTGCAAGCTCTGCAAAGGCAACTCTGACGCAGATCTGCGCAGACTGTGCCCATTGGAGACTTCAATTGCTACAAGAGTCCGACAAGCCGAGAAGCCAAAAAGAGAGAAATGCCAAAGACGAAAGACTAAAGATCTGCTGGGCTAGATAGGCCGTAGGAGCTGAAGAGCTGAAAAAGACCGAAATATTACGAAAGAGACCTGCAAGCTAACCGCGGCGTTTGTCTGAAACCCGAAAAAAAAAAAACGAGCCTCCGCATGCGACAAAGGTTGGCAAGGCCAGGCCACCCATGACGGCCAACAGCAAGGCCAATGGAATAGGGCGGGCTCGGCGGAGGTTACGCGCAGCCATGGCGCTGAAGCTTGCAAACCCGGCACAGCGAGAAACCCACGAAGATGAAACATCGATCCGATCTCCTGAAGCCCAGAGCCTGTGCTAGCAAACAAGCCCTTTTCAGATGAGATGCTGCAGTCATCTTGCCTTGATCCCCTGACCCAACAGCTGCCGAGAAGAAACGTTTCAGAGTCTCCCTTGTGCAAAGGGCCAACAGCTGACCACGTGAGCCACATGTCCCTGTGCCTTCCTCACGCCAGCGCAAGCCGGCCTTCCATGTGCTTGATTTTTTGTCTGGTGCAAAGAAAGCAGCACTGAGACGAGATCACGTCGCTCCATGGCAGGCCAAAGAACCACTCACAATGCAAGTTTGAAGCCACAACTGTTTTCATCTTCGCTCCATCGCAAGTCTGACTTTGCAGCTCCTCCATGGAACAGGCTAGCTGGCGGCCGGCTGGTGGATCTTCATTGGGACTTCGCCTCCTCCATTGGCCGCAAGAGGTACGGCACACAAAGCCCATGCGGGTTGTACCCCGTGGGGTTCGTGTGAGTGAGAATGCCATTCAGCACGGGTAGCTGGAAGATGAGAAACGGAAAGGACAACAAACCGTACACAATACGTCCGAAGAAAAACCTCGAACGAAATTGCCAGTTTTGCAGGTCGGAGAGCAGAAGGTCTTTGTTTATGGCCACCTGTTCCAGTTGCACCGTCGCTTCCTTAGAAACATCCAGAACTGTGAGGGCGTAGATCAAGACACAGCTCAAGACAAAAGTAAACAGGTCATAGCCAAGCAAGCCAGCGAGCCGGCCACCTCGAGACCTGTCGTAAAGGCAGCACCGCTCTTCGGCCCCGGAATGCTCGTCGTCCTTCACGTCACTCTGAGTGATCTCGCGTGCCCCAGCGAAGCTGCGTGTGCACGGGAGCAGGAGGAAGGCCAACCAAACCAGAGCGCAGCTGCCGACGAAGTCCACCGAGCTCGTGGCCAGACCCTGTGAGACACCAGGGCCCTCCGTGTCGCAGGTGTGTGTCCCACCCGGCTTCACGCACATGTAGTATTCGAAGGCTGCCAAGCAGGCCATGAAAACACCGCTGGACAAGAACTGGGCGCCTTTGAACATCAGGATGAAGCAAACGGTCTGGTATTCATCCGGCGGTGAACCGGCCACTATGCACACCAGGACCAAAGCAAAGAACGCCACGCGGATTCCATACATCGGTGTCACACTTATCGCTGTCAGGATCCAAAAAAGCGGGTCCTTGATCTGTCCGAAGATCGAGCTGTCAAAGGGCAGATAGTGATACAGCAGCTTTGCACGGAACCAAGAAAAGCTCAGACAGGTTGGGCGAAGGCCCAAAGATTTCAATGCGGAGTGATCGGCTCCTCTTTTCAGCATCTGGTCCTTTGCATCACCTACCACAGACTCCACATAAACGGTCAGGTCATCCCAGAACAGATCAATAACACTCTCCAGGCGCCAACGAGCACAGTTCCACATGTCGGGATCTGACAGAGCCGCATCTTTGATGGTCTCACGCAATGCAAGCATCACCCGGGCTCGGATCGGTCTCGAAAGGCTCACCAAACGCTCAAGCGCTTCGCTTTTGGCACCCCTCAAAAGTGCGCCCTGCCGGCCATAGCCTGCCTCCCTCAAAGCCTTCAGGTCCACACGGTCCGTAAAGAAGTCTGCAAGATAGGTGCGCAGCTCTTCGTAGTGGCGTGCCTCATATGCCTGCGCTGCTCGAGTGAGCGCGCTGTTGGTCCGATCTCTCACTCCTCCAACAGCTGCGGCCACACCCGCTGCTGCCGACGATGCAGCAGAGGCACCTTTTGATGTCACATGGCCGAGAAGCTCCATTCTAAACAGAATCCAATGATGAATGAAGGAATGGAGCAATGCATCTGTATATGTCTGTATTGCGAGGCCTCGCAGCACACAGCACACATGGCTAAACAAAGGCGAGAAGGGCGTGCCACTGAGATGCAAGGATCACTCTGAGAAATCGCAGACACATGAGTTCTGAGAACCCCTCAACCCAGCCTCCCGATGCGCTCTGCTCACCAAGCGAAGTTCTGTCCAGCGCGGATCAAACTCCGAGCCAGAACACTCCAAGTGTGACAAGGCCTTCCAGGTGCTATCAAACAGCTGGAGTCTGCAAGCAAATGAAATGCATTGTCCCACCTCCTGGCAAGCGGTTCTAGCTGAGCCACCGAGACTCGCATTGTCTTGGTACAGCAAATGCAACTGTTCCATTGGCCCAATGGCCCTGTCCGTGCTGCACTTCAGTCGGTACGCTCGGTACTCTGCAACTCTGGCAGACTGCCCCGCTCCGCGAGCTAGCTTCTCAGCATCGCACTCAGCAGCATCAGTGCTTGCTGTCGCTCTGCATAGCTTCACGGCGCTAAGGAGGGGTGGCAGAAGAAGGGCGGCATGTATACATCAGCACACGTGCAAGGCTTTCATAAGCATGGCCGAAAAGTCTACGAAGCCTGCACTGGCTGATTCTCGGTTTCTCTTGTTGCGTGTTGTCTTGGAGCCAGAGAGAAAGTTCTCGTCTTGCAGAAGACTGTGGCCCACTGCAGCCTGCAGATGCCTGCTGAGCTGCCGGCGAAGCCTCGCTCCCATCCCAGGCAAGGACCTTGGGGCCGAAGGGGCCCAGCCTGGAAGGCAACGGTTGGGGCCGTGGGACGAGGTGGAATCCTGCTGGGGCCCCGAACTCCACAACCTCCAAGGTACCATCACCTCACACAAACACACACACACACATATCCGTCTCCTCCCCTTACCACACGACGAAAACAAACTCCGTAAGAAATCCTGTAAGAGCGCTGCGCAGCTCAACCGTCACCTGCAAAGCCAAAGCACGAGGGCCCGTCATCTTCCGATGCGTGGAAAGGTGCCACTCTCAGTGCATGGCTGACTCCATGGCTTGCACAGCATCCGCTTCTCGAACCTGATCGCACTTACGCTTTACAAAGCAAAAGACCACAAGTCTGCCTGAAGCACCATCAAGAAGTACGTAATTGCGGTCTTCAGCTACTCAGTGTAACCAACTCATCCGAAACTTCCCCGTCAGGAAGCGCAGACAATCTGACGACAAAGAAGCAGTGCCTGAATGCATTTGGCCGGCTACTTTAGAGCTCGGGCCACGGCCCCTTCTGGAAGCATTGAAACAGGAAACCTGAGACACTGCAACAGCTTGCCGACAAATCGAGGTGTAGCTGGCTTTTCTGGCTTCCTGGCTCTAGCAGCTCAGCCACTGCAGGTCTGTCATGCTCTGCACCATCGATGCTCCAAACACATGCGAGGCATTGTTGCAAATCGGACCAGTTCGAATGGTTGACAAACCACCTGAGGCACATATCCCCGCCCTCACCCGACACTTTGTGTGAATCCCGGCTCACACCTTGAGAATTGTTTGCATGATTTCCTGAGATGCAGCAGCAAGGTTCAGCCCGGCACAGCCTCGGGGCTTCAGCCCTTCATCCGACCCCACTTTTGTAAAGAGCCTACATCGCTTGGCCATGAACTTGGGACCTCATCTCTGGGAACCGAAGATGCAGCCCAGGAGGGGTCGTTCAAGTTACATTCGCGGGCAATCGAGTAGTTTAACAAAAAAATTGTATGGGAGTGGGGACACTGCCAACAGAAAAGATAAAGCCTCCACGGCCCCTGGCAATACTTCGCAGAACAACTTCAAAGCAGTTGCGAGAAGCGCCTCCTAATCGATCGTGGGATGCCAGTCTTTTCAAGTGCCGGGCTGTTTGGCTGAGCTCGCACTCCAGCGGCTTTCGCCGACCTCATTCCAGGAGCTTCAGAAGCACGGAAGTGCTCACGGATCTGGTGGCAGGCTTGAACAAACAGACGTCGCAAGCGTAGGGCCGGGCATAAAGACCGGGCTTCCAGAGCCCCTGCCCAAAGCTTGCTTTGCCTCGCAGAGCCGCAAGAATTATCTGTTCCCATGCCGCTTGGCAAACCCAAGTAGACATTCCACCGAGCTTGCTTCATTAATCTTCATTAATCGTCCCTTCTACAGACATGCGGCCATGCTGCTAGCAAGGACGCAGCCATTGGTTCGCCCCATTGCGGAAGGCACCGGGGACGAAAACTGTGTCACGAAAGTGTTGCTATCTCGCCATGGCACGTCTGCCAATCTCATGCAGATAGGACGAAACATGGGTCTCAGCATTTACTTGAGCACAAATGTAGAGGAGGCAGGAAGCATCCTGCACGGCTGTGCTCAGTGTCAGGTTTCAACACGTGGCCCGACCTGCCGAGAGCTGCGGAGGCTTCATTAGCGATCTGGGCGGCCACAGGGGCTTTGGCTTGATGCCCTTATGATCTGATCTGAGCTGTGGGCGAGAACCGGTCATCGGTCTGATGCGAGAGCCGTTCTACCGCCTGCATCGGGCGAGGTTTTATTTGGGACGCAGTGCTTTCGTTGGCTGTAGAAGCTAGGGGCCGATGCCGGTGCCACTCGGGCTTACTTACCACATGCAAAACTCTCGTTACTCGCGTTGCCAGGCCTCCCTCAAGGATTTGATTTGCCCCTCCCACTCAGGAGTCGTAGTGGTGGAGTAAGGGCTCCAGCCATTGTCCTGTAGTGACCGCGAAGGCAAGGGAAAATGTCGTCGCGCGCTTTGAAAACAAAACCGCGCATGCCCACATGAAACAGAAACTTCATGCACAAACATCTGAGACTTCGCCAGCTGAAGCCACACAAGCGGATGACGATACTTCCCATCCATTGCGGAGTGGTCCCGTCCTGGGCCGTGGCCGCTGCCTGCCGTGGGCCGAGTGTGTTCCCCTGGTCATGCCCCTCGCGAAAGCCTAAACACAAAGCCGAAACGGAAGCCACCCCGCCCCCGAAAGCTCGCTCGCTCTCTCTCTCCACCCTGCCGGAAGTAGGAGCAGCAGTCGCTACGCGTCCGCACGCAGGCACGCTCTGGGTTCCCTTTTTCTCGGCAACCTTGCACGCATGCTCTCTCTGGTCCTGCAGTCCGTACGGGTTGATCTACGAAGAGTTGCATGCACTAAGTGGCACTAAATGTATCAACACGACACAAATCTGACATAACCTACACTCCCAACCCGGCTCCAGACCAACCGTGCAGCTACGTAACACAAGTAGCTGTCTCAGACCATGAAACCTCTAGAAACTTCTGAAATATGATGAAGAGAGACTTTCACCCGAAGCAAAAATTCCCAAAAGCACGGAGAATCATCTCGCTGCAGATCGCCTGGGGGGCACCGCGCGAGTTTGCCAGCAGGACCGGGATCCTCGGCACTCATTGCCTGCTTGCTGCGCTGAACCGCCCCCGCAGACCTACGCTTTCACTCTGCTCTTTTGCCCTAGAGTCCTCATGTACATGGATCAGTCTCTACACCTACGCCATCCTTTCACACTCGGCGCCATGCAATGCAGAAAGCTGATCCTGGCCAAAATCGACAAGCGTCGAGAAGCACACAAACACACACTCAGCTTCGCACACGGAACGCGGAGAAGTTGAGAACAACAGCTTCGCTTCGACGTCGCATCACGGCTGTTGCGAGAATGGGAAATCCGAGACTGTACACCCCCGATCTTTCCAACAGTTCAGGCACAGGCTACAGCCAATGCTCACGTGCACCACCTACTTCCGATACCCCTCACACACGAGGTGCCATTGAAGTCAACCCCGAACTGCTTCAACCCTAGTCAGACGTGCCAAGCTGGCATTGCTCTGTGGGATTGCAGGAGTGCATTTTGAAAGGCAACCTTTTCAATGAGGCTTCAGAGTATGTTATAGTACGTTTCGCTGGAGCCATGATAGCAATAAGCTACACCCAAGCTTTGAGCTCACTCCGGAAAGAGTTGCTGCCCATGCCCCGAAGGCCTGCGAAGAAGGTGCCCCAGCATATGAATTCGCACCTTAGCTGAGCCCACTGGGCCCACCAATTATCGGGGCTCCCATCCATTCACGCTGGCCTTGTTCAGATTGACAACATCACTTCCCGCACGGCACCGTGAAGTGTAATTTCCCGCCCATGCAACAGACGGCACCTTCATTAGCTCGCTTGAAACCGCGCGCTGTCGCTGAGCCTCACACTAAGACCTTGAAGCCGTCTGTCCATTGCTTCCAACCTGCTGTCCATCGCCTTGGTTAAAGAGAACCATCCTGCCGCATCCTGCCGCAAGCAAGGAGCCTCTTGCTCCCCTGCAAGGGGCCCCGGCCATGATAGAAGCGGCCAAAGAGGAAGCGGACTGCAGGCGGAAAAAGAAATGCTGTGAAGTGAGCTGATCTCTGGCAGTGCCGTACGACAAGGCCGAGTCTTAAGCGATGCTCCCAAGCTTCTCGCCAGCTTGTCTGGGGAGGAGCTTAGAATCAGTCTTTTAACCTTTTACCGTGCTGGAGTCCGGCTTTCGCCGGGTTCGTCAAACAACTGCACAATGCTCTTGCAGTCCGTCTCATACAGACGCAAAGCACAGACTCTATAACTTTCTTCTTGCCTTACTTAGAGCTTTCAGCACTTGTTTGGAACCTTCAGGACCATGAGGCCTGCCCAAAGGAGTCAACGCCGGCTTGCGAAGCCCGTGCCTGACATCAAATGGTACATCGAGCCACTGCTCAAGAGGTGCAGCCAATCTTCTCGGCTCGGCGCCTCTCGCGACGGGTCGCCTCTTTCGGCGAAAGCGGGGCGTGGCACCCATTGGCCCGCGCCCTGCGCAAAGACGCGTGGCTCGCGCATGTGCAGCCCTGCAGCCCTTGCAGCGATTAGTTTTCGTGTTCAGCACGGCCTCTGGAACTGACGACCCTGGTGCTGTGGAAAGCAGCAACACGGTCAGGGAGAGAAAGCTGAGAAGTACGGCCACCTGGTCTGTCATGACTTTGAGAATCCGTACGACACCAGTGGAGAAAACTGAGTCTGCGACAGCCAAGCACACCTCCGGTCGGAATAATCTGGCGAGCAACCGGTACCTCAGCGTTTGCATAAAGCTGCCCAGGGACATCTTCACTTGACCGCCTTCAAGCTTAGTGCCTGGCATACCGTCTGGAAAGGTGGGATCTTCCACACATGTTGACTGTCGTGGACAATTATTAAAAACGTCTGCAAAACGACGACCTATTTGGGGAGCTCAGTGCAAGGAAGTGCTCTACCACATGGCCAACGCTTCTGGGGAACTGTAACACAAAAAACGCGTATGCGCCCATGCATGCCCATGCCATCCCACAGCCTGATTGAAAAGCTCATGCAAATTCACGCAAGGCATGACTGCTCGCACCGCACTGCTCCATCCGATACGTATGATGCCAGGCCACAAAGTCCTTTTTGCTGCTGTGGTTGCTATGTAAACGGCCAAATGCACGTTCGCTCTTCATGCTGCCTACCCAGCCCTGCAGGATGTTAAACCGACGAATAGGCAAAGACTACACGTCATGCGAGGACCGGGCATGCAACGAAAAATTCCGAAAAGATTCTGCATGAAGTCAATGCCTTCAGCAGCTGCCTCATGCTCGTGGCTCTGGAAACAAAGCTCGAACTACGACTATTAAACACCTGGCAGGACATGTAACTGTGGGCTCGCCGGCTTGTTGCACGTGTCACCCGGACCACTCCTCCTCATTACGCCGCCATCTCCACACTCCCATCGCTCGCTCCGACGACAACTGGATTCATCCCGGGAAGCTTTGACAACAGCTGCCTGTGTCTACAGACGGGACACTGGATGGCATTGTCATCCCAATGCTTGTTTGCTCCGTGTAGCAGCCAGCCTGAAATACATTTGGAATGGAATGCATGGTGGCACTCGAGTCGCCTGGCTTGATGTTCCACAGTAACCACATCAAGGCAGACGGAACACGTCACTTCCTTGTCCAGCTTGATTTCTGGAAGATGCACCTGGCATGCAACAGCACCTGTTACCATCTGTTCATGATGCCGCCAAAACCATGTCTGCTACCTATTCTAAATGCTTGCGCCTGTACACTGAATACAAACGCTACCGAAGCGGGCTATCCCGTATTCTCGTACAACCATGGCATTCCTACTAATCGTTCAGGCATGCCGTCTCTCTGGCTCATATGAACCCAGACTATTGCAGGCGAGCTGGCATCTATCGTGGCCAGCATGGCGACTTTCTCTGCTTCAGATCTCTGTGGAGCTGGAGCTGCTGTTGCATGCAGATGTGCCTCCGGTGGCGGGGTGTTGTAATCGCCGGTGCATGCTCGAATGGCCGCCATGACCAGGAACATCAGCCACACCAGCCCGGTAGCGATGGCGAAGTACACAATGGGGACGGTCGGCATGGCATCTGATGCTATTGTCCTTGTAAACTGTGTTGCCTGCACGATGTTTCTTTATATATTCTGGTCACAACGTCTGGTGGTCTGCTGTTCTCTGTCATGTTCAAGATTAGCAGCTGCACTAGCACACCATCCACAAAAACTGTAGTTAAGACAGGTATCACCATAAGGGATGGCATCTAAAGTTGGCTTTCTGGTGCCACCTGAAAAGCATATAGCGCATCGAGGATGCTTGTCATGGCAGTCCGCACCAACAGGAGTATAGGACTGGCACGCGAGCATTGCAAACACATTTGCAATCTCCGCATGATCATACAAGTGCTCTGACGTCGTTTCCACTCCCTCGGGGATCCTTCCCGACAGGATGACTCTCCGACATCCTCTGACACGCCAAGCCCGAAGGCGGGTGGTAACCTTTCCTCCTACAGGGCCTCCGCTGCCCGACGTTCTCTCGTTCCAGGGTATGGTTGTCAGATTTTAGAAGGGGATCCCCAAATTCCCCAAGTCGAAGCGATCAATCCGAGGGAAAGCGCGACATCCCGAACAAAAACCTTTGGAGTTGAAGATGCATCTCACCATCAACGTCGATCTTCCGTAAGCTATAAAATACTTCGTTGGCTCAGAACAAAGCTTTTTGCCTTTTAATGTGCCAGCCGCATTCGATTGCGGCCCATGGCAGGTTTGCAAAATCGTTTTTGACTTCCACGGGTAATAAACTGTGCCGGTACTTGCCAGATGCCGTCGAGCAGTGTGGAAGCCAACTTTCACTGCAACGCAACCTGCCTGCCCACCATCTGCGATCCCACCCCATGCGGGCAACAGCTCGCAACGCCCACGGCACGCACCTAAAACACTGTCTGCATGCGCCTCTTCTGAACGGACTTTACGAGTAGCAGGGCAATGAGTGGAAGGAAATCGTGTTCTTGCCACAGCCGGCACTCGAAAGAACCCAGTTGGTGCGCTCGTTTTTATCTGGTCGTCGTCGCATTAGCAATTTTGTGGCGATGAGGATAGCAAAGTAAACGTGCGGCAGGCAGGAATGAGGTAGTCTGCGGCACTAAAATTCTGATTCATATATATTATTCTTCTTACTTCCTCTTTTGGATAAAACTACTCACGACCCTTGGAGTAAGTACCCGGAGCCACCTCAATGTTCTGATGTTGGGGGGGTCTAGGTGCGGTCCAATGACTTTCACTGGATTCACTGCCGCGGATTTCTTTTCTGCATACCGGCAACTGGCCTGTTGCCCCCCAAATCGCACGTGCTTCTGCAACAATTCGAGAATAGTTTCGCCCCATCTCGACCCTGTGGACTTCCATAATTGAACCACAACGGCTGGCCATAAGCATAGGATTCTGGTGCGTTCCTACATATATAAAGGCAGCCAGCAGGGTCCTAAAATAAAGGTCCACTTCACTTTTCCTAATATACAAGCTCGTATATCTGCTACAGCGGCGCTGCGGGCTGGTACCAAATTCCCGGCTTCCCCGTAGCCTGGCTTGGGTAACTTAACCTCGGTAGAGAGGCACCTGGTACTTGCCAGGTATCCCTTGTATATTTCATGCAGCAAGGTCCTAAAACAAGCCAAATAAGTGCTGGGCTGGGAAGTCCTCTCCTCTCATCCTACTATACAAACTGATATAACTGCTACAACGGCGGTGGGGGCCAGCACCTATTTCCGGGCTTCCCCGTAGCCTAGCCTGGGTAGCTTAGCTTCGGTATAGACACCGTGTACTTCCTAGGTATCTCGTGTATATTTCATGCAGTAAGGTCGTAAAACAAGCCAAATCGATACTAGGCAGGGGGGTCCACTCCACTCTTCCTACTATACAAACGAATAAAACTGCTTCAACGGCGGTGCCGTCCGGTACCTATTTCCCGGCTTTACCGACGCCACGCCTGGCTTCGGTAGCTTAGCTTCGCTATGAACACCTATTGCGGTCCACCCCTCTCTTCTTACTATATAAACTCATATAACTGCTACAGCGGCGGTGCGATCCGGCACCTATTTCCCGGCTTCCCCGTAGCCTGGCTTGGTAGCTTAGCTGGGCTTGGAATGTGTGGGCGGCGGTTGCGCCCCGCGAAGCAAAGCATCCCACTCGTGGCGTTCACCCCACTCCGCGCCCCGGCGCTTGACGCCTGGCGGTGGCCGCGCTCCCCGCCCATACGATGGACACGAGTTTTGCGGAAATTGGCTGCTTCACCCGAATGGAGTGCTCAGAACTGAGCCAACATGAAGCATTCTCGCAATTCTGCACACACGGGCACTGCTGAAAAGCGGCCAGGTGCCGGTGCCTTCCTGCTGTGCCTACTGGCCGCAAGCGCTCCCCGGAGCAGCCGCGGCTGCCGAGTGGTCTGATCCTTCACTGCCTTCCGGACTCCGCGCAGCACCTTTGCGAATGCCCATGCGGCTGCTGGAGGCTCGTGTCACGGCGACACCCCGCAGCATCAGCATGCGGTGTAGCGAGGGGTTCCATGCTAGGCGCACTGCTGGCGCGGCCGGCTCTCCAACCTTGCCTCCTTATGCCTACACATTGCTCGACGACCCGGGCCAAGCCCATTGTGTTTTTCTTCTATTTCCACAAGCCTTTTCAGTGCAGCAGACCGAAGCCCAGGCGACGGTCTAATTGCGGCAAAAGGTCACGCCCGAGGATGTCGCTCAGAGGCGGCAACTCCCCGTCGACATTGGCCATACCAGTACGGGGAAAGAGGCGTTTGGCTGTCAGGTGCCTGATTGCACGTTGCAGGAGTTTTTGTAGGGTCGGACCCCCGACCACACCGCCTTATCCTAAAGGGATAAGATGGCCGCGCGCGATATCATGCAGGACCCGGCCGTCCGCTCTTTTCAGGAGCAAAGGGCCGTGGTTGCGAACCCAGCTTCGCAAACAGTGCAAGCTATGTTCTAGTCGGAGAGAGCCAGGGGAAAGCGCGGACCGCCCACGCCGGTGGCCTCCAGCTTGGTTACACCGCAGGAGGAAACTCCGGCCTTTGACCACACCGCGCCCACGCTGGTGCAGCCGTGGTTATTGGAGGACGCCTCACGGACGCGCGTTCTTGTGCAAGTCACGGCGGGGTGGTGCTCCTCCGTTTGTCCACAAGCACGGAAAGGGCTGGGTGAGGGTGCAGCACCGAAGGGGTTCGCCCGGGCGCGGGGAGCCTCACCAAGGGTCGCTCCGGACGCCGCTTCTTGTGCACGCGCGACCCGGCGCGCGCGCTCTTGGACTCCGCCGCGTTGCCTCGGCGCCGGCGTCGGGGCGGGGGGCTCAGCCGCAGGCTTAGGAGCGGGTGCGGCAGCCTGTGGGACTCGAGGGCGCGGGGCGGCAGCGCCAAGAGTGGGACTCACTGCTGCTGTGGCTGGTGACAGGGGACGGGCTCCGATGAAGGGAAGCCGGTCGCGGGCTCGGGCTGCGCTGTTCAGGGGAGCGCAAACCGCGGGACCGGCTGCGGCTGTGGCTGGGGCTGCGGGGGGGGGGGGGGGGGGCGGCGCCGTAAGGCTTGCGCCGGCTGGTTTTTTCAGAGCACCAGGAGGCCCCGCTGCGGGTCACGCGCGGCGGCAACTTCCAAGGCTCCAAGTGTCAGGACGACGCGATTCCCACAAACACCTGGTCGGAAG